TAGAGCCTGGTCAGGGAATTGCATGTGCCTGGATTGGGGATTGAACATGCAACCTAGGTATGTGCCCCAACCAAGATTCAAACCCACAACATTTTGGTTCCATGACAATGCTCCAACCAACTGAGCCACACTGGCCACAGCAAAACAGACATTTAAAGCCTGAGGCCCTCACACCTGAGCAGAAGACCTAATTGCCAGAGGCTTCGTTCTCCATACCAAGGACAGGATGGGGATAGCGATTTGTCCAGGATTTGAGAGCTCCAAGTAACACGGTGGCTATTCCTGTTTCCCAGTTCTAAACCCAAACACTTTGTTATCACAGTTTCCTCCAGACTCACAATGGTTTGCTGTTGTAGACCTTTGTTTGGCCCCTAAAAGGAAATTGACCCTTTTACAATGTGTGTACAGGACCTCTTGCTGTGTTCAGCTAACAAAGAGGTATCCACGAAAGACTCCATTTATTTGCTGCAATAGTCAGCTGAAAAAGGACACAAAGTCTCTAGGAAAAATTACAATTATCTTTAGACAGTATTCATTACCTAGGTCATGATCTAAGAGTTGAAGGAATTCAGCTGTCTCCAAAAAGAATTAAACTAAGCCAGGAATTTCCTAGACCCACAACTAAGCAGTAGCTTTGTGGATTTCTAGGCTTGACCGGTTACTGTAGACTATGGGTTCTGAATTTTTCTCTATTACTTCTCTATGAATTTGCTAAAATTTCAGGCCCTGGACCCCTTATTTGGGAAGATACACATGAGCAGGTTTATATAAAACTACGGCAAGCACTACAAGAACCACTCTCCTTAGGGCAATCTGACTATTCAAAACCTTTCACTTTACTTGTGCATGAAGGGAATAATCAAGCTCTGGGAATGCTCACTCAATACCATGGTAATAAACAAAGGCCTTTTGTCTATTACAGCACAGACAACTCGATTCAGGCGCTTGTGCCTCCCCTGCTGTCTTAAGGCTATAGCTGCCACTGCAAAGTTAGTGGAAGTCTCGGCAGATTGAACCCTGGGAAGTGACATTTATTTGTGGACTTTACACACTATCCAAAGTCATCTTAACTTGGAACTGACTCAACATTTCTCTGCAGCACACTAACTTCCTGTGAGATCCATCTGCTTCCAGCACCTAATCTACATCTTAAACGTGGGAACGCCCTTAACTGCACTATGTCACTACCACTGACTGACGAAGGTGAGCCCCATGACGAGGTGATAATATCCATTCTGTGATGCTGAGTCTTGACTTATGAGACACCCTTTTAACTAATTCCGATGTAATCTTGTTTGCTGATGGGTCACAGGTCACACTACATAGATGGAAAGGGAATTCTCAAGCTGGCTAAACTACCTCTACCCGATATGATTTACTCAGAAGGGGAAACCGCCCACAAGCTCTATCAGCCCAACAAGCAGAGCTCCATGTCCTCACCCAAGCAGGACAAACTAAATCTTTGTACAGGAGCCATTACACCTCCTCAGTCCATGATTTAGGGATGTTATGGAAACAAACGGGCTTCCTTATGCCCTCTGGGATGCCAATCAAAAACAGGCAATAAAGAAATGATCTTCTTACTGCTCTTCCTTCTATTTTCTCAAGTTGCTGTCACCAAAGTGAAGTGCACACTCAAAGGACTGCCCCCGAGTGCTGGGGGGACCCCACCGGGCTGCCACGCACAGGCAGCAATGACAGAAGCTATAAAGACTGTGACACGTGTGGATGCGGTCCATTCTGTGTCTGTAAAAAATGACCTGTTATTGCCCAACTTTTGCCGCCTTGATGTCTTTTAACACGGCAGCAGCGGGCTCCTGACTCAGAGAAATGAAGAGGCATAAACAATGGTCGTAAATGAGACACATGGTCAGGGCTGTGGGAAACCCAGGAAGGCCGGCTGGTTCTTTGAGGCTCCCTGGCAAACCCTGCTTCTCAGCTTCTGCATTGCTTCACCCAGCACGGTGCCTTTAAAATGACTCAAACTATGAATGGACACAGGAGGGGAGACTTCCACACATTTGCAGAAATGGTCTACCATCAATGTCTGGCCGGCCAGGCCCACAGTCCTGGAGAAATTATTTTTGCCCCCAGAGGCCGCAGACCTGCACCCTCCGGACCTCCTGAGTCCTCTCGTTATTGTGTGTGTGCGCTTTCCTGATGGGGTGAAGCCCTCCCCTGCTCAGCGGGCGGATGCCCTCACTGTGGCAAAGGAACTGATAGAAAATGTGTTTCCCACTCAGGGTATGCCTTTCACAGTTTCCTATGCTCTTGGCACCCACTTCACCAGGCAAATCACATGAGCCTTGATGGAAAGACTTGCAAAGTTCTCAGAATTATCACTGTCCTTACTGGCCTTGGTCATCAGGCAAGGTGGAAAGAATTAACGGGATCCTCAGTTGAAGATCTCTATATTTGCTGAAACTACTGGACTCCCCTGCCTAAGGTATTGCCTTTGGTCTCGGTGACTGTTCACAGTGCCTCCTTTGGGAAATAAACTCACTCCACACAAGACAGTCACCAGCAGATCAATGCTTGCTGGTGTACAACCTTCTATTGACCCCTGGAGTCTCGCACTAGTGTTACTGGCTACTGGTAAGTCTCTAATGCCCTATGCTCCAGCTTATCATCAATAGGTTATAGAATCTTTCCCAGTTCCCATTTTAAAGGATCTTATTGGCCAAGCATCATTGGCCAAACTCTTCAGAGGAAGACAGCCCTTGAGGCCCACTGAAGGGACCTTACCAAGTACTCCTGACCAGGGACACTGAGGAACAACTACAAGGTGCTGAGCTAGGGACACACTGCTGTAGAAGGCTCTGCCTGCCCCCTGGTCCTGTGTAGACACTGGAGACCTACGATTCAAGTCCACGAGGAAGAAAAACAGGTGACATCAACCAGACTGCTTCCACCCAAGACACAGATCAAGACTTCATACTTTAACTAAACATGAAACCCCTGCTTCTTTTCTCTTTCCTTTCCCCTGGCAGTGGCCTGGAAAGATAGTGCCGTCATCCATATCTTCCAGGCCTTTGCTAAGGTGGTGGAGGGTGGGGGGTATTTGCCTTTCAGACTTGGGCTTTGTCACCAAAAACTCCAATCTGGCCATTAACAGTGCCACCATCGTAGAAGTGGCTAATGCCTGGTAGGATTTAGGATGCGGTGGCTATCATCCTCCTAGATGGTAGGCACAGAGCCAGGCAATGCCTCTTTGGTGATCTAACCGTTCACGAACACACAGAGACACCTACACAGGTCAAATGCCCTGAGTTTACAGTTGAGTTAGACAGGACCTACCAGAAGGTTTCTCATGAATCAGAATTCACTTCCTTTGGCAGGTCCCTACTTCCCTAGTTTGAAATAAATAAAAATAAGGCTAGAATCAGGAACCTCTCCTTTGCTCTGAAAACATTGCAGAATTCACTGTTAAAGCAATAGCTATCCACCAAAAATCCGTAGAGTTTTTGTCAAAGCTGTTCTCAACAACAGAAGCACCCTAGATTATGTCCTAGCTGAGCAGGGAGGTGCCCATGCTGTGGCCAACACCGTCCACTGCACCTGGATTAGCTCTTCTAGGGAAACTCAAACTCAGTTATGTATTTATTGTAAGTTTGCTAATCAAGCCACCTGGCTTAAAAAGGTGACCTCCTCGACAGGGCATTTCTTTCACTTACTTGATGTCGATGGGTTTGGGTCTTGGGGGCTATGGCTCCAAAGTACATTCCAAACATTGGATATTATCCTGTTTGTATTTATCATAATAATTTCTCTGGCACACTGTATTTTCTCAAAAGCTTTAAGTGCATGTTTGCAGCCACTACCCACCAAGCAAATGATCTACTTAAGACTGGACAGTCAGAAAGGGAACAAAGAGAATGCCTGCCTTAAAGATAGAAGCTGGGGCCTGTCAGCATCACAGGGATTAAGCACAAACCCTTATGACCAGTGATTATCACACCGAGACTCTATAAAAGCTGTAGGAACTGCAGTGTGGGGTTAATGCCTTCAGTTTTGACCTCGTCTCTCAGTCAAGCTGAGAGTCTGTTCAAAAGGAAGAGACTGTTAAAGAGAAAACCCAAAACAGGCCCCAAGTGGGGTCATCTGTGCTAAAGACCAAGACTTATCACCTGATCTGAACGCAGTTTCAACCTTCTCCAGGAATGGAATCTTAAGCAGACTGGAATTTTCTGGTCAATACCAATGAGGTAATCTGTTCCCGGTCCCATCCCTCATTGGAAGCTAAGTGCTCTGCCTGATAAGGTCTCTGCGTCCCCAGACCCCCACCCTGCCCCAGTTCCAAACATGGCCCTGGGAACACACCACATAGACTTTCTGGTTCCCCACGGTTTGGCCCTTGAGGGTGTGGGGGGACCAAGCACCTAGGGACTGGGAGTTGGTGCAAGCCTGGGGCTCCCGTGTGTGGGGGCCAGCTACCAGTGCCAGCCACCACATCCCTGCCCTGGTCTTCTGTTCCAGCCTTCTTAATCCAGGTCCACTCAGGCGCTCCCAGCTGGCGGAAGGTCATCAGAGGAAGGGAAGTGTCATTCTCAGTGTGGTCTAAGCCATTCGTTAAAATACTAGAGAAAGTCAAGAAAGCCTCATAGGTCACCTGTAGCACTGTTGATATTTTTTTCTAACTTGTCATGGAGGCTGGTGTGGCTCTTTTAGGAGCCTTCTCTATCCTCTGGATGGACTGGGGTCTTCCTAACAGGACCTTCTGACACTTTTTCAGCAGTGGCTCTGCCTGTCTCACCTGTTTTGTGTTTCTCTTTAATACCAGTGTTGCCTCTTTGGTGCAATGGGACAACCAGGCTCTTCTGGATTCGACGCAGCTTCCCCCAGACCAAGCTTGTATCTCAGTGTGCCAGGGCAGTGTGATTCGGGGGAGGTCCTCTCAATCCAGTCTCAGCCTTGCACGTGCAGCCTGAATATGCTCCAAACAGGGTCTTCCCGAGGAAAGGATGGTCTCTTCCCCAGCCCCGGCCCACACCCCTACTCACCACCAAGACGTGCTCCAGAAGGTCCAGGTAGCTGAGGGTGCACTCCGTCCCATACCGCAAGGCTCTGGCACGCACCTCTTCACTGACGTCGGGGTGGAAGGATGCTTGCTGCAGAGAGAGAGAAACATTGACATCTTAGAACGAAAGGAGCCAGCTGGTGTGTGGACCAGGGGGCTTACAGAGGGGGGGTGGCAGTCACCAGCCCAGCTGTGTTGTGGAGCCCTGAACCCCCGATTCTGGAACTCCCTCTGCCTTACCTCAGTGACCTCTGAGGAACCTTTCCTGACCCCTGGGTTCCTCCTCCACCCCCGCCCCTGCTACCTGCATCTCCACCGCAACCTCTCTCCAAGTTTGCGTCTTGACATTTTTAGTGCCCTGGAGCCAGACAAAAGCAAGTGACTCTGGTCCCTCCTCTCTCCCTTTTTCCTTTCTCTCCCCCTACCCCATCCCACTTTCTATTGACATGTAAGAAATTCCACAGACACCGAGAAGTTCAGGAAAGACACATGATTAGAGCTTGCAGCAGGAGACCTGCTGTCCCAAGGTCAGCGTGCCTCTCTTCAGAAATGTGGGATGTCCTGAGGGCCCCTCCTGGTTCACAGGCTGGTCAGGCCCAGGTCCTCACTCTGAGACCTGAGCACACTGGGGTCACAGTGAGTCTCCCAGCTAGGGCCTCTGGCTCCTGGGGGCCTCAGGCAGAGAGCTCCCCAGTACGCTCAGAGGTGCCGCACATTACATGCATCCAGCAAGCCAGGGTGTATGGTGAATGCAGCATTTTGCCCCCTTTTCTTGCCTTGACCTTGCAAACTGCCAGGCTGGGTCATTCACAATACACCATCTCAGATGGCACGCCCACTCATGGGATTGCTAGACCAACTAAAGAATGCCCAGTTAAATCTGAGTTTTGGGAAAATAATGAAAAAATGTTCATGTAAGCCTGGGACAGCGTATTTTTAATTTGCTAAATCTGGCAACTCTACCCATTTAACCTTTCCTCCTTGCACAGCCTCACTCTGGAAAGAACTTGAGGGGGTTACAGGAATACACAGGAAACTGCGCAGAAACTGCAAACCAGGACACGCAGGAATCACACATTAGGGGAAAAGGTCAAGACGGATGAGGGATAGTGACCAGACTGTACATTTCTCCAGGTCAAGCCCCTCTCCCTAGGACTGAGGGGTGCTGGGGGAATACCTGTGGGCCCTGCCCATACTTGACACCCTCCCCCAGCCTCCTTGGAAGACGTGGGGATCATTCCAGTGGCCAGAGTCTGGTTCCACTCATTTTAGGACTAACAGGCCTGAGAGGCAGGACCACACCGTGCTCGTAACCCCTGCTTAACCTTGTGAAGGGCCACGTCCCTCACCACCACTGCACTGTGCTCATCCTGCTCACACGTCTCCAAGTGTGAGGGCGACGCCCCATGTGGACACACTTGCGCTTTGTTGAGACACTGTTTGGGGAAGACACAGACAATGATGCTGCTCCATGTCTCCCCAGGAGCTAACGTGCAAGGCCTTCATTTAGAGCTGTGCGAGAGCTAAGGAAGGGCGAGGTGCTCCTGCCACTGCAGGTAGCTCTGTAACTTGGTAGGACAATGTGGGAGAGCAATCTGGCAGCAATTAAATTGTTCCCCTGGCTGGGTATCTCAATACCCAATACAGATATAGAGTGTCATCCCAATACGCCAAGGTTGTGGGTTCAATTCCTGGTCAGGGCATGTACAAAAATCAACGAGTGAATGCACAAAGAAGTGGGGCAACAAATTGATGTTTCTCTTTCTCTCTCTCCTCTCCCCCCCTCAAATCAATCAATAAAAAATTATAAAATAAAATGTCATACCATTTGACCCACTAAGTTCTAACTTCTGGGAGTCTTGCCTAGAGAAATAATACAAAACAGAAAGAACAGATATGCCTGATGACATTCGTTGCATTAGAGTTTATGATAAAAAAAAGTTCAGACGACCTAAATACCTGATGATAGGGGAAAGGCTGTGTTCATCAACAGAGTATTTTGTGGTCACTACAGGGTCAATTATAATGACTCATAGCAACGTATACAATAGAAACACCACCAATGTTAATGGTAATGGTAGATATAAAATTGTATCTAATGTAAATACAGGTACCTGGAAGCAAGTCCAGAAAAGAATAGACACAGAATTTAGGGGGTAGAAAAGGGCTTGTCTCCACCTCAGAGATTCGTGTAACCCTTCCTTTCTGAGAAGATGAGCCAGCATATAATTTACTGCACCTCCACTCCTGCCCTGGCTACCCTGAGCCCCATACGGCACCCTGGCCCTCTGCTGGGCATAAGGTTCCTTCCTGACCCACCATCCACATCCCTGGGAGTCTCTACTGCACACACCTCATTTCCTTTCTGCAAAGGGGTGGAAACATGGGAGACGGAAGCACAGGTAAACGTCAGTCTGCTGCATCAGTCCTATCCTAACACGAGCCTCAGGGCTCAGCAGTGACGCCAGTCATCAAGTCTGGCTTAGGCCTGAGAACCGCCGGCTGTTATTTTGTCCTGCAAAATCAGGATGACCCAATCCAGGGCCAGAGAAGAGAGAGGACTGAGTCTGGGCCAATGGCACCCATCCTTCCCTGCTGAACCCCTCCCCTGCAAATGGGAATGTGTGTTATGAGAGACCTGAAAATCTGAGCTGCCGGCCATTTATATCTAATTTTTTTCCTCTTTAATGTCCCCTTGTCATTTCATGTCTGTAACATGTAGACAAAGTTCCCATCCCTCCTCAGCCACCATGATCCAGATGGAGCCTTATGGCTGGGAGTCCTCAGTTCTGGTTCTGAGGGTAAATAGCTGTGTGACCTTGGTCAGGCCACTCAGTCACTCCAAAGCTGTTTCATCACCCATCAAATTAGCACCATTCCCCTTGTCCTTCCCACCTGGGATCAAATGAGAATATACACAACAGCTCTTCCAAATCTGTGCCCTTCGAGCATCCCACAACGGCACCGGGGCCACACCCACTGGGCAAGGGCTGCTCCCTGACTGAGACCCAGATCCCTTCCAGAGTCATCACTTCCAGAAGGCAGATTCCATTAAGCACATCGAAATGGCAAATCCTTGTGGCCTCAGGAGAGAGTTTAAACTCCCTATTACAGAATATAAGGTCCCTCAAGAAAGTGGTCCTATCAACTTTGCCCCCCTCTTCTCTCCACCTCCCCCCACCCCCACTGTCCATCACACCCAGGAGAACAGGAAATGATGCCGTCTCCCACACCAGGCCCTTGCACACCCACCTCCAACTCATCCTACCCCTTCTGAGGAACCCCTGAGAAGCCATCAGCTGCTCCCATAACTCATTTCACCACGGGGAGTGGCCCTGTTCCCTCACACCCAGGCTGCAGTAGCTGTAGTAGCCAGTTTTCAACTTCTGTGGTTCATCCCCACCCTGCCCCCCTCGCCATAGCAGGGGGTCATCAATCTATCAATCACTGAGCACACACGTCAGAGTCCCTGGGACAAGGCTGTCCCTAGAAGGGTCAAGGTCTGGGGATGCTCCATGGATGTTGGGGGTAGAGGGCTCTCTCTTATGGCTCACTTTCTTAATAGGAAAAAATATAAATAGAAGGTCATAAAGCTCAGCTCTCCCCAGCTCCCTCCCTAAGCATGGGCTCAGGGCAGCTGCCCTAGTTCTCTGTCTAAGTCAGAACTGGAAGAGTTTCCCCGAAGCCTCTGTCTAGCACAGAGAACAAAAAGGCAGTTCCCAATGCGCCGTTATGCTCCTCTAACTCGCTTCCTCGCCCAGTTATGGCAGCCCCCCTCCTCTCGCAGAATGAATGACCTACAGAAGCAGGAAAGGGTGAAGGCAGATGAGGGACACAGTTTTCATCTGAAGGGCCTGGAACAAAAGGCCACTATTCCTCTTCACTGCTGTCAGAGTGGCCTGCACTCCACTCTCTGGGAGAAGGCGTCCTGCTTGTTAAGCAGAACTAAGAGGAAAAGTGGGAGGGCCAGTGAGCAGGGTGACTCCATCCCCTCTCAAACACAGAACCATCTTACAGAGTCACTTCCCACAGGCTGATGTGCACACGCCCTTCGTGTGCATTTTATTATATAGTTCAAGGGACAGAGCTTGCCCTGTCTGGCACATTCCCACCCCTCTCCTCCAGACTAATCATGACAGAGAACCGTCCATCCACCCAAAACAACGCCAGGGCCTTTACCTTGCAAGCCGTCAACATATCTGACACGGCCTTCCGGCTCAGATTGGCAGTGGCGATCACATCCTCCTGTCTACATGAGTTCCCAGCTGCCACGGCTTTGGCTGTTGCCATGGTGATGCCTTTCGTCATCCTTATTGATTCTTCAGGTGATGATGTCTTTTCAGGTACCTCTTTTGACTGAAACACCTGAAAGTTAGAAATAGAAGAGGTGAGAAAATCAGAAAGGGAAGGACAAAAATAATTTATTTTTCTCCGACCAGGCTGCAGCTCAGCGTCTGAAAACTGAGCCAGCGGCAGGAAGAAAGAGTCAACGGGCAGGAAATGAGAAATTTAATTTGAGTGCAGTAATATTATTCTGGCTTTCAAGACATGGATAAGGCTTGCCCACCTATACTCAGCATGCCTGAGTACAATGAGGCAAGACAGACATACCTACAGCATTAACCCGTTTGCCTGCAAAAATGGATACTCAATATTTATAAGCCACCCATCCCCGGGAAGGTAGTTCTGTGGCTTCCTGCTGTCTCGCCCCATCCCTGCTGGAGCCTCGGCAGTGCCCAGAAATTCCGCAGTCCCGGTGTTGGGTCCAGGGCATGACTGACCTGGATGCCTCGCTCTGGACTCACCTCTCTCTCTTTAAAGCGGTTGAGGCCAGGGAAATGAAACATTCAGTGTCTTCTATTCTTAGCCCGTCTTACAAATATAACTGTGTGATTGTGCGGAGGCGTTCATGTAGAGTGCGCCACAGTGGCACTGTGAATTAGTTAACAACACACGCATGTGTGCACACCCGCCACCCCCTGTAGAGGAGGTGAAATGAATTAACCATGTTAGGTGAATATCCCACTTCAAAGTTCCACCTGTCAGTCAAGCCATCCATTCATGCTTCCAGGCTTCCAGGCCATCTGTCTTGTCCCTTTAACATGTGTGACTGGTGTCCTGGCTGTGCACCCAATGTGCATCTGTCCCTGCACGTGAGGACTCCCAAACCAGTTGGAGCTGCTCTGGGTTCGGCCCCAGGCAGCCACGTTGCAGCAGAGAAGACTTCCGTGAGGTAGAAAGGAAGACCCAGCCAGGACCTTGTCACGCACCAACCAGTGTTGAACATCACCCCCTAAAAACGGGCAGCTGCAGTTAAGGCAGGACCCTAAACCCCAGGCCCAGCCCTGAACGCTGCAGTGGAATGAAGGCCACACACACAGGGCTCCACAGTAACGTGGCTTGTGCTCCTTTGGAACCTCCCACGTCACGGACACACGATCTGGGTCAATTTGAAATCACAGGTATAGCTAGATTGGCCCTGTGTCTGCAATTTCCCAGGAAAACTCCAAACTTCCCATCTTCTGTTCCACTGTCACCACTGTGCCCACCCACCTCTGTCAGAGGTGTACGGACGGTGGTAGAAACCCCCAGCTGGTGTGAGCAGGGAAGCGCCAGGCAGCAGCACTTAAGGACACTGCCTGCATTTCTTAGTTTCTCCTTTGCAGGACAACTAAGCATGACATCGACCAAGTCTGAATCCATTCAAGACAGGAAACGAGAACACAAGGCTCCCTCGCCAAGACCCAGCAGAACCACTCATTCCCACTGCCGACCCCCAAGGGCTTGTGACCTTCACGGGTGACCCTCTAACGATGCAGGAAAACTGGCGGCAAAGGCCAGTCCCTCGACCCCAACCCTCAAAAGGAAGCTGAATCTGTAATCAGACCTATTAGAATCCCCTTTTGAAAACTCATTTCCAGCATACTTCTATTTCCAGGCATAGGGACGAGTCAGCCCCGTCATCACAGAATTAAAACGATAGGTAACAGCCGTGTGCCACTCTGACTCAGCGGTGCTGGAACCAGGCAAGAAGGAACATGGGGTCGACTTCCCTGAGATCAGACACATCACCGAGAAGGGAGCTGGATTTTAAAGGGAAGCACTGTGGGCAACAGCATGCAGGTTGCAAATCTCAGGCTCCAAACTCACAGAGTGAAGTGGTGCTCATAGTGACGGGAACCAAGAGGGGCTGCTCACTGTACACACGATCGAAACTCCAGGTGAGTACGAAGAGCTAGACAGACTCTTCCCTTTGCCAGGAATCTCCTGCAAGGCTTTGGTTTCATGCTGCCATTTTAGTGTAATTAAACCTGAAGGGTCCTAAGTGATACTCCTAAATTATAATGACAAACTGACCCTAACCAAATTCTGGGGTGCTCATCCCAGTCGGGCAGGCGGGTGAGTGAGCCTCCCCAGTGCAGGTGCTCTGGGTGAAACCCCTTTATACCGACAGTCTCAGAGAAGCGTGACATGGGGTCAGCTGTTGGGCACGGGTGTCCAACACCCGAGACAGGTGGCTGCTGGCTCCTCACCGTGAGCTCCTGCTTCATGTACTCGATCGTGGCCTCCAGCGCCCGTGTGCCCCGAGTGGCCTCGTCCTCCACGGCCTTCACAGTTTTGAGAAGGGAGGTGACATTGGTTACCATCACCTGCACAGGAAGAAAGGTCGAGAGGAAATAGTGCGCTGAGGTTCAACCCCTCCCTACTCCTTAGGTTCCAGATCTAAGTCATGAGCCAAAACACCTTTCCGTAAGTGGGAGAGGAGCTCAGATGTGCACCCCCACTGTTCTCGTGTGTGCTTCTCTGTCCCACACTCTGCCGGCACGCTCACCCCTGGCCGGGGCTCCACTCTACCTTGGCAGCCCCCTTGAGCTGGTACATGGAGGGGTCATCGGCGGGCTTGCTGGCAGCCCCCTTGGTAGCACCAATGAGGTCTGAAAGGGCCTTGGCCACGTCTTTGATGGCGTTGATCAACACCACCTGAAAGAGAGTGTGGAGCCCGGTGAGCACCCTGAGTGGTCACCTGCTGGCTTCACTAAGGACACATAGCCTGAGGGCAGGCTGGGGGTCTCTGGGTCGGCAGTTCTCACACCTGCGGCTCCCAGAATCCTGGGAGCCATCTCTGGAGACCCTGATGCAGGAGTCTGGATGAAGGTTCACTGTCCAGACTTTGGAAAGCTCCCCGAGGCTGATACGTGATATGTTTTAACACCCTCTAGAGGGCAGCTCTGCTGACAAGCTGCCTAAGAAAGAATGAAGGCAGCTAAGCAGGCTCCGGGAGGCAGCACCATTGACCTGGGCTCTGAACTGGTGACCAGAAAACGCTGAGAACACAACGCAAGCCTCATAGCCTGGCCTGCAAGGCCTCCAGGGCCACCTACCTGCACCTTCGGCTCTGGTTCCCAGAGTTGTCTGACTCACTCAATGTGCTGCCCGCACATGGCTCTTTCTCCCCCACTGAAGTCCCAACTCATTCCTGCTCCAGGGCCTCCGCTCCTGCTGTCCTGTCTGGAACCCGGCTCTTTTCACCATTCAGCTCCACTGTCCTGTTTGCAGAGACCTTTCTGGACCACCCTCACTGAGGCTCCTGGCCAACCCCACCCACCCTCACACGACGCAACTCCATCAGCTCACCCTGCTTTATTTATAGCACGTATTGGTGTGTGGAATTCTGTTATTATTCATTCCCTTAACCACTGTCTGCCTTTTCCCCCTGACTTGGATGTAAACTGCAAGAAGGCTGGCCTGGACTCCTGTGTGTGTTTCACACCAGAACAGGGCCTGGCATGTTCCTGAGCACTCAGGAAATGCTCGTGGAATGAATGCACGCACAGATGCGTGCCCACGTAACACTGGATGTGATACAGCATCTTCACACTTCTCCTTGAACACAGACTGCCTATCAGTGTGCTAGACTCGGAATCTGAAGCACCAGCCGTACTCAGGGCTCACGTGACGCAGGCCATTGCACTTAACTCTTCTGGGCGCAGCTGCCACAGTGGCCACTCCTACTCTGGTAACAACAGCAGCAGCCTCACTCTACTGAGGGCAGTGTTCTAGGGGCTGAGCCACGGAGATACACATGTTCCCTCATCAAACCCTCCCACTGCCGCTTCAAGTGGGAGCGCCCACTCTCCTGGGGCTTGGGAGTGAGAGTCGGGATTTGAATTGTGGTCAGTGTGACCCCAAGGGCATGGTCTTAACCTCCAGATTATGTGACTTGCTCTAGGCTCTGGCTCCCACCATCAGGACGGCAGTGCCGACTCCGCCTGTCTGACCGCGCTGCTGTGAGGACGTGAACTGGATCACGTACGTAGAAGCACGTCAGAAATTAGAGTCTCAGACAGCTGCAAGCACAGCGACACTGCAGCTGCACAGCCTCCTGCACCCCTTCTCCATCCCACGCCTTCCCAGTCACGGGGTGCAAGGAACCCCGGCCAACCTCGGAAACTGCAGGGCGGGCATGGCTGCACCAGGCTACGGGGAAAGGCTGACTGGTGCGGACCTCACACGGATTCCCAGGAGCGCAGCAGGGAGGGGCAGGAGGAGACTGAGGAGCAGAAGCAGCTGCCTGCATCCCATGTGCCCGGCCCCATCCCTGGTCACCAGGCAACCGACGGGCAAGTGGGGACATTTTTCACTAGAGATTTCATGAAAATTTGAAGCTTTAGGATATCTAGGCCATTTGGGAGTTAAGACTAAGCAATGCAATACATTTCTCTGTTCAAAGGTTTAAATCTTTCCCAGCCAAGTAAATTCTAACGTTGAGCCAAGCTTGGAGAGCGTGAGTTCCCACCCCAGTGATGCACTTTCAAGCCCTTTCTTCCTCCACGGGGGGTGAGAACAAAATTGCAGGCAGGGACTTCTGTGGAGACTCTGAACTGCAGAGGGCGGCCAACCTGAGCGCTGTTAACAAAGAGCAATCCAGTGGAGGAGTCAAATGGCAGCGTTCAGAAGGCCCCTTCAGGGAGCTCGGCTGCACTGGAGGACATCAGGAAGGGAAGGTCATGGCCCTGTGGGAGCACAACTGGTGGCCGTGTGTTAATTAGAGCAGTGGCTGTTACCGGCCCAGGTGAGAACAGTAGGGAGCTTTCTACCCGGTATTGTCCGTATGGGCCAGTGAGACTAGTTTACTGAATACAGTCTCATCGGTGAAAACCAAAGTGTCAGCCCCTGGATGGTGCTGGGACAGAGAGAACGGGGGACTTCAGTTTGGCACTTGGGAAGGGACAGAACCCATTACTGATGGTTATGGTGGGCTGCTAATTCAAAGCCAGCCGAACATGTATTTGATGGGCGTCCACTATGCCCTGGGAGCTGCGCTGGGGGCTTAGGTTTCAACGACTAGTGAGCTGTGAGTACTGTCTTGATGGCTGACAGCATAGGCCGGGGGACCAGGGAACAGGCGGATAACTTGAACGAGATTGTAAATCAGAGCACGGTGTAAGAGCACAGAGCCCTCCCTGGCCCTCCAGTTCTTCTCTCTCCCGCCGCAGAGCTAAATTTCTCCAGCAGGGTGTGTCTAGGTGCTTCATTTCCTCACCCTCACCGGGCTTCCCTGTCCCTCCACAGAAACAGCCCTAGTGGGCGTCACCACCGCCTTCCAGGTCACCTGGGCCAGTGGCCGGCTCTTGCACCCTCATCTTTCTGGACTCTTCAGTCATCTCTGGTGGGTTGAAACACTCCTCCTGTCAGAGGCATCCGCTCCTCACACTCCATAATCCATACTCATCTCTTGCTCCTTAAATGGTCTCGAATAGTGCACTCCTTGGGGCCCCCTTCTCTCACTCCACACTTTTCCTCCTGTGTGGTCACAGGCACGGTGTGTGGCAACAACCCTGGAATCCGCATCCCTGTACCTGAGCAGGCCTTTGCCCACGCACCACCTGCACCTGCCTGTCTCCCTGCCACTCCTGACTCCACACGCCCCAAACTGAGCTCACCTTCACCTCCCCGCCCAGGCCAGCTCCCTCCCGAGCACTCCGGCTCCTACACGGAGCCACCCTCCACCGGCTGATCCAGCCTCAACCAGGGAGTCAGCCTTGCCTCCCCCCTCCCCCTTATCTCCAAATGCTCACTGCATTCAATTTTTCACCAAGCTCGGCCGAGTCTTCTTTACAGATTCCTCTCAAATCTGTCAGCTTGTCACCCACCCCCATAGTCCATGCCACAGGTAACGCCATCCTGCTGGGCTCTAAAGCCTGGACACACTCGTGCACACATTGTTTACTTCTAGGTTCCTGTTGTGCCTTGGGCTTCTTCTGAGGCCTGGTGTGCAGTGTTCGAGAACTCCCCCCCTCCCAGGCCTGCCCGTACCTGGGTCTCGGGGTCGTCAGAGCCCAGGCTGGCGGCCCCTAGCTTGACCACCTCGGCGAGCTGGGTGATGGTGGCTGCTGAGGACTGGGCTGCCTGGGCCAGCTTGTCTGGGGTGGACGCAGCCCCAGACACCAGCAGCTTCGTGTCCTCCACCAAGGCTTTGGCTGTCTTCAGAATGTTCTCTCTGGACGGGGGACAGACAAATGACCAAGCTTGGTTACTCAGAGTTGGGAAGAAAAGACGCCCTTCGTAGGGGCTTTTTGTTAAACGGCGTTGAAGAAGAGAGGCGATATGTTTCTCCTTCCTTATCAGGGGCGCTCATCTTCCAGGTGGGGAAACTGAGAGAGGAGAGGGAAGTCAGCCTGTACCCATGTAAGTCGATTACCAGTAAAACTTCGGTGGAAGATTCAGGCCCACCAGCTGGCCACCTGCCTCCAGCCCTGTAGCTAAATGAGAGGTCACCTTCTTTCCTGGGGCTCCCACCCTCCCTAAAAATACTTCACAGCTACAGGGAGCTGCGAGAACACATGGATCAGGGGGCCCTCCCTGCATGTCGGTCCAAGAGGCTGGGTCCCGGAAGGGGTGACCACTGGGAATCTCTTCCCAGCCCAGCCCTGGCACAGAAGAGAGGGAAAGGGTGCTGGACTCGGGGTGAGGATGTGGGTGCTTTCCAGAACAAGCAGAGCCCCTGGCACCAGGCTTTCAAGTGGGGCCTGAAGGGCCGGCCCAGGGGGCATAGCAGGCTCGGAGCCCCACTCCCCAACACGGGGAAGAGCTCACTGTCCCTGGGCCTGTTGCTCGAGGTTCTGCTGGGTTTGGTGAGCAGATCAGAGGCATCCCTCTCCACTTGGAAAGTGAGTGACAAAAAGCTGCCCTCTGCAGAGCATGCTGGGTTTAGGCTGAGAAGGGGGCCAAGCTGGAACATGACTCTGAGTCAACAGCCGGCAAAAGGAGCTCCCTTTGATTCCGTGGCACACTTCCCCCACTGGAACGTCGTGTTGGAATCAAAATGAACGACCCCATTTCTGGCTCCTGGGCAGCGTCTCCCATGTCCAGCACACCAGTTTGGCCCTCTCCGTGGCCAGGATACCCGTACCTGTGGTCTGCGAAGGTCTCGTTGTTCTCCGCGTTCAGGGTCCCCGCGGTCGCAAACATGATGGTGGTGTCCAGGTCGGCAATGATCCCGGACACGGCTGTGGCGGCTGTGATGCATGCCTGGGTCCCCTTGTTCCCAGCCTGGAGAGCGGATAGAACCAAGGACACCTGCAGACAGAGAGGGCACGTCAGAGGCAGCGGAGGCAACGGGACTCAAAGGTGCCCACGCTCTGAAAATTTTTTCTCTGGGAGTCGAGGCAGCTTCTGGGTTCATAGCACAGTCTGGGGTCAACAGCTTCGGTCTGAACTCCAGCTTTGCTCTTTGCTGGCTACCTAACCTTGGGTGGGCATGTTTCCCTAATCTGTTTCCTTATCTGTAAAACGGAGCTCTTACTTCTTGTCCACCAAGAGTTGTGGGCAGGAGTAAGTGCAGGAAAACGGAAGTACAACATCTAACATGGCACTTGGCACACAGTAAGGGTTTGGCAGGGGGAAGATGCTATTATTCAATCATGATTACGCTTCTGAAACCACAAGCGGGGACAGAGGACTAGGCTCCTGTGAAGGGGTGGCTATCACCGCCCCTCTGGTTAGGTTTCGGTAGAACAGCCCCCTCTGCTAACACTCATCCCCCCCCTGCTCAGCCACCTTTTTACATTTTTTGTTGTTGATATACCTTTCTGTATTCTTCATTTTTAGGTAAGAAGGGCACCTCTTCATTGGGAATTCCCCATAGTGGACCCCAGCGGGGATCACTGTATGTTCCCTCCGCCCCAACACTCTCTCCAGCCACCATCTGCCACCAAAAAGTTCCAGGGCCCCGAGGGTCCAGCAAGTCAGCGAAGTACCCATTCCAGTGTCTTCCGTGTCAGCACCTCCGCATGCCCCCTGCCAAACCCCATCCAGTACACCCTCTTAGGTCCCAGAGATGCTCCTAAAATACAACCCCGACCCCCCGACCCTGCACACACACACACACACACACACACACACACACACACACACACACACACACACACTGCTGCGTACAGTTCTCCCCTGGCTGTGGAGAGGAGTGAGCCGGTTCAACTTCTCCAGCCTCCTGCCCCACTCTTGCCGGCTCCCTAATGCAGCCTTACAGCTCATTACTGCATCAGCCAGCTCTCCTCACTTCCCCACACACCCTCTGCTGTGCCCCCTCCCAGGGGTCTGCCCTCTGCCTGCCATGTCCCTGCCCCTCCTCTTCACCAGCCACTGACTTGCTCATCCTTTAAGAGCCAGCTCTAAGTCCCCACTGGGATTCCTTCCCCACTGTCCCCTCCCAGAGAGATGGCTGAACCTCCGGGGATTCTGCACACCACCCTGCCCTCAGGATGGCCCATGGACCACCACTGGAAACAGCATGAATCCAGCAACAGGCAGAGGCCCTCGAAGGCCAGGAGCTGACATGTGAATCCCTGTGTGCACACACTCACCAGCCCTGACTGGGGCTGACGCAGAGAGGAGTCTGCACACACTTTGTGAATGCATTTTCCAGAACATGCCGACCAGGACAGGGCAGTTGCAGCATCAGTGAAAGGCACAGACTTTGAACATTATCTCCTTCCTGTGCAGCCTAGATCCCAGCTGAGGCTGTGGACACGGCCTGGAGATAAGGGCAGAGAGCCTGCTTCCTGAGCTCCTGTCACGTCCCAAGGACAGCCCATGAGCAACTACTTCCCAAGTTAAATCCTACTATGCCCTGCCAGGAAACAATGAGTCAGACCCACACAGAGCTGGCCTGGGAATGAGGGATCCAGTTTCTGGAAAGGCCAATGCGAGTAATCACAAGTCTGGGCGGGAGCTTCTCCACCGGTGTGAACATAAGGGTCCAAATATGGTGTCCCACCCACGGCAAAAGGTGTATAAGTCAGCAGGTGTTTATTGAGCATCTACTAGTTACTCGGGAATGAGAACCAAAAGTGAACAAGTCAAGGGGCTCATGGCTGGGCAGTTATACAAACACAACCAAGACATTTAAGAAACACACAGTGGTGGGAGATGGGAGGGGGGAGATTAGAAGGGCAGGGACCCATAGTAACAAACGCAAGAAACCAACAAATTGGCCAGTTGATCTCAGTAAGTCTTCTCTCTGCCTTTGGTCCTCTTCCAGGAGTCCTAAATCCGGGCTCCTCTGCTGGGAGAAGCAGTGAGGCCAGGGCCAGCTCTGGAAGGTTGCACTGGTTGGCCAGGCACACCAACATCATGCAACTTGAATGCCTCCTCCTCCCTCCCCCAGCTCCCACGACAAGGTCTTCTACTGGAAAGCTTGGCAAGAGCGACTTCGATGACAAGGAAGGGCTTTCAGAGGAGGGAAGAGAGTGCCCTCCTCCAGCTGAGAGATTTACTTCCTCATCCTGTGGAGTCCAGTGGGGCCGGACAGTCCTGCGGGCTATGGGAGACTTGGCCTGGGTGAGGGTCGGCATACACAGCAGCCTCTGTAGGGCAGCTTCCAGGTGAGGGGTGCCCCACCCACCCTGCAGTCCTGTTGCCAAGCCTCGAAACAGTGCAGAGCTCTATGTCCTAAGAACCCAAGTGAAGGAGACGGCAAGGCAGCCAAGCGCAGATGCTTCAGCAGGCACTCCTAGTGGCCTGTACAAGAGCTGCCTTGAAAAATGGCTCAGAGAAATAAGCAAAGGAGATACTGGGAACGAAGGAACATTTGGGATCAGGGAGGACTTCCTGGAGAGTAGCGTTAGAGGACTGCTTACACAGAACAGCAGCTGGTGTTTATTAAACGAACTGTGTGAAGCACATCCACACACCATAGCAATTAACCCCCACAGCCCGTGGGCCAGGAATGAGTGGTGTTTCTTCATCCCCATTTTACAGATGAGGAATTCGAGGCTTGGAAAGGTGAAGTCACGTAGCTGAGACCCTAGAACCCCATCCACTACAGGGTGTGGCTCTCTCTGCAAACGGCTGCCATCGAGTCAGGAAACGTCACACAGGCTCCTGCTCCTCTACCAGGTGCCGTGTGATGCCAGGCAGGTGCTTAACCCTCCCCCACATCGCTGTCTGGTCTGGAAATAAAGAAGTTACATGAAAGGATCTCTAGTTCTTCTTACTCAGCCCCTCAGGACCTGGGAGCTCGCCAAGAAGGAAGCCCAAGGGGCAAAAGTGACGAAAGGGTGGCAGGGGGCGCTCCCAGTGCTGATCCTTGGCTTTGCTATGGTCTGTCCAGTCTGTCTGCAGGAGAGCCCTTCAAGGTGGTCCACCCAGGCCCTGGCCTTTGTGGGACAGTCTCTCTCACACTCTCAATTTTTCAAGGCATACGGATCACCCCCAGCTCCCTGGTGTGCTCCATCTCTGGGAAGCTCTGGGAGACTTTGGGCCCAACAAAGATGACCACACCTGACCACGGCTGAGTTTTTGGCCTAGTTTCCTGCTCACATCCCTGACCAGAGCAGGTCACTGTGGCCGTGTCTGACCCAAGGGCTGTTCCTTACCTTCTCGGTGACCGCGCGGGCACACTCGATGAGCTCCCTCTTGGTGTAGCTGTCGGTGGGGCACAGCTGGAGGGCCCCTGCCTTCTGCACCAGGAAGATGCAGCCATGGCCCAGGTCCTGCACACGGGTGCGAATCTGGAAGCCGATCTGCGGAGGCAGCCGGGTGGGGAAGGAGAAGCATGATGGACCTGACCATTGAGGTCCTCCCTGCGTGGAAAATTTCTCCTATGTCCTATGGGAGCCTGGCTAGGAAAATTCCACTGCTATTAGGAGTTCATGCTTGGTGAAGGATGGAATTTGGTTGATTTTGCTTCCCATTTTTAGAGGCTGCAAAATGCCCACAGTCTCAGTAAGGAAGCCTGCGCCTCACCACCCCTAGCACACTGCCTTCTGATATCGGTGTCCTGTACCACCTGATAAGGTCGTCAGTTAGATGAGTTCTGCTAAATAACTCTGTTATTCCCTTGACACGCTTTCACTGAGCCTCCGCTGGGTGCCAGGGCCTCTTCTAAGCAGGTAACGCATTTAATTTCATTCATTCTTCACAACAGCTCTGGAGAGTCATTAGAAGTTCAAAATGCATAACTTTAGTATTAAAATATTTTAAAGTGTTAAGATTCTTGGAACACTGGTATGTGTACCAGCCAGATCACCCCCCTCCTCGGCTGAACCTATGGGGAGAGCCACCACGCAGGGCCCAGGCTTCCTTTCTCTCAGTCCAGGTTTGAGGTTTTCTTAAAAAGGTCCATTTTTAGAGCTGATGGCTCAGCAGGCATGCATTCTTTTAATGACATCTGGCTTGTGTAATTATAAAAGGTACTCGGCCTACACGAAGCCAAATGAGCTCCACTGTGGACAGGCTGCCAGCTGTCCCTTTAAGGTGTAATGAATTCGGCAGCCACCTCCCAGAGTCTGCATTCCTCTGGCTCTGTTTCACATCAGCTTGCATTTGGGTTTCATCAATACAGCTGCCATAATAATCTAACCTCCAGCCCAGATAAGCAACTAAAAGCAAAACAAACAAAAACCTTTAGGCGTTAGTAAGTGCTGTTTTCAAGAAATCACAATAGCAAGCAGCTGTGGCTTGTCCTTCCAGCATCTATCGTGGAGACTTACTAAAAAAAAACAGGGAATAAAGGCCGAGACAGGCCATCTGGATGCTGTCTTCCAATATCACACCAGTAGACAGAGTTTAAGGAAGGGTGACTTTGAGGAGGGAAGGGGGCTGCAGATGTTAACTCTCCTGTAATCGAAACACTTCCTGCTTTTAGGGAAAACGGGAATTCCCTTAACCCCTTAAGGCCCGAAGGGCGTTTATGTCCGTTTAGTAGAAAATTCTCCTCCTCCAGAAATTTTGGGTGTCTTCTATGATACCAGGGGGCTGTAAAAGCGTGACGATCAGGCAGGCTTCTCATTGACCGCCTTCACGCGGACAACAGGAGGGCCACCCCAGGACTGCAGAACCCAGGAGGGCAGAGGCACTCTGAGTCTGCTCACAGCGGGGGTGCCACTGAAACATCGCAGTCTGCAGGCAGCTTGCTGCTTTAAGCAGGAAGTCCAACTGAAGCAGGGGGAGGCCCCAATCAAGATTTAAACTCCACCTGGCTCTCAATACTTTTTCTAATTCATATGGCTGACCCCTAAGTACTCAAGGGCCAGAGCTCAGCCAAGGCCAAGGGCTCTGCTGTCTTTAAATGATAGGTGCTGCTGGGAAAGTCAGGGAAGGGGCAGATGGAGGAAGAAACACTGATGGAATCTCAAAATTTACAAAGAGACCGAGGCTCCGAGAAGGGGTGTGATTGGCCCAGAATCACATGCCTGTCAGCCCCTGGGAAAGCTGGCTGAGAACCCAGGTCTCGAGTCCCAGCACAGTGTCCCATCCATCAGACCAGCACTTGCTTAATTTCGTTGATATTTTTCCGCTGAGCAGCCAAGCCTGCCATCCACACTGTGCTGCTCCCTCCCAACAAAAGCTTTTATGAAACCACAATGTGTACAATTAATAGAGTAATCTGAGTTAAAATTTATACCTTGACTCAACAAAAAGTCAACAATGAGACTGAGTGAACCCAATTTTAAAAGTGGCGGTTATGAAAGCTGGTTACAGCCTCAGCCACCAATTCATTTCTGTATTTTGCTTTGGTTGCACTGTGTTGAGAAAATTCGGTTGCATGTGTAAATAAAGCAAACAGGAGCAGTTTTCTCGCAGTTTCACAGAGCCGGTCAGCCTGAGGCCTGCACACACTGCCTGGCCCAGGGGTGCGGGTGGCCCCCAACGGGTTACCACGTGGCCTAGAATACATATTTTCAACAGTACACGCAGCTTTTCCTACCAGTTTTCAAAATAGTTCAGTTAGATTTAAAAGTGAGGCTTGAGTCCGAAGCCCTTCCCTGCATCAGGGTTCTGAAGAACCGGGTGTGAAACCCTGAACCCTGCTCCCCTCAGAGCCGAGCCAGGGCTTTATTTACAGAACGAGGGGCGCTGGGGAAAGCACAGGCCCCTTAAACCACTCCCAGATCAGCCTGGGGTGGGAGGGAGAGGGACCTGCTCCTGAGCTGTCCCAAACCTGGAACCCACACAGACATGGTAAGGGGTGGGGATATGCCCTCAGTGACACTCAGGCTCCCTCAGCCCCCCGTCCCAAGGCCGTGCGATAACGACCAAGGTCCTGATGCACAGCCCCATCTTCGAGGTGACACCATGCATGTAGTAAATGTGACAGAGGAGCTGGCACCAGGGTCATCAGGGAGGAAACTCCAGTTAGGAAGCAACAAAGAGGAGCAGCACCAGAAAGCAAAGGAATGAGACAGCAATGAGGGAACAGGTGCAAGAGCCCCAGAGGTTCCTGACCAACCCAGGGCTTGGCCTGAGCAGCGGGGACTGGGCCGGGGCATGCAGTTTCCTTCTGGGTTCCTGGAGGCCCGGCCACGCAGACGTCCAACACCCTTGGCTGCATGATCCCGTGTGAACAGGCAGGAGGGACGTGGTAGTATAAAAAAGCCAAGTTGAAATCAGCTGCACTGTTATTTTCGCAGGCTGAGTGTAATGAAGGGACCTCAGGGCCCACACTCCAGCCCCACTCCTGCTCTCAGCCCTGCACCCATGTGGCCCCACAGGGAGCAGAAAGGACCGTGGACCTTGCCTGCAGCTCGGCCCTTCCCTGGCCACTGGACTCACTGGGAGATCCTGCTAACCTCCTGGGGCCTTCATTCCCTCCCTGATGACACAGGACAGACTCTGGCCTGCCCACTTCTCAGCGGGGATGGACGACCCCATGAAAGGTACGTGTGAAATCATAAAGCAGAAAGAGCAAGGGTTGCCCGACAAAGCTGGGTTTGAGTCCTGACTGCCCCATAGTTCTTACTCCCAACTTTACTTATTCCGAAAAGTCGTATAAAGTGGCTTTAACACTGGTAGCTGTGTGGGCTGGGCTCACAGTGTAACCAAGCTCTGAGCCTCGTTTGCTAATCTGTGGAGTGGGGAGGACCTCGTGATTGCCCGGCATGCACAGGAGAGGGTGCGCGGGACAGCGCAGCGCCTGACCGGCCTTGATGAGCAGCTCTCACCCTCTCGCCCTTTTCCAGAGGGTCCTCAATGGAAGAGGACGACAGAATCAACACACCAACCAAGCAATCGTCTACTCAACTGCACTTCCGCAGGACATGTTGTGCTGCCAGAGAACCATCTACAAAGGGAATATATTTTTAAGACTGTATTCTAATAGATAAGGGCTTTAAAGATGCTAAGTTTCTCAAAGCAACACTAAGTTTCTCAACACACGTGGCTGGTCCCCAGCATGAGCCAGCTCACAACCAGTGTTTATGACAAAGAAACGTTACTCAAAGACATTAAATGTAGGGTTTTAAAGGGCTGCTTTAGTAAGGCCTGACTGGTATCTGAAGGAAATCCCTCCATTCCCCTCCTTGCCCAAATAAAATTAAAAGGGAGAAGACCTTCTCCAGGTTTTGCGCCTTGAAGGAAATCAGGAGCCTGGTCTTCCTGGGGTTTTGGATCAAATTTCAATTGGAGGGAGTCAAGAAATGCTAATCATCTTCTTTACTGCTTAAACACTAAATGAAATGTACAGATTTTTGCCAGGCTTCAAAACCAATCACATCTGAAAGTGGGTGAAATACACTGTCTCTGGGAGAGCCTGTGAAAGTTGAACAGACCATGATGGACGGTATCTGATGAACTTCACAGTTTCTTCTTAGACAGAAAAATGGGAGGAACGAATAGTGTGCACAACAGAAGCTGGGCATCACTCTCTGAGCTATAGAAAGTGTGTCTTGGAGTGGGGAGTTTGGAGGGTTTGGCACCCAGCAAGTGGGTGTGAGTAGCGTGGGGGAAGGGCTTCGGTTCTGGCCACAGGCTCTGGGCGAAGAACTTTCCTGCCGGCTAGAAGTGCAGTTTCCTCAGAGACAAAGCTGCAGTCACTAAATCTCCCCAGCATTTACCCTCGGAGCTGCAGCTCACGGCATCTGCATTTCTTCCCTTCTTTTAAAGAGAAAACTGATCTTAAATTGCCAAGTTGGGGGTGGTGGTGTTTAAACTTTTCTGAAGAAAGAAGTGTTCGCAGTGATGTTAACAAAAGTTTTGATTTTCCACGGAAAAATAAGCAAGATTGAGCTCCTGCTCGATGTTCAGAGGGCAGCGCTGTGACTTTTCCTGTAATTGTCACATTTTGGAAAGACCAAAATGCTGACTTGTCTCAGCAGAGGTCAGGACTGCAGCGAGGGGAGCAGCCTCGTACTTGCAGGGGATATAAACATTTTCACATGCTGTGATGCGGGGCCCTCCTGGGTATACAAGTAATTCCACCGTCTTGGAATAAAAAACTACATGGCTTCAGGGATCTCCCAACCTTCTCAGTTTCCCCCCAAATATCTGTCTGGCAAATGCACACAAAGAATTTTCCTTTGCAAGTCACGGGTAATTCTATATTCTCTCTGCCCCCTTTCGCTCCAGGTCACCCTGCTCATGTCTGGAATGTAAAATACATCTCAAGATGTAATGGAGAAAAGGGAGACTCTTAATGAAAACATCAGCTGCTACAAATGCAGGGCCAATAACTAAAATTAACTAGTTGTGCTTGTAACAACACATTTTCTTTCCTGGCTGCTGGGGCGATGTTTTATCTCTTGCTTCAGCAGCTTAAGACAAGCTGCTTGTTTTACACGTGGGATGGAATGCAGGTGTGGAAAGGGCTCCAGCAGATTATTGGGTCTCCACTCAATAACTCAGGCAGGCCGGCATTTCAACTAACCCCGGCAGTTGGCTGTCGATTTCATTTTTAAAGATTTCTGGAGACAAAGCCAGCCCCCACAGCCCTTGAAATCACAGCCTCTTTTAATCTCCCTGCAAAGCCAAATGCTTCCACCCTTGGTTCAACCAAGCTTTTCCTACCTGTAACCTAAGTTTCCTTACACTTGTTTATGAAATTCCAGGTGCTCGGTCTACTCTTTTTTAAAAAAAGATGGACCTGTGTCCAGACCCAACAGAACTCTGATGTGGGTCTGTGAGCACTTTTCTTTCTTTGTGGCAACTTAAGGGACTCATTGAGTACAGAATTATTCATGCTGCAGCTTCAATGCTCAATCATTCTAACAATCTCAAGATACAGGCACTGTTAGACACTGAAGTCAACCCATGCTGGATATATATGTACGCAAGCACATATATATGGTGATACTGTTCACATGCACTGCTACAGTTTTTGTTAGAACGTGGTTTTTGGTTCGGGTCTTCATTTCTGTAGTATCTCTGGGAGCCTTTGTTAAGACATGCTTACCCCTGATTCCCAGGAGCAACAGCAGCACCAAGTAACTTGGGGACACTGTGTGTCATCACATGGAGAAGGGAAGACCGGTCACAACCTTCTGCCTCAACAGCCCCGTTCATTTACGGATGTGGTGAGCAGGGTTTGTGCCCAATGAACAGCTTGCTGCATTTCAGGGAGAGTAGTTACCTCCACCTCCCCAATGTCTCCACAATCCAGCCTGTTAATTTTAATTCAGACTGCGCTCTCTCTCTAAGGAGCCATGCAGGAGGTGGGACTGTGCCCTTTCCATGCGTTAACACTGATACATGTGCAGCAGGCGCCCCTGGGCTCTACCCGCCCGGTGTGCTTCCCAGCGGGCCGCCGGATTCCTCAGGGGTTTCAGAGACGGGAGCTCTTAGAAAGTGGCCTCTGGGACCAAACTTTGGCCATGTTAAGACTCTTAGGGGTGCAGGCATTCTGAGGCAAAGTCTGTGTTGGCCACTAAGGAAAGTGGGTTTAGGGAAGGCGGGTGGCTGATGAAGAGAAGTCTACAGGAGGATAGGGGTAGGGATCTGGGCCAGTTCTGAGAAAGTCACCAAAAATATCTGGGTAGGACTTTGTTACATGAAAGTTGGTGACCCAGTGCTGCTCAAGACAGGGGCAGCGAAACCCCACACTTTGGTGAGTCTTTGGAAAACATAAAAATAATCCAGGGAATGTGCTGGGCAGGAGTGGGACACAAGAGGAAGATGGCAGTGGGTGTTCTGCCCTTGGTGTCTGGTGACGAGCCAGGGGACAGCTGACCTGATGTAGAACATTGTAAGGAATCCTTCTGTCTGGAAGCCCACCTCCCCAGATGGTCCCAGACCTCAGCTAGGTGTCCCCAGAAGGGACAGTGAGCCTTGTGCACAGGCTGGGGCCACTGGCTCTAAACCCGGGAGCTGGCAGCACAGCAGCGAGAACCAGGCCTGGTTCTGGCTATGGGGCTGGGGTCTTCCAGAGTGGAGCTAAGCTACGGAGGATCCCCCCTCCACCCCTGGAGTGGGCACCAGCGTAGGTTGGCTCCTTAATAAAACAGGGGCTTAAGGTGGCAGACCTCCTCTGGTTCCGCCGTGGCTGCAGCCATCTGGCCCTGGAGAGCCAGGTGCCCATAGTCACTGGTCATTTGTGAAGCCAGTCCTCCCAACTCCTCCGGGTTAGTAACCGACTTAGTCATCTGGAAAAAGAAAACAAGCAAGACACAAAACACACACAAAGAAAAGCATGAGAATCATGTGTTAATACCTTTGGAAGCCAAAGGATTTCATTCACTTTTAAGCCCTTGGCTCGCATTTGGGGCGGGATGCCAGAGGGGGCAGTTCAAGCGAAGCCCATGCTGCATCGCACACAACAGGCCAGGGCACCTCTCGGGCCAGCGGGACCTGGCCCGGCCAGTGGGCAACATGCTAGGCTCGGGCCACGTGCCACGCAGCGTGGAGGCTGGGCCCTCGGGAAATCTACCCTGGGAGGTGGGCGTGGCAGCCCGGCCCACTCTGCCCCGTGGGTCAGTCACCAGAGGAATTCCCCCAGGAGAAGCTAAGGGAGCATGGTCCCTGTGCGGTGCACACGCCCGGTCACACACTCCTGCAGAGAGTTCAACTGGGCTCCAGGGACCCAGAAGTGGGTCCCACTCGGACAGACAGGACATGAGGACAGGGCTGGTAAAGACTGCTCGTGACTGAGAAGTGATGGATAAGACCAAAGCTCTGGGGGAAGAAATTTACAGACCATACAGGTTCACAGGGAACATGTGCCAAAGAAGGACAAGGTTTTGGCTCCAAATTGAGTTAAGGGTATACCGCAGCCTAAATGGTCAAGATCTACCCTTTCATTATCAAGATATTCTGTATTTCCCCCCACTTTCACAGAAAAACTTACCTCCATTCATCCCTCCTAGCTAACATTCTACTCTCCTCTTCCTTCGACAAGCACGCCATGGTTCTCACAACTGCAGTTTCAGCCTCCACCCAGACACCGATCCTTGCCCCTCTTGGGTATGAGGCTTCCCACCTGCCTCACGTCTTCTCTCGCTCTGATGAGAATACTTTCTCTCTCTCTCTGTGGCATTTGAAGACCTTGATTTTAAAGAGCTTTTAAAACCCCCCTTTAAATGACTCCCTATCTGTTGAGGCGGGATGGAATGTATAGCCATGTTTACCAGGAAGTGTCAGGATTTCAGGCCGAGGTGCGGGGCCCCAAGAAATGCATGCTGACCCCCACAGAAGCGAAGCTGTCCCAAGAGCTGTTGTTTCATTTGAGCCCTGCCATGTGGCGCACAGTGATGCCGGGCTGCCCTGATGCAGTGAAGCAGGAGTCTTGTCAACCCAGGGCCCAGGCTGGTTATCCCAGGGCCAGGTTCCATGAGAACATGGGCACCAAGGGGCAAGACAGGCTAGCCGAGAATCTAGTCGAGAATCTGGCCGAGAATCTAGCCTGGGAGACACTCCAGAAACACCAGGAGGCCACTTGAAATATCCGCACCTTCTGCTGCACTGTGCTCCTGCTCCGAGGAGTCGGCACTGCTGGGCTGTCTGACTCGATGTGGGACCTGCCCCTGAGCAGCGCCGGCCAGGCCGCTCTAGCCTTTCCGAGGCACTGAGATGGGCACTGTTCCTCCCGCCCTCCCAGCCCAAATCCTTTTCCACAACAACAGGCCTGGCACAATCACGGAGTTTCTAAGAATGAGCAGCAGCAGCAGCAGCCAGGGAAGCCTTTGTGGTCCAAGCTCAACCTCTAGTGGACACAGGACTACATGACAAAACTGTCCAGACAGGCGGTGGGCCTGACGGGGCGGGAACCGCGCCAGGGCCCGGTCTGGGCCCTCCAGCTGGGAAGGGCTGCTTGACCGTTCAACTCGGGCTCGTGCAGCAGCACCAAAGAGGTACCTTTCAAAATTCTGTCACATGCCACCTGAACCTAGGAAAGTTGAGTGGAACTTTCATGCTAGTACTCCTGTTAATCCCTCGAGGACACCATTTGTCACCTTTTGTACAACTTTTTAACATATCGAGATAGCATCCACTGTCTCTCAATGCCATTTATAGCGAAAGATCCATATAATACAATTATGACTGCATTACATTTTAACAACAACAAAAAAGTTACCTCTAAAAGTAACATGCCTCCTATTGTCAGGATTTTTTTAAACACATTATCTGTGCTGTTTCATTTTGCCTGAAAGACTGGCAATCTTATTGTTCAAGTATTAAAATTTGATTCATCAATCTATGTTTTATCCCCAAACGTCTTCTCTTGTACTCTAATTTTAATGTCTAAAAACACCTCAAGTCCTTTGTGAGAGGAATAGGATTTTTTCCTTGCTCTGCAACTCCCAACTTCTTTCTGATTTCTTCCTTGATTCTCATTTTCTCTCCTTCCTTTGCTCCCTTATCCTTATGCCCAAGTCTCAGCAGTCTCTGATTCTCTCTGGGGGGACTGTGGCTTGTAGACCCCAGGCAGCTACAGAGACCACAGATAAATGACAGGCGCTGGGGCCCTGGAGGGACTGGAAACAGCAACTAATCTCTCCCAGGCAGAGCCAGGAACTGAAGACTCAGTGGCGTTGTGGATAAAAGGGCATCAACAGGGGGCGGGGCTGGTTCTTTTTCTTCTTACCATTTCCTGAGCTGTTACCGCAATGGCTTTAGAATATTTGACCACAGTCGTCTGATAGTCGACGAATGTCCCCTTTGGTTCTGGAGGCGTGCCATCATCCAGCTAGAGGAGAGGGAAAGAACCCAGAGGTCGTAAGAGGACAGCTAAAACGCAGGCTGTATGAGAATTAGGAACTTTAGAACTGGAGAGGCCCTCAGGGTCTCTCTGGCCCAGAGTTACCAGAATCCCACGTCTTTTGCAATGAGGACTCCCACAGGGGTGCGTGTGAGGCAATCGAGGTACACAGGCAAGGAGACACCCCCAGCACTGCCTGAGGGGGAGTGGGGGCCTTTCCAGAAGAATGGCGTTTCAGCCATGTCTTACCAAGGAGAGGAGCTGCTGCACGTATAAGGTGGGGAAGGTGTCCCAAGGACAGGGAATGGCATCCAGCCACAGAAAGGTGGGAGTGAGCTGGACAGCTGGAGGGAAGCACAGTGACAGAAATGGCTGGGGAAGGAGGCAAAAATCTCTATCACAAAGGGCTTCCCCAGACGTCTCTGCCTCGGAATGCTCACTTCTGATCTGAGCTGAGAAAGAACTTAGAAGCACCGGATGTAATTTGTTACTCGGCTGACTCTAAGCACAATAGGAATTGAGAGAAGGGCGAGGTCATCATGGGGTGGAAGAGCTAGAGAAGTGGGACAATGGCTGTTCCTTAAAGGGTTATCTAGGGACATATTGGTTCAGAAGACTTGTATTCCAGGGCTTGTAAATGGGTCTCAAGCTGGGTCTCTGAGTCTCAGGTCCTTCGCCGGAAACTTCTAAGTGTCAGAAGGTCAAGTGAGATCATACCCGGTCAGGAGTTACATGAAGGAAGAGGAGATGATGACCATGATATTGAAGAAGATGACAATAGTAATGTTAATGTTGATGATGATTATGATGAAGACAATGGCAACTTGTCTTCACCACATCACTGTTACTGTCACCACTGGTTGCCAAATGACAACAGGTGAGAAGACAAGGTGAACGTAAATAAAGACAAAGAACAGTGAACAGTGGGGACAGTTGAGAGTGGTGGGAGTGAAGCTGGATCTGTTTAGTGAAAAACCTTGCCCTGGCTGGTGTGGCTCAGTAGACTGAGTGCCAGCCTGCGAACCAAAAGGTTGCCAGTTGATTCCCAGTCAGGGCACATGCCTGGGTTGCAGGCCAGGTTCCCAGCAAGGGGTGTGCAATCTCTCCCGCACTGATGTTTCTCTCTCTTTTTTTCTCCCTCCCTTCCCCTCTCTCTAAAAGTACATAAATACAATCTTTAAAAAAGAAAGAAAGACCATGAAATCATGAGAAAAATGGTGGCAGTGGGGGTAGGCAATGACGTATGTGAGAAGATCTCTTTGGCAGCTCTGCCGAGCAGCTTGTAGTCAGGGAAGAGACAAGGGGCCAAGAAGGCAATTAGAAGAAGGTTGGGTGCAGTCTTCAGGAAGAGCTACCCCTCATGAGCAGGCATAAGCTGCACTGTGAATGGAAAGAACGTACTGCGGTAGCCTACGTGTGATAATGGGTGTGCTCAGCCTGGGATGTAACTTCCACCAAACCATCAGCACAAACTCCAGGCTACATCTGTTTTCTTAGGCTTCTTTACCAGGGAGATAGATGCTGCCAAATATCTCCACCACACCGTGGGAGCCTCGTGGATCAAATGAGGATTGAGTTGTGGGCTCAGACACTCAGTCTAAAGTCACTGTATCTTCTTAATATCAGGGGATGTGCTGAGAGCCTTCGTATGAGATGTGGCGTAGTCACAAACGCTCCGGAATTTTGGAGCTAAAGGGCAGCTTAGAATACAGGGGCCACTGGCCACTGGGATGAACCTTCCTCCAGTTTGCAGACAGTGAGAAAAGAACAAAAGGGTTAATTGAAAAATTTCTTCAAATTTAGTTGAAAAAACTTTCGTTTATTCTGAGATTGTAGTCTTCCTACTGTTTTTAATGTTAACACAACCTTTTATGAGACGACAGTGATGTAGATAGCAGTGTTTTTGCTTTTGCTTTTTGTTTCTTTAGCTTCTTTTCTTGCCCTACCTCCTCCCCAGCCAAAAAAACTGCATGCCAGACAAAGAAAAGATACTGGATCACCAAATCCCAAAGGTTGAGAACTAATGTCAATTAGTTCCCATTGAATGCGAAAACCAATGTCCAGAGAGCTTGACTGATGTGTCCAAGGTGACCCATGGAGCTGGTTACTTCCTATTAATTTATTGGTCCCCAAACCTTCTGGGGCTTACTCACAGAGAGAGAATCTCAAGAAGAGTCTCCATTGCAGAAGCCTCAAAAGTGTCAAGAACTACATCCAAGTTAGAATGACCTTAGGGTACATTCACATTTTTCTGCCAGTAACTGTCTTTGAGAATTTTAGACAATGATTCTAAAAATAGATCAGTAGTTTAACCAAATAACTGAGGCCCATAAAATGCCCGCTTTCTAATGCCTTGCTGCTTCGGGAGAGGCTCCAAGGACCTGAGGTAACACTGAAAACAAAGCCCCAGCATGGGCAGCTGGCGTGGGCTGCGTAAAGGGAGAATGGGAAAGGGGCACTGCATGGCACACCTTGGGTGTCAGGGCTGGGTAGGTGAGAATTTAGGGCTATCAGTGAGAACCCAAATGAATACTTTCCACAACCAGGAGGGGGAAAAACTTATGTTCCTGTGGCAGTTCCTAATTACCGCTCCCAGGTAAGCCTCACTCACTTCCCAGCCCTTCCAAAAGCATCTACACCGCTGACATCAGCTTGTACCAGAGCTGCTTTTTCCTTACTGAATCTACTACAGCATGCAAAGCACAACGGCGATCAAGAAAGGACTTCAGGAACCTGACTTTCACCATCCGGAGATTTATGAAACTCTTCCCTATTCCTATAGTGATTGTGAAGAACCCCTTTTTCTGAGAAGAAAGAGATTATTATTTGGATTTCTAATTTGTACTGAGAAACCTTGAGAACCACTATTTAATATCCTCAGTAGACACATGGCTTATTCTTAAAGCTCTAGTACTCGGATGTCCTGAAAATAAGAGAAAGCCATGGAAACTCATCCTAGGGCCTTGAAAAAGAGGGGACATCTCACACGCTTTCTGCCAAACTGCCCACATTTGCAGCATGATAAGACCACATCAGAATTTATGGGAGTGCTTTAACAAGGCTGGAGTCTCGAGCCTGGAAAGGAAGCCCCCGCATCTCCGCCTGGCTTGTGACCTCATCAGTCTGATAACGACTGCATAATGTTTGAGGGGATTCATCCCAATTATAGTTTCAGGCTATCATCTCTTTATGAAGATATGAACCCACCAATCTACTCTAAATTAGCAATTAAGGACTGCTTATTATCCTGAAAAATTATGAGTGTATTCACAATCTGACAATGGATGTTTCAAAACACAGACAATGTCTAAAATTCTTGGCTATGCCATCACAGGATAGCAATTAGATGTTTATGAACAATTGTTAATTCTAATGAATGTCAAACTGACATGACTAATGAGGATTCCGTGGGGGAAGGAGCCAAAGGCACAGAGTTAAAACTGGCTTTAGTCACATATCCTACTGACAGAGCTCAACAGAAGGGTCACTAGGAGAGAAAGGATGCTGACTGTGTCTTCTGTATCGACCGCCTCTAGGAGTTCGCTGAGGGCTTCTGTGCGTCCTACTTCAGTGGGTTCTGCATCTGGCTAGATTTAAAAATCTGAAGAGCTTTAAAAAATACAAACATAGTTACCTAGCCTCCACCCCATAGAGATTTCAGCAGAGTAGGGCTGGGGGAAGGCCCAGGAATGTGCATTGTGAAATGACCCCAGAGATTCCAAAGTAGTCATTCCAAGGACCAGTACTTGGGAATCACTTCATTATGTCATTTCAGAGTTTGTTCCCTACAACAACTCTATGAGGTAGACAGGGGAAGTAGATTAGTATTTCCATTTTATAAGTGAAGTAACCAATAATATCTTCTGCAACTCTACTCTCTTGTATGTAGAACTGGAAGGAAGGGTACAACTGGCTTACCACAGTGATGAATGAACAATGAAGAATGAATATGTTGAACAGAAGATAGTGCATCTGTACAGTAATTAAAACCCTGAAGGAAAGGGAAAAGGTGCTCTTTGGAGAAAAGCACCCAGGGACCAAGTCTAAGGGAAACCCTGGAGGCAATCGGATCAGGGGTGAGGGTAGTTTTGGGGAGCCCAGACCCACCTTGCTCATGGCTTCGGCAATGGCGTCGACCATGCCTCCCACCAGCCCCACTTCACTGGCAGCTTCGTTTAGTGTCACCATGATGTCATCCACAGCCTCCTTCATGAGCTGGGCGGCCTCTGTGATGGCATCGTGGGTGTGCTGCGCCTGAGAAGGGAGGGGGGAAGAAGGTGGTGAAATGTTCCCTTAAGCAGAAAGATGGTGCTCAGGCTCTTAAGAACCACTTCACTGCTTTTAAGAATAACCAGAAAAAGCAGAGTACAGAACTCTATCACCATTATGGTACACGGCAATGTATTCTATATATTTTCTTTCCTTTATTAACTTTGTACGTTAGTTTTAAAAATAAATAAGAATCAGAAAAACAAACAGAAAAAAGATCTCTTCATAATGCAAAGGAAAAATAAAATTGCAATATCAAGCAGCATTTTATGACATGACTAATTTTATGTTTCTATGTTTGGGGTGGTAGAGAATGCCACAGATTGCCAAATATACAAGTGGACATATTTGATTAAAAATAAAAAGCTCATATAAAGGAAAAATGTGTTTACATCAAATGTACTTCTCTTCAAAGCTTCCTAGCACAGTTTAATTCTCTTTCTACAAATAAGATTGCTTTATGGAAATGTAGGTACATACAAGAAACATAAATCTGTAAAAGACGAAGAGGTTTTGGAACTAATTATATTGCCAAAAGGTTGGAGGAATGAGTGAGCAAAGTCCTCCAGGGACAGATGCTCTGCAGGCAAAGCCATGGGTGTTCATGAGTTCCCCCAGATAGTACCTTAGAGATGCTTTAACTGCAGGTGTTGAACCTGTGTGTCAAGCACATAGTAGGAGCTAGATAAGTGAAGGAATGAAAAGGATGAAACAGTAATGGGTGCTAGGCTCTCTGAAAGGTACCTCAAATGGTAGCAAGAGGCAGGGGCAAGAGCCAAGTTCCTGGGGTGGGAGGTGGTGGTCAGGAAAACGCTGGTTCTAGTTCTGGCTCCACTGTTAACTAGCTAAGTGGCCCCGGGCTTGGCTTCCTAAGCAAAATGGGAATTATAACAATGCTATGCAGTGGAATTCTGATGAGATCATATGGTGCAGACCCCTTATCATTTCTAACAAGAGTGGCCTAGTTGGGGTCTGTGCCCAAAACTGGGAAGTCTGACCAATGCCAGGTGGGTAGCATCAGAACCGCACTACACCCGGGCACTGCAGGCAGCGGCCGTGGTTGCCCAGGCCAACTCTCAGGGGAGGCAACCCTTCAAAGGGGTCCAAGAAGGCACATTTTTACTTTGGTAGATGAGAAGGTAAGGAAAACAGTGAGACATGCTAAATGACAATTCTTTTGAGTGATTTAAATAAAAACAAATTCCAAGAGGGCATGTGAGCCATAGAAACCAGCTCTGTCTGCAGTATTGAAAAGCCATGGGAACCATGAAGAGTTCTTCCAAAATGACATCTGTCAAGATGAGAAATCAGTTGATCACATATGGTATTCTTGAGGCAACAACTGTGTCAGGATGTAAATGTTAATTATGGACCATTACCACTCAAATTACTTTAGAGGAAAACAATGAAAAAGAACCTGGAGTGACAAATATCCCTTCGCTCTTTACCCGACTGGTGTCCACTCTTTCTGTTTTTCAGGCCCTCGATGGGGGCAGGGAGGCAGTCTCTCTCTCGGCTTATTTCCCCTCCTCCCTGGCATGGAATCCTGGCTGCTGCCGGGCTGGCCTTCCCACAGGTCCACCCTTTCACCCTCTGTCTGCAGAGACTGGTTCTATTCACCTCCTCCCTTCTCACCTTTATCCAAATCCAGGCACCAGACCTGGGAGTAACTGAGCCTCAGGCCATTTGAGCCCCAGCCACTGTTTTACTGCAATGACAAGAAGGGCTGGCTCTGAATGAGAACTGTCTTGCTGAACTCCGTGAATTTGCAAGCCCACCATGGTTGGGACTAAAATTGTGTTTTAAGTCACCACATTTTAGGATGGCTTGTTTGCTGTAATAGCTAACTGGAATAGTACCCCAGAAGGGCTCCTAACCCAGCCTTAGGGTCAGGAAGACTCTTCAGCAGGTTGAAGGTGAACCCTGGAGGAAGAGACCAGTTGCTGGCAGAGTTGATGGGGTGAGAGAGAAGGGGGAGCCTTCCAGGAAGAGGACATGGCCAATGCCAAGGTCCGGAAGCGAGAAGGAATGTGGAGAAGACCGGGCGAAACGCTGTATGCAAAGTGCGTGGTGCACCGCTCCTGCCTGCCTTCTGTTCTCTCCCACCCACTCCAGGTGGTCTCTCCAATAAATCGTGTGCTTCTTGCAGACAATGTACTCAGCTTCTCTTTGGAAGCATAGTGCTCACAGGAAATGAAGGGCCTGAGGAAGTCACAAGGTGGGGCTAAGTAACCAGTGAGACAATTTTCTTTTCAAAAAATTTTTACAAGGATAACCTTCACAGGCTGTTGGTGCCAAGTTCTCCTCTGGAGAGGCTCATTTGGAAATAAATGAAACCATCTGTTTTAATGATGTGAAACAGCCATGAGTGGCAGAGCTCGGGGCAGAGACAGGGCTTGGGGGAAGTCAGAACAGGACTGGCCCTCCCTTTCCAACCCCGAGCCACCGCCTGGGCTTCCTCAGCTGTGATGACATGCTGTAGCTCTCCTGTCTGGTCCAAGAACACATGACAGCATTCACGATGATGCTGGCAAAATGCCAAAGGTTCATGTGTCCTTTATACATTGCAAGACCCAACCCGTAGGCCCAATATCACATTTATATCAGCTTTATAATCTATGTTCTTGTTATCTTGGGTTCAGCATTTTACAAAAACAACAATAGATGTCAAACCACGTAACAGCAGAAACGGCAGACAGCCACTTGCATGTAAGCGGGACTCCTCAGTGCTAGGCACTGCGCTGACTGCTGCTGTGCTCACCTCCTTTAACCCCCACAGCCCAGTGGAAGGGGGGGAACCTTCTAACAGTGATACTGTGGAAACAGAAGCGTATGTGCTAGAGCTTAGAGACCTGGTGGATGACAACAGCCACTGACTAGCTGGCCATCTGCCGAACTTATATGTCACTGGTCAAAAGGAAAATGAGCATGTTTAGATCAGATCAAATTTTTCAGCACGACTGGAAAAATAAACCTTAACATTTCAGCCAGTCCCCCAATCAGGTAATGTTTTAAACAAGGCAGAGCCACGCAGGTGCTACATGGCAAAGGCAAGGGGCCTCAGGACCTGCTGCCAATCTGAGAAGCTGGCTGGGTCACCCTCACTCAGAGCCCTCCGGGCATGTCAGCATCAGCCTGGCCTTCGCTCTCTCAGTTCTATCTTCCACGTGGGCTCTACACTTGCCCACAAACTTACTGCCAGTTCAGTTTCCAAATTTGCTCCTTAGAGCTCCCCAGGGCCCAGCCTGCACATGTCTTCCAACTCCTGGTAGCTGGCCATCAGATGAGCCTTGACCCTGGTGTTGAATAGTAAAATATTCAGCTGGTCTTTGTCCTAGGTTCCTCAGAGGGAGCCCTATAAGCTCTTAGCATTTTCTGAGCAATATAAGGGTTTCTGTCATTCACGGTGGGTCCCTCAGATCATACGCTGGTTTATGTTAACAAGGTGACTTGTGGTGGCCCCCAGGTAGTTTTAAGATAGGGTCTGGCCACGCTGGAAAGACCAACCATGTGATTAAAGGATTGGGGCTTTGAACAACATAATAGTAGCCTGATCTCCATCTGACCTCTAGAGAGATGAGCGGGCTAGAGATTGAGTCATTGGTCATATGACTGAACTCGATCTGTATGTCCAGCCTGTCTAACGAAATCCCAATAAAAACTGGACAGTGAAGACAGAATGAGCTTCCCCAGCTGGTGATGTATAGCCTTGTGCTGGGCAGGTGACAGCCTGAGGACAGGAAGCTTCATGTCTGGGACCCTGCCAGCTCACATCCTCTTTGTCTCTTCTTTTGGCTGGTTTTTATCCTTTACAATAAAACTACAGTTGTAAGTAGAGTGATTTCCTCAATTCTTTGAATCATTCTAGCAGATTATAGAACCTAAGGGGTAGTGAGAACTCCTTGGTCAGTGTGAGGGTGGCCTGGGAACCTTGGAGCTGTGGCTGTGGCTGAACTGGGGGCAGCCGAGTTGGAACCGGTGCCTTTGACCTGGGAAGTCTGACCTAATGCTGGGGAGTAAGCATCAAAATCACATTGCACCCAGGTGGGGGGGTCCACCCAGGCAGTGGTCACGGCTGCCCTGGGGAGAGATGACCCTTCCAAAGGCCCAAGAAATTGCATCTTTACTTAGACTGATGAGACAGTAAGGAAGCCACAGAGAGATGGTTAATAACCCTTTTGAGCGATTAAATGAAAGAGAAGAAACCTAAGAGGAGGCTGTGTGAGCCACAGGAGACTGACCCTGTCCGAAGAATCAAAAAGCCACAGGAATCAGAAACTTGAGTGAGCATGTGCACTGTGTGGCTGTTGCATTAAAAATGACTGAGCAAGTAGAGTATCAAATCTGCATCAAATTTTGCATTAAGTTTGAATGTTCCTCTGCAGAACCTATCTGGATGATTCAAAAGGCCATGGCTGTGGGCAACTGGTGATTGGCAGCTTCATCATGACAGTGTGCCCACTCATGCATTGTTTCATGCAGATGCAGAATTTTTTGACAAAACATCAAATTACCCAGGTGACTCAGCTCCCCTACAGCCCACATTTGGCGCCCTGTGACTTTAGGCTCCTCCCAAAACTAAAATCACCTTTGAAAGGAAAGAGATTTCAGAGCATCAATGAGATTCAGGAATACACAACAGGGCAGCTGATGGTGATTGGGAGAACTGTGTGAGGTCCCAAGGTGCCTTCTTTGAAGGGGACGGAGGCATCACTGTTCTATGTACAATGTTTCTTGTATCTTTCTATCTTCTTCAGTAATTGTTTCTATTTGTCATATTACATGGCTCCTGGACAGAACTTGTATAACACATATAACATACAAAACATGTGCTGATTGTTTATGTTATCGGTAAGGCTTTCGGTCAATGGTAGGTGGTTAGTAGTTAAGATTTTGGGGAGTCAACAGTTACACATAGATTTCTGACTGTGCAAGGGGTCACTGCCTCTAACCCCTATGCATTTTAAGGATCAGCTACACACATTTTGGGGGAGAGGAGAAAGCTGCTAGCCAAGTATCCACCCCCCTGTAACGTCTCAGGAAGGTGTCAGAAGCCCATTTCAAGGCAGCAGCAGTAAGTCACAAGCTGCTCTCTGAATTCCCTGGGAAACGTAAAGGGCACTTCCTCCACACAGAGGCACCCAAACCTACAAAAACACATCCTTGCCCTTTGCTGTCCCAGAAATAAATCGTCCCATCTGCTCCTGCTGAGGAATTCTCTAAGAAATGCCTACTTTCCTTCAGTCTGCCTGTGTAATAAGTTTTAAAGATCCTTAAAGGGCGAGCTCCGAGTCTGCTTCTGTGCAGCCTCCTCGGACTCCTGCAGGCTCACCCAGGGCCGGCTCCTCTAACGTCCATGGCAAACCTCATCCTGATCTCACAGCCAATCCAATTCACACCCATGGGCTGGCTGCGCCGCACACTTGCTCCAGACGCCCAAAGACACAGTGGCCTGGGCTCTCGATTCAGGCTTAACTGACACACAGTGATCTGGAAAGTGGAGCCAGCTGGTGGCCCAGCAATGAACTTGGTATTTTAGATTCTCGTCCCTACTCCTCTCGGCACAACACAGGAGAAAAATCAGAATGCCGTTCTTTTTTGGAAACATGTCTGAAGCCTACTTCCAAGGGAGCCCGAGTCCCTCCTTCCAGCGCTGTAACCACAAAGCCCCGTGTAGCCTGCTCAGACATCACAGGAATTTGGGGAATGGAGATTCAGGGCGCAGATCTCCACTTTGGTAGAGGGAAGAAACAGCTTGTCCCTGAGCCACCCAATGATGGAAAGACTGTATTTGCTGAGTGTGCAGTCAGAGCTGCAGGGGCCCTTCCAGGAGAATCTAGGAGGGAACTTGGTGGGGTGGGGGTGAGGCTACACGGGACTCCTCAACGCCAGGCTCTGAGGCAGCTACTTTTTCTTAAAACACATAATGCATTGGGCTCATTATCTCATTTAATCTCTACAACTACCCCAGAGAGACATTCATTATCAACTCCATTGTTTAGATGAAGAAACGAAGAAATGAAGTAGTTTGCCAGCAAAAGGCAGAGCTGGGATTTGAATCCAAGTATATCAGATCCCAAAGCTGGTGCTATTTTTCACCAAATCAAAGCTAATGATAACTATTTAACCATATTTCCTGTGCAAACAGGGACACACACAACATACATAAAACATGCATATAACACACAACACACATATACAACACACATATCACCTAACACCTAGTAAATATCTGCCCCAAGAATGGCCCCAAAGTAATTAAGTCTGTGCTTCAGGCCTCTTAAGAAAGGGCCTAAAAGACAACTTGTAGTGTCCAGGAGTCCTTGTGACAAGCCTGTCAGAGTGTGCAGAGAGAGCACAGGTTGAATGGCATTGTTGAGGGGACAGACATAAACTCCTGCCTTGCCTTTACTCATCTTAGTCCATCATCCAGCACCTTAGGTCATTTGCTGAAAACAAGTCTGCACTGGTCTCCAGCCATCATTTCCAAGCAGATATCATCATAAGGCTTACAGTTCAGGTTTCTTGGCATAAAACAGAATCCCATGAAGAGCTCTTTATTACATGCAAAGACTTGGCAGTAAAGAGCCCCAGAGAGAAAACAACCCAGAACTGGGTCCTGGAGGTGAGTCCTGGCTCCCCCGGTTTGGGGAGGCTGCAGAGGGGAACGGCGGGCTCTGGGGCACCCATCACTGATCTCCCACAGTGAAAAGGGTGTGCTGGCTCTTGTTGCTCTACTCCCTGGTTCCAGCAACTAGACTTATTATTCTTTTCCAGGAAACTCAGAGAACAATGTGAGGGCGCTGGCTGACACTTAATATTTTTAGTATTCCCATGATAAGGTTCTTCATAGTTGCCAGATACATGAATAACAGAAATGCAGGTTGAAGACATTATTCATGCATCTACCAGAATGGTGTCCCTACACTTTGTCATTCCCCACTGCTTACTACAAAGCCCGACTCCTCGGTGTGGAAGAAGAAAGCTGTCGTACCTCGGCCCAGCCTATCCTCCCGTCCGGCTGCCTCTGCACTCTGTGCCTTCCACGTACACTCGACTGCGTGCTACTTCCTAAAGCTATCAGAATTCTTTTATAACCCTATCCATGCCTTTGTATATGCCCTTCCCTTCTCCACGGAAGAGTCAAGCCAATCTTATGTGCTGGGTAATTTCCTTTTTTCAGATCAACCAGCCCAAGGTCCCCACTTTCCTGTAGCCCTCCTTGACCTCTCTCTGGTCTTGGCTTTGGGCAGAGTTGGCAAAGGCTCATGGGACGAAGGCTCAGCCCTGGCTCTGCCTCCACCCTTGGAGATCTCGGACAACTCGCCTGGGCACTCTCAGTCTCCATTTCCACATCTGCAAATGGGAACTTTCCTACCTCCTAGAATGTTTATAAAGATTAATAAGGATATAAGGTACAATCAGTGACAGCCAGCATTAAAAAACTATTAGCTCTGATACTATGTTGCAATTCTCTTACTTCAGTCTTCTCTACTGTACCATGCTACCAACTGGATGTTAACAGGACACATTAAAAAGTAGATATACTCATGTGCATCCCTACAGCGTGTAGGTAAGCACCTCCCACAGATCTTTCTGGTCAGTGTTCCTTTTAGGTTAAGATCAAACTGAGCCCTGGCCAGTGTGGCTCAGTTGGTTGGGCACTGTCACATGACTTGAAAGATCACGGGTTCGATTCCCAGTCAAGGCACATTCCTGGTTGCAGGTTCAGTCCTGGTGGGGGTGCGCACGGGAGGGAACCAATCCATGTTTCTCTCTCTCAAATCAATAAATATACCCTTGGTGAGGATTAAAAAAGAGAAAATATCAGATTGATCAGGAGGGGGCGGCTGCTAGAAGGTACAAACAGCAGGAGGAGCCCCGACCCCCTAGCCAGGTGCCAGCACCTGGGGAGTCAAGGTGCACCACAGCTTCACGGCGAGACAACCGCCCCGACTCAAGCATCACCACGGAGAGAAAGGCACCTGCTGTTGTCACCTTCGGCCACTTTTAGTAGCCGGGTCACACATTAGGCTGTTCCACTTGCAAACTCCCGAGGGGAATTTTCAGATCACACTACTGTTCCCGAGGCACTAGCAACACAGGCCATGAGTGGCCTTGCACCACGGTTTGCTTTGAACTTGAACGCCAGGAATGGGAAGGACGTTCACTGGGAAACCACAGAGCCTTGCTTTGTGCTGAGAGGCAACACTGAGTGGGTCCTGGTGGGTGTTACAGTTTCCTCTTCCCGTAAGACCCACAAAATATGTTTTTGTTCCCCAAGGACACCTGCCTCACTTTCTGCCATGAAAAAAAACCCAACTTATAAATATGCATTAAATATGTATACTCCTTGTTGTTCCTCTTAAAGACCCCCGGGAAGGCCAATAGAAGATTACTTCCCACCTGAGGGGGAAGTCAAATGCCACCAACTAAGAACTGGAGGTGTTTTCCTCTGAGGGATGCGACACAGAGGAGCATGATGGCTTCTCAGTGGTCCTGTGTGAGTCCCCGGCATCCTGAGTGGTACCTTGGGGTTCCCTCCACCTTCTTTGGCTGCGTACAGCATCTGCAAGGCAGACTCCGCCAGCGTCTTCGTCTGGTCCAGCACCGTCATCTGCTGCTGATGGTCTAGAATCTTGGAGGTGACACCTACCGCGGCTAAGATCAAGGGCTCAAAGTAGCTCGCCAGCTGCGTCACCTTTCGAGATAAAAATGCCACAGATGCATCATGTGAATACATGTGTCTGCTTTAGGGGCCCTGCTCACTGGAGGGGAGGGGCTGGGGCAGGGACGGGGTGACTCCCAAGGAGAGTCAGGCCTGCCCAACTTCATTTTTTGGTCATTTTTTTCTATTACGCAATGCAGTATACAGTCACCACGTTATGTACCGGAATCTTAGAGCGTACTCATTCGGTCATTGCTCTGCTATGCTTTTGAACGTACTTGTGCTACATGAACTCTTGCTTGGAACTCTCACTCCCTCTGGGGAGCTCTGTCTCATCTCTTATCGTGGCCTAAGTGCTAAGAAATCCTTTCTAAGATCCAGAGTTTGGGGTGAGAATTTTACAAATTCTAATTTCACAAATGGAAAAGCCTGTGAAAGACTAAGAAGGAAGGGGCAGGGGAGCAGGGCAGATGAGAAGAGAGTGAGGAAAAGGCTCTGGTTTTTAGGAGGCCGATCCAACGGCCCTCCGTCCTGAGCATTTCGACCAAACTGTGTGGATTTGGAATAAAAGCAAAAATGATTTCACAGAAGCCTGGATGTTCTCCTAATGCTTCGCTAAACCTGGGAGAACAAATAAGCCCATGATGACAGCTCACCGCTGTTCCAGCAGAGACCCGCTGCCAGCAGGGCAGCACCAGGGACGCGCACACACGCTCGCCCAAACTCCCCAGACGGGCGCCGCAGTGCCACACGGCTCAGCGCTGATGGGGGCATCCCACTGCCAGCCTTCCTGCCAAATGCCTGCCCTCCGTTTGCTCATCTAATCTTCCTAACAACTGTGGGAGGCGGTACAAAGGCAGAACTGGAGGTTTAGACAGGTGACGCGACCTGCCCCACCTCATGCCCTGAGGCGGGGCTGAGATGGAGCTGGTGCTCCAGCCCAACTGTCTGCTGCTTTTCCTGTTCCTTCCAGTTCCGCTAAGCTGTCATATCAGATTTCAGTTTACTGTTTGGCATTTGTTTGTTGCTTTGTAAAGTACTTAAAAGGAAGGCCCAGAAAAACACAGCAACGCTCATTGACCTAGCATCCAGAACATTGCATTTTAACCTTTGGCTGTATTTCCTTCAGGTATCATAATCTATTCCCACTCAGATAAAAGGCACAGATTACGGTATTCTGTTCCAGCTCCTCATTTTGCGTGATGATTACTAATGGGTAAATTATTCCTACCAAGTGTATTTGAGCTTTAACCTTGAAACGGCAAGTCCCTTCGTGCTTCCTCCCGTCACGTGAAGGGAGAAGCGTGAGAAGGGGGTGTGGGTGGGAAGCCCGCTTCACATGAGCAGGGGCAGCCACTGGGTGAGAAACAAAGCAGGGGGTGGGAGTTTGTGTGGGGGGGTGTGGTGGCTGGGGCAACGTCGGGTTCCAAAATTTAAAGCTCACAGTGAGACAAGGCTGTCAGCCAGCAATTAACATACTATCTTAAAAAAAAAAATTCCTGATTCCAGTTGCCTTACAGACAGGTTTCAGAGCACATGTGCAGGTCTGCTGCTGGCCCTTCCCGCGATTTGTCTGAACTCCAACGGGGTTCCTCACCCTGTGAGCAGGTGTGACTGATGCCACCACCGATGCCACGACGCACGGCCTGGCTGGACGTGGGTGGGGGGCGGGGGCCCACCCCCTGGGGCCGACCCCAGGCGGCAGCCCCACACGTGTGCACTGGATTTCCTCCTCTTGCCTGGGAAGCACACTGGAGTCACCACCAAAGGGAACCGTGCAGGACGGGTCGCCAGGGCTCAGGGCTCAGGACGTGCCCACATGTACTCAGAAGAGTCAGGCTGTTTAATGTATTCCACTCTTACACGGTCTCCAGATTAGTTTTAGTATTTTAAAAGCATTTCATCATTGCAGCTGCAAAATGTCGAGGGTTGCCACGCTCTGAGGACAATCAACTGCAGCTGAGCCGGCGCCCGTCCTCCCCACGGAGGCCGTGTGGCTGGGTGACGGGAGAAGCTCTGGCGTCGGAGCCGCTGCATCGGAACCCGCCCTGCCAGCTGCTCACTGAGAAATCGTGGGCAAACTGCCTCCTGGGATGAGACATTGGTTTCCTCCTCTGCCCAGTTGGGATTAATAGTGGCATTAAGCTCAATACTATGAGGATTAAATTAATTTACGTGAAAACATTTAGCATAATGCCTGCCACGTAGTAGGTACTCAAATGTTGTCATTATTCTTCATGTATTGGGGGCAAAGGTTTTATAAGGGACGAGCCTTCTCCTGTGTTCAGGGAGCTAAGGCCTTCTGTTCTCGAGAGACATGACAGGACAGGAGACGTCCTCTCCTGGGTGAGCACAGTAGTTAAAATAACAGAGAATTCTGAGCATTTGGTATGTGACATTGATTCGCTCAGCCCAAGGTGGCAGAGAGGGTTGAATGGTGGCCCGCAGAGCACACATGTCCATGTCCAAATCCCCAGAACCCGTAAATGCAATCTCACTGGGGAAAAGGGTTTTTGCGGGTATATTTAAGGATCTTAACATGAGATCGTCCTGGGTTACTTGAGTGGGCCCTGAATCTGGTGACAAGTACCCTATAAGAGACAGAGTAGGGAAAGACAAACGGAAGAGCAGAAGACAGTGTGCCCACAGGGGCAGACATTGGCATGAGGCGGTCAAGGAATGCCAGGGGCAACCAGGAGCTGGGAGAGGTGAAGAACGGTTTCTCCCCTGAAGCCCCCAGAAAGAGTCTGGCCTGGCAACACCTTGATTCTGGTCTTCTGGCCTCCAGAACTGTATGAGATTAAATTTTTGCTTTTTTAAGTCACCCGGTTTAATTAGTAATTAGTTAGCAATTTGTTACAGCAGCCATGGGAAAACTAATACAGGTGAGGTCTAAGAATTTGTACTCAGCATTTCCAGATGATGCTGAAGCTGATCCAGGACACCCCTGGGCACTGTAATGAAGCGTTGGGACCATGTGGGTATCAACTCTCAGTCCACGACTCCTCTGGGCAGAGGTGCCTAGGCTGCCTTTGTCCAGACTCCTCTTTAGAAAGTCAGACTGGTTTAGCCAAAGGGCCAGGGGCAAATTTATGACTCAAGTGTTGCAAACATGTTATTCTTTTGATGCCACCCACTGACAAGGGAATACATCTTCCTTACTAACAATGTATCTGCAGAGACAAGGCTGTTGTTCTAGAAGTGTAAAAGTATTTTCTTATGAAATTGCTACTGGAATGAAAAGTAACTGCTGGAACAAAGCCCAGCTTCTTTGCCAAACGGTTTCCCAGCAGAACACAAACAGGCAGTGGCTGCAGCCCCCAGGCTGGTCCCCCAGCCCTTGCAAACCTCCTTTCCCAGGGGGACAAGCCCCTTTCTTACTCTGAAGGAACTCAACTGAGAAATAAAATTTACCACCCTTGAAAAGGCAGAGACACTGAGCATTTTAAATCTCAAAAACCTCTCATTGCAACACCAGCAGCAAGCTTAGTAGGCCCTGAAGCTGTTCTGTAATTTAAAAAAGCAAGAATATTGATCTCCTAAAATCGATATCCACAGAGACACTTCTGGCTCCTGGACTTCTTGATATGCACATCGATACTGACGGCTGCCTTGATAAAAGCTAGGTAACCTCAAATGTTGTTAAAAATCCAATTTCTGCCCTCTCTCTGAGGAGGCATGGGCTGCTTGATGGGCCAACTCTCCATGAAGGATTTGCAGAATGAACACCAACCAGGCCAAACATTACTGAGCACTTATAACCACACAGGTTGAAGGGCTCCTCTGGGGTGGCCACGTAGGGAGGCTTTAGTCCTCCAGAGAGAAATCTGCAAGTTTGCTTTGCTTGCTCACATGTGAAAAGAGGTGATATAATAGAGGCCATGGAAGAACAAAGTACCCCCAAAATACATGAGAATGAGGCCAGCCAGCCAGGGCCAAAAGGTGACGGACAGCAGGCTAGGAACATCAACTACAGTTTCTGGTGCATCTCGGTGAAGGTCACGAGCCACAGATGACTATAAATGCCTCACGGGTGGAAAAGTCTGACCACAGGCAGAGAAAGTTCCCTGGAGTTTTTGTCTCAACACCAGGTGAAAACAGATGCTGAGGGGGACACTTTTGGAGGAGATGCTAGAGGGAGGCTGAGCGCTGTTTTCCATCGTTTAAGCTAGCAGGGACCCAGGCACAAGACCTGGTACCAGGGTTTTAAGAATAGGAACAGAATCAATGAAAACCTCTCCCCCCACCACCCTCTCTCTTCTCAGCAGGACCCCCTGGGTGCACATCACCTTGTGTCCCAGCTGAGCTGCTTCTCCCCGAGCCGCTGTGGCGATGGGATCAATAAGGTGCCCGATTTCCTGGACTGCTGAAGTCAGCTGCTCCTGCAGGGCCTGATGAGGAGAAAGCTGTCAAGTTCACCCTATATACCAGTTCCCTGTGCAGGCACACTGACTTAGAAAGGCCCGTGTGAAAGACAAGGGAGGCCACAGAAGTGGACATGAAAATGCCTCGGCACGTCATCAAGCTGCTGTTCTCCCTGCCCCTCCCCAGGCCAAGGGTCCTCAGCTCTTCTGGGCTGGGACCCCCTCCCCAGCAGCACCCATGAGTGACATAAGGCAGGCCAAGGAACACTGTTCCTGCTGGCCTCTCACTCCCACCAACCACAGTCGCAGCTGATGCAACCGGTATCTTTCCACTGGGTTATTCAGCATAATTCCTGGAACTGTGGACTAGCCATGCCTTTCCAAGAAGAGAAAACAACTTTGTCCAAATGGAGACAACTAACAGTGGGCCTGAGGGACCATCCAGGTCACTGTGTCCTCAGGATTAAGAACTCCTTCAGGGAGCAGGGGAGTAGGGGAGTGGGTGACAGGAAAATGAGGCCACTTCTCTGGAAGCAGTACCGTTTCTCAGATGCCACCCTGTGAAAACGCCAGGGAGAAGCCCACCAGCTGAGGCTCTCCGTCCACTGTACTTGGTGATATGGACACAGTCACAGAAAATGGCATCCTCAAGGGTTTTCTTCTCAGGCCTGGGAGAGTTTGACCTCTGCATCCCAAAGAACTGAGTGCATGCCGTACAGAGACAGGGCAAGGTATCTTGGTGATGCCGGGTGGGGACTATTAGCTAATAGTGGGAAAGATCAGACCCTTTTGTAGGAATCTTCACAAGAGCTTTGCTGGAGAGAGTAAGGATTTAACATGGCAAAACACTGGCCATTTGAGGTCCGCACACACGAGCATAGACTGGATGCAGTTCCTGACACGGGTCACTGTCCTGCCCATCAGAAATGAGACTCAGTCCCTTCCCCCTGAATGATGCTGCACATGGGTTGGGAGCTTTGAGCAGATTCAGTCAACAAGACGAGCAGTGTAACATGAAGACAAAATTGTGGGAAAAAAGGAAAAACAGACAGCGATAAAGAGGTGGAGGAGGGCAGTGAGAAATCCCCAGATTTCCAAGGGTCTTATTTAATTAATTCCTTATCTTCTCACTTAGAACGTGACTATGGTCAAGAGTTCAAGAATATTCCAGCAATGTTGTCTTATTACAGATGGCTTGTTAAATAAAACATGGTGCAAGCAGGGAGCACGTGAGTTAAAGCGGAGGGCTTTCTTCCCAGGGAGGAAGGCAGCGGGTATGCACGGGGAGGGAAGGGACCAGGGCGGGAGCGTGAGGGGCTTCTGAGGTACTGGTCACCTTTGTTTCTTGATCAGGATGCGGGTTAAAGGGTGTGCTTAGTTTTGGTGACTCATCAAGCTGCACACTTATGCATACTTTGCTGTGTTCATATTCTACTTGAAAAACAGATTAACAATGATTCTAACATTCTGCACAGGATGAGAATGCTAATTCCTTCTTTCTTTTCTTGGAAATGGGTGGTGGGCTCATGAAGCGAAGGAGAAACAGCTCTATTAGTAAAAAATGAGCAGTATCAGTGCCGGGCCCACTCCCTGAGACCGGCTGCACAGTTCACTGTCGATGAGCTCAGTGGCAGAAAGAGACACTGGTAAAGAGACCGTCCGCTTTTATAAAGCACCTTCTGAGTGTCGGGCACGTTCCACAAGAGGAAAGAAGTATACTTTGAGGCTTTTGATAGGAAAAACTCAAGAAGGAGGGGAATTTCAGGGGAAAAGGGGAAGGGTTTATAGGAACAGGTATAAAGGACGCATGGACAAAAACTAGGGGGTAGGTAGAAATGGGAGGGGCCTGGGGAGGGCTGGGTGGGTGGGCTGGGATGGGAGTAAAAGGCAGAAAACTGTACTTGAACAACAATTAAAATAAAATTTAAAAAGCCCTCAAAGGATCAAAGTAGGCAAACTCAATTCTCAACTTTGGAAAAACTGGCAAGAAAAGGCAAAGTGGCTCTGAATTAACAACAGAATTGGAAAAGGTCCCCAAATGCCAGATATTGAGTAACGTAGAAAAAAAATCCATCCGTTATCTCTGAATGGACCAAATCTACAGTTTAATGCTAAATGTGCCCATTAGTCAAAAAGCACATCAATGAAACATGATGACAGCGAGATGTTCCCAGTGTTGTGCTTACGCCCGCTCTGCCGATGTGTTAAACTGAACAAGGTAATCCCGGCTCTAACATGTTATCAGACATTGATCTTTCTTCAAGCTTTAGCCACATTTGAACCCCAGTGTGGCCCTCCACTAAACCACCATTCCCCGCTCAGCATTTGCCCTACCCCATCCCCAAACACGCTGGTCCCATTCACCCAACCCCCCAAGCCTGGTCCTGAGACTCTTCAGCACTTCCTGAGGCCTCCAAGCTGGCCACCGAGCCCCAGCGTACCTCCACGGAGATGTCATCCCTCGTGGCCAGACTCTGGCTGACTGCTGCCAGTGAGGCCTGCTCGATGTCCCGGATGCACCGGTTGATGCCATCGATGGAGTAGTCACACTCCCTCTGGCCAGGGGCCTTGTCCCTGGAAGGGACAGAGGGACTTAAACAGGCTCTTGGGGTGCAAGGCCCACAACCCACCCCTGCACTGGTGAGCCAGGAGCCCCTTTCTGCTCTCTGCCCCACTTGGCTGCTTATTTTGAGGAGACAACTCTGACACTTGCTCAGCAATACCGTCCTGCATGCCCACTGCATGTCTTAATGGACCACGTGTGCTAACTGCTTATTTCCGGTGAGAAGGTTGTGGTGCTGCCCTCCACCGCAGGCTGGTGCCAGACGACTGCAAATGCAACAGTCTGGACTTGGGTTATCCTCTCACTGGCTCAAGCACAGAATCCTCACTTAAAAAAAAAAAGTCAGGGCTATTTCCAGGGCAACCGTATTATGCTCTCTATATTACTCACTATTCACAAAGTCCTGGGTTATGGGAGAAATGAAAATATTTCATGAAATTTTCTTTGCAATGCATTAAGAAAGTTAACCATGGTCTTGAGTTTTCAAAGTAACTGAATAACAAAATATAACTAATAAAAAGGATGCATTCCATGATGTGGAGTACTGACTCTGGTCAACCTCAGAATTGTTATATCTACTTAGGGGACATTTTCTCAGGCTCCTACTATTACCAAGGAGGCCAGAGGTGCCTAGAGATACGGTGGGACCTAGAATAATTTTTTATCTTATTAGTAAAATAAGTGCTATCTTATTACCAAATCCTGCTAAGCAAACACTGGTGCTCTCTGCCTAAGCTCCTGGCCATAGACAACGTGGTGGGAAAGGCGGGGACTGGAGCCATCAGGCCTGGGGCTGACCTTGGGAATGTTACCTCTATCCTTCCTCCCTCAATTCTCTCATTAGTGAAATGAAGACGATGGTATATCTACCTTCCAAGATGGTTGTGATAATCAAATGAGATAATGCAGGTAAAATGCTTAGAAGAGTATCTGGCATAAATCCAGCTGTTATTATTGTGACCAGTGCTGCCACTGATCCCAGAGAAAGAAAGAAAAAGACGATGATAATGTTCGACCACACTGTTAGGAAATACAAGTTCTAATGGGCTTATTTCCTGCCTGCCCTATTCAGATGCAGGCCCCTAGCAATTTCTGGAGGCGAAACTAACCTGATAGAGGTGATGAGACTCTTGATGGAGTCAGACACAGTGTGGGAATGCCCGGCTAGCACAGACCAGGTGGGTGGGTCTTTGGGGTTGATGGCCAGTGAGCGTGCCGTGCGGATGAGGTACGATGAACTCTCCAGCATGGTCTTGGCCGAGACCAGGATTGGTTCCTGTGCCTGGGAGCCCTGGGGGCAGACAGCAGGAGGGTCAGGCACAGGCTGCATGACTTGGGCCCTGGAAGGTCCTGTCCTTTACCAAGTCACTACCTTTGTTCTTTGGAAGGAGACACGGAGGGTAGGGAACCAGGGAGGCTGGGTCACACAGGGCCTTGCTGGTGAGAACTTGGGTCCCCATTCGCTCCTTAAATATCATTTCTGTGTAGGACACTTACCAAGAATCAGCCCCAAACCTATGCAGAGAGATTGTTCTCAACATATAAAGCTAAGGCATTATCTCTTAAGACATGTACAGACATTGAGTTTCATTAACTCTGTGCATGCATCATCGACAACAATAACAAAGCCCTACGTGTTGACAGAGAGACCGTCGGGAGTTCTTCACTGTTTGGGCCCATTTAGTGCCCCACACCCCCAGCCAAAGTCCCCCTACCTCGGAGCTGATTTGGGCAGGAACGCTGACAAACTCAGGGTTGGACGCAAAGGCCGTCAGGTTCTCCACGGCTTCGATCAAGGGGGCGGTGGCAATGCGACACTTAGTGCGGTTGTCTTCAGAGAAATCCCCGTCCAGGGCCTGATGGGACACAACACGGAGACTTAACCCCGCTGAGAAGCACGGATCACTCCAGGGCCACGGTGATCACCTTCCAGAGACAGAAGGTGGTTTAGTGGGAATACAAAGTGTTTGGTGAATTCATAAGTAATAAAGAAGAACTAATTAGAGAGATGTCTGTCATCAAGCAGTGGGGCTCAGTTAGCAACTCTAAGAAATAAAGCTGAATGTGTGGCTCACAGGACAGCTGGCCTCACAGACATCAGCAGGCCACTCATGGGAGGGAGAAACGAATTCAAATAACATGCTGCTCTTCACTCCCGCTGAGCCACGCTGCCAGACCTTGCAGCTGAACCTCTTTCTTCCCCGTTTTTGACACGATGACTCTTGGGTTCTTCCTCTCTGTTTTCACTCCAATTAAGTCTATCTCCTCCCAAACTAGAAAAATACTTTACATTGTGTAGCACTTGACTTTTTCTAAGTTTTAGCTCAATGCCCCTGAATGACCAGTGGAGGAAGGGCTTGTATATCCACCCTCCTGAAATGAGCAAAATGGAATCCAATGGGAAGGAACAGACTAGAACTAACCCCAACACTGTGGACAAATCTCACAAATACAACATTTAGTCGAAGGGGTCAGACACAAAAGGGTACCTACTGTGTGATTCCACTGGTGCAAAGCACAAATACAGGTGAAGCTCACTTAGGGCGTTGGGCCAGGTCTGACGGAAGGAGCAGGGCTCCCAGGGGCTGGCTGTGCTCCGCGTCTTGACCTGGCTGTAGTTACCAGGTGTGTTCAGTGTGAGAAAACTCACTGAGCCCTACACATACGATTCGTGTGTGTTTTTTCTTTTGTCTATTTTATGCTTCAGTAGCTTCTTTCTTTTTTAAATTAGTAGCAGGTAACAAATGGCATTGAATGATCAGTTACGCGGCTGATTAATGGCCCAGATGGGTGAGAATCCAGGAATGTGGCCTGTGACGCATGCCAAGCTGCCTCACAAAGCGTTAACACCTGGATTTGAGGTTCCCCGCCCGCAGGCTGCACCTGCCGAAGAACGGGGCTGTCGGAGCCAACAGCCCGTGGTCTAGCGACAGCACCCCTGCCCCCCAGCGAAGGGCCGCATTTGAGAAGGCAGTTATCTTTGTAGAAGAACGCAAATTTCCTCACTAAACAACTAGTTAAAGTGTTAATTTAACTGTTATGAATGCTATTTAAATGCCGATTTAGACAGCCAGTGCACAGAAAACAGAGGCACCAGCATTATGAAACAGCCTGGACCTGAGATGGGCATGTTTCTATTTTTCATTAAGGTAAGTGAAGGCAGGCACAATCAGTTTAAAGGCTATTTCTGAATAACAACTACATTGCCATCAAGCGCTGGCAGCTTGGGACAATAATTACACATCCACCAAGCTAGGATTTTCAGGGGAATTCCCATGAACTTGGCCGATTTACCATCTTTGCTAATACTGTGCATGGCCTCAGTTCATGCCCTTCCCGGCCATATGGGTTCTGACCTCTACCTTACCTTAACCTCTCTGATTATGGCATCCTTCAGGCCCAGTGGAAACCCTATGTGCCTGCTACTTTTTGCTCACATACGTAGCCTCAGTTCTAACTGCCGCTCGTGTACTCACTAACCACTGATTTGGTGCCTGTTGCCTCCACTGGGCCAGGCACCAGCAACGTGGACGTAAACCTGGCACTCTTACCTTGCTGCACTACTAACACTGACTGCTTGAGGTCAGGCCCATCAGGCTGCAGAGCAATTTGGGAATGCAGGGACAGACAGGGTAGGTGCCCCATAGCAGGAGCCCTTAGGGAGTGGCCCCAGCAGAGGCAAACCAGTGAAGCAGGCAGATGGCGGGAGTGGACTTTGGTATCAATGGAACTCATGTCCCAGCCCCACAGGTGGCCAGTCACGCCCCCTGCAGGTGGGATGACACGGCTTCTAGTCGCAGGGCAGATGCCAAGCCTCCCCCTAGTGCTGCTCACTTCTCCTGCCTCCGACCTCTCCACGCTCTTCCCACCCGTTTTTCTACCTTCCACAGCCCTCCCAGCCTATTCGGAAGGCAGGTGCCTGATGAATCCGACAGCCCTTAGTTGAACTCCCTCAGATGAAGATGATTACCCGAGGGAAAACCCGAGGAGTGGTTTTCTAATCGTGCAGTTTCATAAGCTGCACCAGTAAGATGAAGATTTTTTTCTTTGAGCACAAGTTCTAAAGTCACACAGAATTTAGCGCATTATTATTCACAGGACAAGACCTCAAATAACGAATAATGTGGAATAGAACCCGAAACCTACATCACCTGCTTTTTTTTTGTTTTCAAAAAGAAAAAGCTATTTCCTGCAAAGGAAGCACTTAGCATCAGAAAGGATGGTTTAGAACTCGAAAGCATTATGCCACGCGGAATAAGCCAGGTGGTGAAAGACAAATACCACATGATCTCACCTTTAACAGGAACCTAATTACCACAACACACAAACAAGCAAAATATAACCAAAGACACTGAAATAGAGAACAGGCTGACAGCCACCAGAGGGGAGAGGGGAGGGAATTTCAGGGGAAGGGGGGAAGGGTTTGCAGGAACAAGTATAAAGGACACATGGACAATAACAAGGGGGATGTGGAGATGGGAGGGAGGTGGGAAGGGAGGTGGGGAGGGATGGGGGGTGGGCTGGGGAGGTAAAGGGCAGAAAACTGCAGTTGAACAATTAAAATTTTTAAAAAAGTCAGAACACCACATTGCAGTCAAAATTTTAAAACGGAAAGAAAGGACGGTTTACACAGACACCATCTCACCTGTGAGTGCTGCCCCGCCCCCGGGAATGGCCGAGCCACCTGAGGGAGCTGCATACTCGAACCCGCCCACGGGAGAAGCCCTAGCAGGCACGGCAGTTTTCGTGGAGGCTGTCCCGTCACGGAATGTCAGCCCGTCAGCCCTGACAGAGAACCAGTGGGTGCTAGCTGGGCACCCAGGACCCACAGGGACAGGGCCCTCTGGACCCCTGGGCTGTGCTCACGGGGCAGAATCTCACCAGGAGCAGGGAGAAACAGTTTCTGCATGTGTACCAACATCACAGGTTCATGACTCTGGGAGTCAGAAGAAGTCTTAAAGGTCATTTAATCCCAAATCTCCAACGTTCCCAATGAGAAGACCAACACCTAGAAAGGGACAGGCTATGCCAAGGTCATGCCTCGAGCCAGAACCCAAGACCCCCAGCTCCTTTCTCTCCTGCCAACCTTTGAGACAAGGGCAACAAGAATAACGAGTACAAGAAGCCCAAGAGGGTTTTTTTTGTTGTTTTTCTTCTTTTTTCTGAAGACACCTACTTTACTAATCCAAACAGAAGGATGGCCAAAAGAAAAAAAAATATGTACAGCCAAGTGAAATTGATTAATGACAACTGGATCTGGCTGGTGTCTCTGGTACCTGGAAATGCTTACTCGCAAAGCCCTGAGCTTCGACTCTGCTTGAGAGGCGAGGCCACGCTCCAACTGCTCAGAAAGAACAAACGCTGTTGCTGCACAATTTCTACTTGGCACCCACCCCGGAGCGGCTGAACAGTTAAAATTGCATTCCATTCCACACATCTGATTTGAGACTGGTAATGAGATGACTGGAGCTGGAAAAGCAGGCGGGACACACGTGGTGACTGGCAGAAAGGGGACAACCATGGTCAGGGTCTGCGTGCTCCTAACTTGCCCTGGCAGGAAGTAGGGCGAAGATATTTATTCTTGCTGAGCCATGCTTTGGCACTTTAAAGAGTGCCATCTGTGGAGGTTTAAGATTCCTGGAGACACACGTTCTCCATGGGTGCTAATAACCCACTGCCAGGTAATCTGCTCCCTCTGCTCCCCAATGTTCCTCCCTGGCTTCCCCTCCTTTTTTTTTGTGAAGGTAAGGGCATGTCAGCTTCGGCACATTCTCAAGGTGTGCCGAAAAAAAGGGGGAAAATGCACTAAGAAGTGTAAAACTTAGAGCAAAAGGCAGCTCTGAGGGCAGCTAGCTATCTTAGGCATGTAGGGAATTGAATATTCATTTGTTTTATTATATAAGAGGATTCTTTGCCATTCCTTAAAAAAGGAAATCTCTTCAGTACATGGTATGGTATGCTGCAGTGAAATGGCCTTTTACCATTTTCCTATCAGTAAATTAAAAACAAAGTTTATTGTACCCAGCAAACCCTGTCACACAATGGGAACTGAAGAACAAGCACATTTCGGCAAGTTGAGGGCACAGGTTCGCACCTGTTCCTTGGGCATTGCTACCGACTCCTGGTGCGCTCCCTAGACAGGAGGGCTTCACCTTCTCCATGACCAGCACCCTGCACCCCTCGCTGGTGCTCTGCACAGGCCTGTCTTCCAGGCCAGCCCAAGAGCTCATCTGCTGCATAAAGCTGCAGAGAGGGTTTGACTCTGTGAGGAGAATCTGAAGAGATGAGCTCTTGCAACAGCGATACATACACAGGATTTAAAAGCCAAGGTGGAGGCAGAAAAGAAAGGTTTTCAGGAATTTCCAAAGAATTCTTTTTTCTTTTCTTTTCTTTCTGTTTCCTTTTCCTCTCTTTCTCTCTCTCTCCTTCCTTCCTTCCTTCCTTCCTTCCTTCCTTCCTTCCTTCCTTCCTTCCTTCCTTCCTTCCTTCCTTCCTTCCTTCCTCCCTCCCTCCCTCCCTCCCATGGTCCATCTAAATATAGCCTTAAAAAAATCAGAAAATGGCCAGTTGAATTGCAATCAGTTAATGATACCAGCAAACCATGATGTCACCACTTTCACTTCTCTTGCTGTCTTTCCATCACCCCCACCCCTTCCCACCTTCCCCTAAACTTTGCACATGCACTGCAGACACATTGAGGTATTTCTCCCAGGTTAGCGACATGAATTGGTCTCCCACACAGAAGATTGGAACGGCATCCCTAGGGGTGGGAGCAGAACTGAGAATGGACAGAGCAGGGGATCTGGGTTTGCTTACTGGGTGGATCACCTTGGGGAAGTTATTTAACCTTCCTGTTGCTCCAGTGTCCTGTCTGCAAAATGGGAATGACCAGCACTGGGTGGTCGTGCAGACTGAATGAGCAATAGACACAACACACTGGGAACAGGCTTTGCACAAGCTAACCATTAAAAAAGTAAGCTTCACTAACTTCTAACACCATGAACTATGACGGTCATTGAGGTGAGCCACCACCAGGATCCTAGGGGCACGGACTTTAATTTTTTTCATTTTTCAACCCATACTATTGTCTGCGATAGGCAAATTTCTTGTGTTTTTTTTTTATTGTTGTTACTTTTGTTTCCAGACTCCATTTAAACAGCTAAGAAATTGCTGACTAGGGCACCTGTCCCAGGCTCAGGCCCACAGCTGCCCACTGCTGCTGGGCCGTGTTCTCTTCTTTACCTCTGCTTGGCTCAGCCTGTTGACGAATGTCTCCATGTGATTAAAGTGGCTCTGTGTGGTGAAAGGAAATGAGGGGCCTAGTGCCCTGTCCTCTGGAGTTAGTGGGGGAAAAGCCCCATTACTCCAGGGCCTGCCCAGCAACAAAGCAGACCATCCTATCTCAATGAGCATGGAAATCCTTAAATCAGGTGCTAACCCTCAGTGCCTTTCACTCCTACAGAACCTGTGTGCACAGAACTGGTAGCTGGCCTCGCACAACAATCTCCTTGGGTGGGGTGGGGTGGGGGCGGGCACTGGGCTCTCTGCCCGTGGTCCGCTGCCCAGGCTGTGGTTTCTTCCCACAGGGTCAGCTGCCCCTGCCTGTTCGGTCCCCGCTTAGGGAAGACAAGGTTTGTGGTCACACAAATGCTACATTCCAGCTACTGCAAGTCCTGCCTCGCCATGGCCCCCGTGAACTTGTTATAAACACAGAATGATCTGTTTTAAAAACCTGATGCTCCATGGTAAACATTTAATCACCTGTAAACAGAATACATACCATAGGACAGATGAAGTTGATTTTTTTAAAGTGATTTCCCACAATTTGCCATTCCCTCTTCCTCCACTTTTTCTCTTGATCCAGATCTACTACCAATGGCAGACTCTTCTACCAGTTCTATCAAAATCGCCCCCTGTGAGCACACAGTTTAAGTAAACGCAGGCTGTTTGCTAACCACCATAGTGTCAAGGGATGCCCCAAAGCCAAGCCCTTCCAGATTCCTGCCCCTAAGCTTCTCATGCACTGAATTTGGGGAGTGCCCTCCTCAGCTATCTGGGAGGTTAGTAGAAACCCAGACTGTTAGTTTCCCATGATGCCTATCTCCAGTAGTAAGGGACTGCTCAGTGACTTCAATCCCATGACCGAATTAGATGTGAAGGCTCACTGGAAAGAAGTTTTAGGAGAGCAGAGCTTAAACCCCACACTTTCCCCTCTGCCACAGGCACTACAGGGATCCCTATGGCCTCAGTCCAGCCACCTACCTTGATGGTCTTCACCAGGTTGGCGGTGCTGTTGGCCACTTCCTTGGCTGACTGAACAAAGTGCCTCTTGGCCACTGGGTTGGCCGTCTTGGACGAGGCGATGCGGCAGGCATTGCACAAGGCTGAGGTGTGCTTGGCGACAATCGTGGCAGCCGAGAGAACCTACAAAGCATGGATCTGGGTTGGGGGCACCCCATGTTCAGTGCAGAGGGCTCCAGTTCAGAGGAGTCCACCCTGGCCCCGAGCCCCAGATTCCTCTTCAACTCACATGTGCCGGGCCCGTGTAATTATAACACGTGTGTCTAGCTCTACCCCGCCCCAAAGTCACTCCAAGAAAGGAGAGGATGGAATTATTCGGCAAGAGAGACTAAATCAAGAAAAGGAAAGCAGGTGCTGATGTAGGGGCGGGTGTGGGCTGGGCTCCAGAGTCTTAAAGGGGGTGCAGTCGGCTGCCCTGGGAGCCCCCTGGGAGGAAGCATTCGGTCCAGGGTCTAGGCCAGCACCACCCAAGAGAAATATACTGTGGACCCCGTAGGTAATTTTTCGAATAGCCATGTTATTGAATAAAATAAGTAGAGAAACAAGAGAAATTAATTTAAATAATATATTTTATTAAACTTGAAATATCCAAAATATTTCATATTTCGCCATATAATCAATTTCAAAATATTATTGAGATTTTACAATCTTTTCTTATCATACCAAGTCTTCAAAGTCCAGTGTCTGTTTTATACCTGTGGCCCATCGCAATCAGGACATGCTACATTTCGAGTGCAGCTAGTGGCTATCACATTGGAGAGTCCAGGTCAAGATAAGTAACATAAATGTCAAGGTGCAATAGCTTTTGCTGCGTGTAGGCACCTTATAGGTGGTCTGGCTCAGAAATCTCCCAGGCTCCACCCTCTCTCCATATCCCCCACCTGCAAAACCAGACTGCTCGCCTGGATCCACCTGATTTACTTTGCTGAGGCTGGTAACACCCCTTTGGCTTTAACTGGACAGGTAAGGGATCTCAGGTGCACTGACGCCTTACAAGCCGGCTCTGAGGCCTGCTTTACATTCAGACCTTCCCTCTGTTGCATCCTTTGCTCGGGTCCATCTCCTGCCTGGAGAATGCTGGTCCTAGGCTTCACGATGAACATGTCACTCACAGGCTGCCTCCAAGACCCCACAGAGGCCAGTTCCTGCTCCTTTCAGTACACGCTGCTTTGGTGAGTGAATGGGAATCCATACCACTCAAGAATTTCAAGTGTCATGGAATGTCACATGCTGTCTAGGCCTAAATTGTCTGTGGCTCCTTTATGTTCTGTGGATTATGCCCCAACTTTGAGCCCTGACTTGGTGCTACTTCCTCTGTGGCATGACCTCTGACAGCCCCTCAGAACATTCAGCACACCTTGCTCTGTGCATTCCTGGCACTGTCATCAAAGCCTAGTCACTCATTTTCTAAACTCTGTCCAACAGACTACAAGCCAAGGGCATCAGGCATTGGGTCGGACTCACGTTGACCCTTAGTGCTGAGCAGAGAACAAGCCCTCAGTGTATGTAAGTCCCCTGGACTGAATGGACTCATGAGACTCCTGATGAGGAGACTCATGGTGATGATTTCACTCCTACAGCCTCGCAGCATCCCATTTCAGGGCACCTATGCATTTCCATATTCACCACAATTTGTAATATCTCTCTGAGTCACTATCTACAGTGCTGCATTAGCTGCCCTGGCTCTGTAAGAAGAGTATTCTTTCCTTATTTCTCCCACTGTCCCACAACCCACCTAATAGAGCTTATAGACTCACAGATTGCCTATTCTCACCCCGTGGTTACCTGTGATGGGCTGCTGCCAGGGTCCACCAGATTCTGGCATGCCATCTGGATAGCCTGGTTAGCTCTGGCAAACTGGATGGGGTCCACAAGGCCCTGGTGGCCTGCCTGGCTGTTTGGATCAGAGATGCCGACAAGGTATGCAGCCTGGGAAGAAAGCAGGAAAACCGTAGCTCAGGTTCTGAGCTCCCAGATGGGCCTGTGGGGGACAATGGTCCCACAATGTACTTGCAGCAGCCATGCTTAGGAGCTCTAGGGCAAGCTGGCCAGAGTAGTCTTGTCAATAACAATGGACAGGTGGATGGTGGCTCAGGCCAGGGACATGCCAGCAGGAGTTTGATACAAGCTTTGGGGAACAAAGTCTCCTTGCTCTTAAGAAAGCCTCCAGAAGCTTTTCTGTGGGGCATCAACCAGGATGGATGCAGCCCTGACTGTTTCTGATGACCACTGTATGACCACGAGTGTATCTGACCTCAGCACAAAGCTGACCCTCTGGCTGGCAGATGGGAGAGACAGCAAATGTGGGTGCAGGCTGATGGCGTGGAGCTGCTGGGTCAGCGAGCCCCGGGGCACACCCTTCGTCAGGATATCTCATCTCATTGCCTAGCACATCCTCATTTTCTAGGCCAGTATTTCCAATAGCAACTAGGAAGCATGAGTATATGGCTCAGGAAAAAGACAAAGGTAATTTTGGTCTCTAAGAGGGCAAGAGGCTGCAAGAGGAGGTCTTTTCTTTAAACCCTCTGGATGTGTCAGACAAATAACAGGGAGAAAATGAATCTGTGGGCTGGAATTTGAACCTTAATTTATTTCCCCTGAGATACGAGGGGCAGGATAAAAGTAGATAATTTCATCCCCCAACCTAGGGATGCTTTTCTTCAATCTAGCATAATCTTCTGGGCTCAAAGCAATTGCCAGAGGGTAACTCCTTTAAAACAAATGCTGACATTTTTGAAGCTCCAGTCACAGGAGCCCAGCGATGACTGGAAAGGCACAGGGCGGTCCAAGAGCAGAGGACATGCCCAGTCAGGCCTCTGCAAGATGGCATCTAATTTTTTCTCCCTCTGATACTAAAAAGATTATGACTAAGATTTTCAAAATTATAAAACTTCAGAGAGAATTTGCATTATGTGATGCCTACTTTCCCCCAGGTCCCCCAAGCAACTCATCAAGGTACCCATGACCTTTAGAAAAAGAAAGCCAAACAGGCCTCTGAACCCTCTAAGCCGGTTCTGCAGCGCTCAGTGCACCACACTGTCCTTCCCAGGCTGCTCTGCTCCTGGGGGGCAAGTGGCTGGTGTCTTGTCTAAAAATCTCGGCCCGCACAGGAGCCACGCCTTCCCCATGGCTTCTGCGGTAGTAGTTGAATAAGGAAGTGAAGCTGGAGCTCCCTGCTGCCTCCCACAGGGACCTGGTAGGCCCACAGTCTGGCACAGGACACAGGCTGCCCTGCAGGGCAAGGGAGCCAGTCAGTCCCTTACCTGAGCTGCTGCCTCTGTCAGCCCACAGAGAGCCTTGGACGCAACCCCCACACACTCCCCAAAGGCAGGGAGGTCCCCGGTCTTGGCATTCTGTGAAATTCCTGCCATCGACTCTCCCAGAACCTGCAAAACAAACAACCAGCAATATTCTCTGAGAAGCATTCCTTCAAACCATGTGGTACAGGGAACTCCATTTTCAACTTCAACATTTAAGGACATTTAATTTAAAGTATCTGCCATTTTTTTCCCTTATTGAAATCAAGAAGATATTGAAGAGAGTTATATTGTTATTATTCCATGAAGAGCAATGAATAATAAAAGTATAAACCTTTTACCCAAAAGTTATCACTATCTCAGGGAGGAAGAGTAAATATACTCAGAAAAATAAAGTAAAACCTATACAGGGCGTCCCATGAGTGAACGGTCTGAACTGAGAACTTGCACTTCTCAGGATATCAAAACCAGACACATCCATTGAGCTGCAGATGAAGTCGCATTCAGAAAGCAGAAGTCACGTTCCTCCTGATGTTATTCATTTACTAATTTACAATAATGTTGAAACATCTTTATAAAATATACATAGATAATCTGAACACTAATGAGCGGGTTTCCCAAATATTTTAAGAATGTCCCCTTATTTTGAAAAGCATTGGTGTATTTTCTTCAGAAGTCCTTAAAATAGCAACTAAAAGGGATTTTAGTGTTCAGAGTTCAACCCAGAGAGGTCAAGCACTGTGCCTGACACAGAGAAGGTCACGGGCAGAGGCAGGGTGCCTGCCCCTTATCTGTGTTCTGTCTTCCATGGGCCTCACGAGGCCCCAGGAGGGCTGGTTCTGCCTTCCAGGGCAACAGATGGGGAGCAAAAGGTTTCCAACACAGCCCTCTGGAGAGACCGTGGGGTCGCTGGGTCTAGAACCAACACAGAGCTCTTGCGTCAATAAGCCATCTTGGAAGGGTAAAAGAAAAAAAATCCCTAAAATTGCTTGGATATACAAAATAATACAGTTTACTTAAGGACTTGCAAAGCAAAGAGGTGAGAGGGTATTTTCAAGTACAGTGTTTTCCTCTCCCTAACTCTGCACCCCTCTTTGGCTCCGAGGACACGAAACACGGACATCCTCCCCTAAGACAACCCGTACTTCCACAGGGGATGCCGACAGAACAAGCGCCAGTCTTCACCTGGTGCAAAGCAGGCTCTCCTGCCATCACCAATACATATGTCTCCCCAAAGCCAATGTGAAGTGACGTAAACAAACACGCACTTGAGCCCCAAGTGCAAAGCCAGACTGCAACTGCTCCCTGTTCATTCACTTCACTTGAATTTCATCTTACCCTGATTGTGGTATTCTCAAACACATGGGCATTATTACCATGGGTCAGTGTTTCTCAACCTTTTAAAAATTATTGCTCCACTAATATGTCTTTTTATAACATTTCTCCCACAACAGCCAACCACATCAAATTAAATACTAAAATAGAAGCTTTTGTTGAATAAAGTTTAGATGGGGGTTAGAGGGGTGGGTGGCACAAATCATTGTATTATCTTAGATTTTTATGTACCCACCCAACCCTGACTCCCCACAATTTTTTGCTCTCTTTGAGAATGCACAGCACAGATGGATGGCAAGAATGCAGAAAAGGGGCTCGTATAAGCCAAAGTCACTGATGGCCTTTCCACAACACTTCGACCCCAGGTGAAGAAAATACACGATTTGATTCACAGTAAGATCCATCTGCAATACGGTATATGCGCTGGCCCTCAAAGTGGGGCTCCTGGGCCACATGAGCAGGACTAGGGACTTGTCAAAGATATACATCCTCAGTCCCACCGCAGATCCGCTGAATCAGAAATTCAGGGGTGGGGCCTATAATCAGTATTTATTTAACAAGGCAGCCCCTGAGGTGATTCTGGTGCAGGGTCACGTTTGGAGAAGCACCTGAGCCCAGGGCTCCAGCACCAGGCTTTGTGACACGTGTTGCGATACAGAGTGGCCACAGGCAGATGCATACAAAGCCCGTCTAGACTTTTCCCCACACCCAGGAGAAATGTCCAGGGCTTGGGCAGGCTTACCTTGGAGTTCTCCATCACACTCTCAATGCAGTCAAAGTAAGAGAGGTCACTAACAGGCTCGTTAGGATTGTCCAACATCCCCTTGACAGTCTGTAGAAGGAGAACACAACTTAAAAAGCAAGTGCTATAGAACAAGAAAAATTCAACACAAAATACCATCAATCGACTTCCCTCAATCAACCCTCCGCCCCCAACTGGCACGCGGGCATTCCGGCCAGGCTAGACCCAGGTTAATCGTCCACCAAATTCAAGGAATGTCAGGTGCAGCCGACCCACACGTACTGAGACATCTATCTGGCACTTTCAATGTAACCTGTGCAGGTTAAGACTGTTCTACGTGCAAGTCAGCACACTGATTTTATGGTTAGCCACATCTATGGACATAAATGAATTTTAAAGTATCAATAAATCATAAGTATGAATATAAGCAGAAAAGCACCCCCACGGTGTCCTGGGCCACTAGGAATCTCATGGGCACCTTGACCAGATGGTGGCACTTTGGGTTTCCTCTTAGGTGCCCCCTATATGTTACAAACTAAGATGTGTGGGAAAATCATTTTTACTCAGAAAGCACATCTATCCCAGCTCCTCCCAAGGCCTCAGAAGAACTTCTCCCAAACTTTCTGGTCTGTACCCACTTCCTTCATCTTCAGCCTGCACCCACTTCCACACATCTCTTCCTGCTTGAAATAAAGAACCTTCAATAACATAGCTCTTATCCTAGTAGAAAAAGGGGAAGCAGGGATGATAAATCCCACCGAATCTAATCTTTCTTCAGTTCTTTCCCATTTGGATTGGAACTTTGGGCCAGACAGCCTCCCAGGAAGACAAAAGACAAATACAGAAGAGAAGGAACTGACCCCACATTTGTTTAAAAGGACAGACAGACACACTCTCAGGTACTCAGCGGCCTGTCCCAGGACCCACCTCCAGTTCCCGCAAGGCGTTGTCACACTCTTTCTGGCCAGGAGCTTGCTGGGTGCACAGAGTAATGAGTTGATTGATGCTCTCTGTCACAGCTCTGTGACAGAACAGAAAATGTAGGGTGTTTTTGTGTGGAAAGATCAACCCTAATTTCCCCAACAATGCTTTGCAGATGCACTAGACATAACAACTAATTCACAGGAGAGCCTGGGGTCTCCAGGTGAGCTCTGCTCTTCTACAAGACTCTTAACAAGAAATAAACCACACCTGGGGAAGAGAGACTGCGCATCCTTACCTTGCCTCTGATGAGTCATTTCATTTACCCTTAAAGGATACTGAAAGTATGACTGCCGTATAATATATTCATAAAAAAAATTCACAACAATGTTGCGAAAAGCAAAGAGATCATATTAACACTGTTTTCAAAATCCTTCATTAGCAGCCCATAAGGAATAAGATTATCAGAACAAGGCTATTTTGGGTAGCTTTTGTACAGTTTGGAATATCTTGTATATTTTTAGATACAGTGATATATAGTAATTGGTGTCTATAATTTTTAAATCCCTGCTTTCCATTAAATTCTACATGTTTGACTAGCTCCTAGAAGCTATCTCAAAATTACCAAAATTATCATTCATTTTTAAAAATCCTCTCCTGAGAATATCTCTATTGATTTTAGAGACAGGGAAAGAAACACTGATGTGAGAGAAACATCAATTGGTTGCCTGTTGTGTGCACCCCAAATCAGGGTTCGAACCTGCAACCTACGTATGTGCCCTGAGTGAGGACTGAACCCCACAGTCCTTTCCTGCTCTGATCAACTGAGCTTCCTGGCCAGGTCCCAAAATTTATTCTTTAAAATAGCTATTGTCTTTGGTAATAATAGGAACTAATTAGAGACCCTTGTATGATTGATTGTACATGTTTCTGTTCTTAGAACTTAAAAGGCAGCTCAGATTTTTTTTTCAAGGATTAAAGTTGAATTATTCCAGCACCATTTGTTTAAAAGGCTATCCCCCTTCTCCACTGAATTGGCTTTTGCAATTTTGTTGACAATTGGCTAGACGTTATGGGTCTGCTGCTGGATGTGATTCTCTTTCGCTGATTTACGTATCTCACCCTTTGCCAATACTGTATCACTTTGATTACTACAGCTTCATATTAAATCTTAAAATTGAATATTTTTGTGTTTTATAAATTAAAAAACAGAGAGATGAGATAATTCCCTAAGGAGATGCTACAAGTAAGGAACAGATGCAAGACTTAACTCCATGCCTGTCTGACTCATAAACACTTTTCTACAGGGTTGTAACCGGTCCATGCTTCTGGCAGGGCCCTGAAATCTATTTATAGTTACTAACCACTGCAGCTAACAGACAGCTTAAAGACAAAAGAAGGCACATACTGCTGCTAATCATTAGCACCACCTAATATAAGAGATAGCTCATTTTATTAGTTCAATTGGCTTTGCAGCTTCCCACAGAATATCAAATTAGATGGACATGATATTGCTAATGTACAAAGGTAATCAGCTTCATTATCTGATGAGGAGAAACTGCTTTGAATTTTAAAATTTGGCTAGAATGACGGGAAGAAGAAAATACTTCTGAATTCAAGAAAGAATCTCAAAACAGTTTTTTTCAATTCTGACTCCAGTGCTTCATTTATTAGGGGAGAAGCGCTTAATCACGGTGCCATTGGGAAGCACTGTGCCCTCCACCGTGCAAAGCAAAGCAAGAACCACTGAGCTGGGAGGACAGTGTGCAGTTCCGAGCACCTGGGAGGGCACGTCCACGAGGTACTCACTAGCGTGTCCCTCAGACAGCCTGACACCGTGTTCCATGTGGACAGGCTGGCAACATCAACACGACACAGGGAACAGGATGTCCTGAGCTGTGATGACATGATCATTTGGAGAATATCACACAAGCTTTCCATTTGGCTTATTTCTTTCAGTGTTTCCTGTTTATTTGCATTTTTAGAAAGCTTCACTTTTATATGAAAAATTTTCCATGAAAAACTAAGGGTTTAAAATCAGTGAATTCTGAGAGTATATCTCTATTCAATGCCCTAGTCTTTTAAGTATTTGGTAGATGTGAAAACTTTTTCATGTAATAACTTGGAGGTTAAAAAAAAAAACCGACCAACACAACAGAATCAGAGTGTGTGGTTAGACAACCCTTAGAAGCGCCTGCACGGTGCGGCTGTCTCACCGGGTCGCTCGGGGAACAGTGGTCCATGACTGAGGAGCGTTATTCAGGCATCATTTATCCTGTCACTCATTTCAGACTCTGGGTTACACAGCCACATAATAAACTAAGTGGCCCAGAGGCAAGTGGTTACATAGACTGGACGATGAAAAACAACATTTTAATGTTTCAAGCTACTGTAATTATTTACAAGAGTGAAAGACTGGAGACAACACAGATACACTGTGATGAAGGATTAACAAAACAAACCTATAGTCTGCAACAGAATCCTGGGTGCCCACTAAAAGCCATAATGCACAGGGATGGGCAAAAGCAGGTTTACATTTGTGAGTACACAGAACACACAGTTTATTCTTATATTATTTATTCATTATTGTATTATTTTCCATATGAACAACTGTAAACATACTTTTGCCCCACTCTGTATAATAACATATTTCTAATGCTATAAAAGAACATTCATGATACACAAGTAAAGTTTATAAGACAGTATAAACAGTGTGAGCCCACAACTGAAAAATGTTAGTGTTAAAAACGAATTTATATTTTTATTAAAAACTTTCAGTAAACCTATTAAAATTATGAATCAACCAACTTAATATATTATCAATAAAAATATAGCCCAAATTAGTAGCATCTGGTCTATATAAATCCCAATAGGCCTGAACTGTAGTTATTTTTTCCCACATTTTCTTACATGATCAGAGCTATATATAAAAATACAAAAAAGTTAAGTGACCATAATCCAAAGCTTCCAGACATAGCCGTTTTCTTGCACTTGATTCTTTATTTAGGCATATCTAGCCAGTCCCAGTTTTTAAAAAGTTGGGCCCTACAACCTCAGAGGTTAAAAAGGGGCTTTCTGACCTACACATCACTTAAGTGTTCAGAGATACTGAATTGATTTAACTGAGGTTTGGGAGCTTTGGTGAGAAATTTAACTAGATATGGAAGAGGACCAGGACTGAGAGAGGAAAATCAACCAGTTTCTGTTTTTGACTATGCACAGAGCACAAACCACCCAGTAAGGAGCTCAGAGGGAAAGAGCGACTTGGACAGCTCCCTTCCTCAAGGGGGGAGACGCTCAGGGAGGGGGCACACAGCAAAGGGGGATCCGCCTGCGGCTGTTTCCTGGGTCCTGCGTGCACAGGGCTCAGGGACTTAAAGGTAATACAGTGTAAGCCTCCCAAGGACAGAAAGGTGCTTGCAATCCAGTTGAAGAGGTAGAATGGTGAAGAGACAAGACACAGAGAAGGCGAGGGGTATGACAGGAGACAGGACGCGATAGATCCTGATCCTCCGAGGGGACTCACAGGGGACAGGAAAGACAACTAATGAAGGCCTTGACCGTGGGCATGGGTTCTGCAGGGAAGGAGAGGCTTGACGTGGGCTGGAGTCAGGCCTGAGTATGATCCTGATTCCAGAGGAGACCAAGAGGCAAAAGGCCCAGGTTACCTTTTTCTTTTTTACAGTTCGAAAGTGCTCCTCACTCGGTCATCCTTTCTCACAGTCTCTGGATACAGGAGGAAGCCTATTCAGTGGCAACCTTAAACCAGAGGGTAGACAGGGAAGAGGAGCCACCTGCAAGGTCCTAGGGATGCCCTCAGGGGACCAGAAAGCAGCTAAAAGAAAACCCAGCCTGGGACGGGCCCCACGCTGGCAGCTGTACTGGGAAGTCTCCTGGCACAGGAGTCCTGGCCTGGGCGACTGTGGTGTGAGCAGCAGCGCAGGGGGCTGCTCAGAGAGGCCAAGCCCTCTTTTTTGCAACCAAAAACTGTTTTTCCATTTGCTTGACTAAGTCCTGGGAGCACGAGAGCAGCCCCTGGTCAGGACATGCACTGATGAACAGTTGACAAAGGGTATCCGGCTCCACCCAACCTGTTGGGAAAGAGCCAGAGCCCACCAGTTACACAGGAAGAATATGAACAAGCCAGACACGCGAGAGAAAATGACTTTCTCCCTGCTACATGTCAGATACCAAGGGGCCCATTTCCTCAAAGGTACCTGAGCTCAGAGGCAGAATAAAGAGCAGAGGAAAAAGACATATTCTAGCCTCTACTTTTTCAGAAGTACACCTCTTTCCCCAAAGTGGGAAGGATCACAAAGACCACCAAGAACAAGGGGTTCAAGTCCACTGACACAGGGGTAGGGCAGGGCTGAGTTGACTCAGGCCTCGGTCTCCACAGTAGCATCCCTGGTTGGGGACATCCCTATGAAGGAACTGGCTGTCCCAAGCGCTGGGAAGGCCATGAGACTGGAGATGAGGGCAGCAGTCATCAGATCCCTGCAGGGGCACTTAGCACAGCACTACCACGAGGCCTCAATGCCTTACACTCCTCGTCTATGCCTCCTGCTCACACTGCACCAGGGCCATCCCCATTCCGCTCACGGTGTGTGCCCAGCGCCCAGCACTGGCCCTATCCCATATCAGAGGCATGGGTAAAAGTTTGTGCATCGAGCAAATAAACTATGAGAATGAATGCACCTCCACCTGGGAGAGCTTTACCTCCCAAGAGGCAGCTGCCTGACTCACCTGCTGGGAGCTTTGCTGGGAAACCACCCCAGGAGGCAGAATTTCCCAACATGTGCCAAGAAGCTGGGAAAAACGTGCCAGCATCTTCTTGCAACAGTTCCATCCCAAGACATTCATTTCACATGATGATTTTTAAGTGCTTACTTGGCTATAAAACTGTCAGGCTGGGAACTCTCTCTCAACGGTTCAAAACCAGGACAGAGGCAAAGAAAGCTTTTTTCCCCTACAAGTCTCCTGGTCCTTTCCTCATGTCGCCACCAGGGGGCCTGCAGATCCCCACAGAGCCGCAACGCCAGGGCATTACCAGGGCTGTTTCCCTCCTTACGTGGTTTTCGAAAGGCCAATTCTTACTCTCCCCTTCTTCCAATTTAAGAGAGGGAACAACACATTCTAAGTTGGAAATTTGAATTCTGAACTGATGCAAAAGATCGAAGGTAATGAAAACCATCTGAGTTCAGGTACCTGGAAACATCAGCTGCCTTCTCCAAGGCTTTTTGTAGGGAAAAAAAAATCATTCGAGGGAGGGTTTTATATCAGAAACAGCTGCTCAACACAGCACAGGTCACCCCCAGCACTGCCCCCCATGGAGGGCACACACCCACTGGGACAATCACAAAACTCAGCGTAAGATGCAAGTGGGGAGATGCCACAAGATGTTTTCAATCTCCTAGTGGCCTCGGCTATGATTTGAAGCTAAAGTATATATTTGGGAATAAATGAAGAGATTCAAGAGTTTTCAGAGGAGCTTCCCTGATGTGTCTAATCACCCCCCACCCCTGCCCCGCACAGAACAGCACTACGAACCACAAGGGGACCAGAGACAGGTTTTCATTACATACCCAGTACCATGGTGTCTACTGTATCGAGAAGAGGGGGGAGCTTCAGGAAGACAGAGCACACGCCCCCCCTTTGCAGATGGGAAAGTTTAGGCGGGTTGAGTGCCCCGGTCAGTGTAACCTAGCTAGCCAAGCATTGGAGCCTGGACAGAATTCAGGTGTCTGGACTCTGACAACTTGGGCAACAGCCGTGGAGCTCCCAGGAGAGAGACACACCAAAAAGACCAAATGAGTGAACAAACGAAACCAAGTTTTAAAATGTAGAATTGGAGCTACGCTTTTTAAAAATCAGTCATCTGCACATTTGGAAAAGTTTCCAATTATGCTTTATATCCTCATTGTTTTACATTTATTCTGTTACTGCTGCCAGTTTCCTGTGGATAAAGGGAGGCCAAGTAATGTCAGGGACACATGGTCACCCACCACAGAAACATAAAGCACCTGCCTGTTCGGGTCGGGAAAATGAACGTGAAGCCTTCAGCAGTCACTCACTAGTAATTGAACTAAGTTGTCACAGTGGCCTTGGAGCAGAAAGTGTACTGTGTTACCCAACTCCTTGGGTGAAAACAATGAGAAAGAGGGGCAATGACAGCATCCCAACTCAGATTCATGTTTTAATATATTTCCAAAAATCCTTTAATCCCACCGCCGCCCTGTTCATCCTCAACAAGAGCCATTCTGAACGGGACACACCGAACGTATTTGTATCCATCTTATGAGCACTGCCGCCGCCAGGCAGAGAGGCAAGTGCTCAAGAAATGAGAAAGGCGAGTTGAGCACCATTGGTTTTTTTTATACTCTCCAGTGTCTTCTGATTTTATTTTCACCAAGCATGTATTACTTTCATACCTGAAATATATAACACTACTTGAACAATCTACTTAAGTTATAATATTTATGAATCACTGAGGATCTTGTCTAAGCAAGGTGAACTAGAAAGTCTGTAAGGGAGTAAGAGACACCTGTAGTGGGGAAAGCACATGAAAATGAGCCTGTTGAATGAGATACCAGTCTCCATCTCTCCTGACTCCAGTGACAACACAGGGACAGCATCAACTCTTTGCTCGGCAAATGCAGCAAGATGTTGGGCGTGTCTTTCAAACAGTGACATTGTTAATCAACACACAAAAGCCCATTTTGTTCCACACTTACCTTGCAGCTGCAGCGAGGAGATTTTTCGCATTGGGGGCTCCTGGATCTACAGAGAGAGACTTGGCAGCTAACAACAGCTTGCTGGATGCCATAGAAATATTCTTGAGGTTCCCTATCACCTGGATCTGGTCTTCTTTGGTCTGGAAGGTCAAAGGGGACCAGGGTAATTAGGGGCTCTCCATTGCTTCTAGGAAGCATCCAGAGAGCTAGGAGCAGCACCCTGCAGTGGAAGCATGTTACCTGTATAGATTGCAGATGCATACTCGATGGGATACTAACTGGTGCCTCCCCTTCCCCAGACCAAGATTCACAAAGCAGGACAGAAATCCATCTCCCGGTGGGTCAGCCAAGAGCTGTGCTATCTCACCATTGGAGGCATTAAACAGAGAGGGAGGAAAAGAGAGTGGGCACGCACACCAGCCCTCAGGCCAGGCCACAGTCCCCGAGTCCTGCTCAACAATGTTGGGGTTGTCAGACAGCTCGTCCATCCCAGCCTGGCACAGACGGCCAGCTCTGTCCTGAAACTCAGAGCAGACTGCACCCCAGGATTCCTGTTGGGAGAGGACATGTTTCTCACCTGGTTCGCCACCTGAAAAACAAGCCCTGTAGAAAACAGAGCAAGAAACACCCTGGATACCTCTTCTAGGGGGTTCATAAGAGCTCAGGAAAAACACCTCTGCAAGCCAACACCAGACCGGTCATGCTCCCTTGCTCTAAATAAGGGGTTTATCTGTTCATCTGAAGGGTGTAATGTTTAGTCCTTGGACTCAGCGTTAGACGCAGTCCCTTTAGACGGGCTCACTGAACCTCCAAAACATGGTTATTTAAATTATATTATACCACATCTGAAGGACAGGATGCAGAGTATCCTAATCTTGGCCCCTCTTACCACTCTCCCTCCAAAAAAAATGTAAGTAAAATGATAGATTTTGCTGGAGGACCGTGGGAAAAGTTATCTGTCTCCAAGAATCACCTCACACAGAAACTGATAGCATCTTGGGGAATGCCATTCCTGTGAGGTCCTGGCGCTTCCTAAGCGGCAGAGAGAATGCAACAGGGTAGCCCGTGGGTAGGTTTCCAATTCCTATTTGCCCAGCTGCCCTCGAGGGTGGACTCTCCATCAGAGTAGAGAGTTGAGGGTCAATTCCAGACAGCCAGCTCCACACTCACCTGAGCTTGGCCCGCCATCTCAATGCCAGCATCAAGGAATTCATCAAAATCGTCGCTGAACTTGCCAGAGGCTGCAGCCAGCTCTCCACTCTGGCCACGGGTAGCATGGACCACTTCCCCAGCAGACTGGTTCAGGTCCGCGGCTGCTTGGTTCAGTTCACTCTGGGCTTCCTGGAACGGCTTCGTGCTTGGAGGTAACTACGGGGAACAAAAGGCACTGCCCATGAGACGTTTACTTTGCAGGAGAGGGACAGAGGAAGGGACTGTGGAGGAGGCCAGATTCTCCAGGGATGCGTGTCTCAGTCATCAAGGCTCACAAAGGCTCTGCGCGGTCTGAGCTCTGCTAAGTTTGACCGTCAGCATATGCACACCCACTCGCTGGCTTTGGCTTACTGAACGCTGTTCAGTGCTAGACACGGCAGACGTAAAAATGGCTAGCACAGCTATCTTCAGAGGCCACGGTCTCCGAAGGGGCACTGCCGCGACTCGCGCCTGGGCCGTCTGGCTCCAGGAGTCACTCTGAACCACAGCTCCGTGCTGTCTCTCCTAGATGGAGGCTCTCGGCGTCTTGGCTCTCGAGAACTAAAAAGCTGATGCTGTTAACCTTCAAATCCTGTTCTTCCAAATAGCTGACAATTTTCATTAATGGTCTTCGTTGGTAACGCAGCTTTTCTACAGACCAGAACTGTCACTGGCAGAACTATAACTGTACATGAAAAGCTCCAGGGAGTGAGGCCAGACTCGGCTAGTCTCACCACACGCATCGCTTGCACACAGCATGGGCCAGGCACCAGACAGGAAGGAAACAAAGGTAAACAGGCACAAGCTGCCCTGAAGAGAACTCACAAAACAGGGAAGGGGACAGGTGTCTGATGAAATCCCTCAGACTGCGCTCAAACTTTTAATGAGCCCTGGACACGTGTCCCTCCACAGCGTGATGGTCACTGTCTGAGATACCCCAATAAGAAGTCAGGTGATCACATACTCCCCCTTTCCTGTCTCACTGGGATGGCTCAAGGGCAAACGGCAACAGGAGCTCCAAGAAAAAGTGAAGTTTTAAAAGCTCCACCTGGAAACGTCTCTGATCAGAAAGCCAAACAAGGAAAAGGCAGATTGGTGGGGAAAAACAGGACTCTGAGAGGCTGGCACTCAGAGACCCAGCCCAGTGAGGGGCGAAGACTCCACTCACACCTGAGACAAGCCCAGTCCCTCAAATCCCCTTCCCAATCCCAACCACTCACCGAGTCCACAAGCAGCTTCTTGCTGGACTCCCCAATGCTCTTCAAGGCCACGTCCACGTCCTTCTGCCCGGGGAGGCAATTCACGCAGTTATTCAATGAGTGCGAGACAGCTTTGGCCACCTGCATACGTGGAGGGAGAGAAGCTCCATGAGAAAGTGGATTTCTAAGCAGACGTTTGTACGCACGTGTTGGGGAGGTGCAGCAACAGCATGCAGAGCTGAAAAAGATGGGGGATTATCCGCCAGCATCCACCGGACACTGCTTACTGTCAGATCACCTGCTCCGGGCCTCGCACTGCGGTGAACATCCTGTCTTGGCAAAGCATCTAACACGCTGATAGAGTACACCCTATCATTTCCCCAAAGCCAGGCTAAGTCGTGACACTGTGATTCAAACACACAACTCACCAATATTATGTCAGGTTCTAAAACAAAGACATCCGATACCAAGAGAAATGGAAACAGCTCGGTTGTTGAGAGCCCTGCAGAGGTCACTGAGGTGGAAGCAGGCCTTCGGATCGTACTTGGCCAGGCCTGTGGTTGATTTCTGCTCAGTGGTCCTCTGGGTCATAACCCCCAAACCTCACTGCCCAAGGGCAGGTGGAACCCCCTGAGCACTTCCAGACCAGCCTGCAGGTGCCCGTAGGGGACCTTTCAGGTAGGTGTGAGGGCTCCCTGTGAGTACTCGTTGGTGTCCTCGGTTAGAGGGTGAGCTCATGAGAAGTGGGTTAGGACATTCCCTTTCATCAAAAGCATCTCCTTCCAAGCTCCCTGTCTAGAACTCTGCTTAGATGGTCTCTAGCCAACCAGCTTCTTTAGGTAGTTGAAGACTCATCTTATGAGGCAATAGTGAGTCAGAGTTTAAAACTCTGAGGGGTTGGCCAACTGTATCTACCTTATCTCCCAGGCTGAGAGAAGACTGTACTTAATTAAGCATGCGTCGGCCCAAACACACAGGCTTCTAAAAGTTCCTGTGTCCTGGCTTCTAAAGTTCCAAGGGCAGATTTCAATAAAGTCCCCCATGCTCTGTTGACACATCACGTGGGCTACTCGGCAAGACTTACGAAAGTCGGTATTATGTATGTATGGCCAGCACCACTGTGGCACTTTGAAACGTCCTGAGCAGAAGTGGTCAGACCAGAAGAAAAGTGCCCAGGAGGGAGCCTGCGAACAGGCCCCTTCAGTGGCGGCCACAGCTCCAGTTCCAGCCTCACCTGGGCCAGTCTCTGCTGACTCTCCGCGTCTCCAGGTGCAATCAGGGCCTGCTTGGCCTCTTGGATGAGCATGGCTGAGCCCTCCATCACATCGCGGGCAGAATCTAACATGGCGTGTGCAGCTGCGGGGTCGCTCGTCGACGCAGCCACCCCACGGGCAGCCTGGGCCAGTGTTTTCAGAGCTTGGGCCGTCTCTCTAGCAGCCACCCCTGTGGATAAGAGGCAACAGACTGCTGGATTCCACCTAATGCCATGCTTCCCAGTAAACCGATAGACCAGAGCCTCCTAGAACGAAGAGAACCCTCTGACGGTGTCAGGCATGGCTCAGCCCCAAATTATATATTATAAAATCTGAATTGCTGTGCCTCCCCCCCCCCCCCCCCCCACTGGCTCTGGGCCAGTCCGAGAGAGATGGTATAACAAATGCCGTGCTACAAATGATTTCCCTCTGGTTTTCCTCACCCCCCCCCACTGCCCTACCTGGCCCTAGACCTAAAACACCAAGTGCATGGTGTCATATGCAGATGAACCAATCATTCAAACTCACATCTCAATTGTTTGTACTGTACAAACTTACACACACAGTAAGTGAACAAGTCTCTGTGAGCAGCTCAGTGAATTTTCACATGTGTACATCCACACATACTCATCATCCAGACGGAGACAGAGACCACTTCCCTCACTTGTGTCCTTCCCCAGTTCATGTCCTCTGACCACAATGCTGTGACAGTCACCCACACTGTTACCCACAATGGCGCATCCCTTTTTCTTGATGTGTAGTATTCCATTATGTGACCACATCAACATTTGTTTATCCATTCTTCTGTTGGACATTTGGATTGTTTCCTGTTTGGGCTATTATAAATAAAGCTACCAAGAAAGTTCTTGTACATGCATTTAGGTTGACATATGAAATCATTTCTTTTAAATATAAACGTAGGAGCCCAACTGCGGGGCCACAGAGTAAGTGTATATTTAGCTTTAGAGGTACAGGCTTTCTTCAGAATGGTTTTGCCATTACTCACTCTACCAGCAATGCACACGCGTTCCAGCTGTTCTACATCCTAGCCAAAAGTTGCTCATGTCAGATTTTTATTTTGGCTTTTCTGGTGGGTGTCCTTGTGCATCTCACTGAGGTTTGATTTTCAGGTCCCTAGTGAGTAGTGACGTTGAGGCTTTTTTCACTTAATGGCCATTGGGATATCCTCTTTTGTGATGTGCCTGTTTGTCTTGAAATTCACTTCTAAAGATGATGGGACTTGGTGATAAACTGCTAGTATAAACTGGTCCTTAAAAACTCTAGTGAGCCTTCTGACATGGCACCTAGCACTTGGACACCCAAGAAGAGGATGCAGACCAGAAACGCCAAGCATGTAATGGAGGAGTCCGAGAACCCTGAGAACTGCAGCACAGCCGGCCTTACAGCTCATCCCTTTGACACGTTTCCCAGAGGAGGCCCAGCGCCTGCCCACAGACATGGTTTTTTAGAGGCAGCACCAGAGGCGGATCTGAGGTTTTCTAACTTTCGGGCCAGACTCTCTGCACAGTGCTCTTTGGGACAAAGAACTATGAGGGATCTTGCTAAAACATATAACATCTGCATGAAAAATGGACAAATCAGTTTCTCTCTGTCACTAAACTCCGAGGTGACTCTTTTCTAAAGGCTTCAGCAGGACGGTTGGTTGACTCAGACGCTGTGGGTGGTCCTCTTCTCACGGAGGAGGGTGAGGTGCCACAATACAATAAAGAGCGCAACCAGCCCCCGGCCCATAAAACAAGACAACTTCGCCGTGTTGCAGCCTTGCCAGTCTGTAAATATTTAGTGAGCCACACAGCTGGGACACAACTCCATGATGTAATCATGGCAAATTACAAAACTGCCCATCTACCGCTTCTCATGTCACACTTCCGAGTGCAGCGTGTGGAATCAAAGATTTGAAACCCTGCGTCTCTGTGGCAGAGAAGCCCAGAAGGGAAAACACAAAGACTATACAGCTAAGGCAAAGGAGAGAAACAGGCTGAGTGAAGCAGCCATTCCATTTTATGTTGAAGCTTCAGGCACAGGGCCGAAGGGTGTCCTTGCTCAGAAGAGCTGCGGATGCGGTTGAGACCTCATCTCCCTCTGGCTCTGCTGCTCACTGGCTGGGGTGCCTAGACTGTTGCCTTTGTCCTCTGGGCCTCAGTTTCCCACAAGTCTTAGGAAAGGCTGAGATAGCAGCCCTTTGAAAGCTGTACCCTGTGAGTTTCAGTCCTCTCCGCTTGCCTTCCTATTTACTGTGTGAACTCCTGAATCCGTTTCTATTTGAGTCGTGCGTGACTTTGGAAGAATAAAACATTTACATATGCAATAAGAAAAGTCATGTTTATGCAAGAGTCATTTACTGAAAAGCCTTTTATAGACTCAGATAATTTTTTAAAAAGGCAGGAACCAGAAGAACTGAATTCCAAAAGCTGAAGTTTGTCCATCCACATGTTTTCTGCTAAGGACTGGCTATTAAATCTCAGAGCACATCAAGGGCCTTCTTTGGAGGAATCAGGTTTCCCAGAAAAAGGAAGCCACACCATCAAAAGGATGGAATGAGGCCACCAGAGGCCGGGGAGCCCAGTGAACGTTCAAGGCTGCACGTGGCCAAACTCCCAGCAGCATTTTCAATGGTAATGATGAGAATCACCAGAGGCAGGTCTCCAAGCAAACAGCACCCTCCCAGTGAAACGATTCCCATAGTCAGGTGTGCATGACGATGCCAGAGCTGCTGGTGGGAAATACCAAAGCAGACCAGTTTCAAAACCACAGTCCTTTGAAGACACAAATCACTTTCCCAGTATTCTTGCTTTCTGGACCTTAAACTATATTCAGCAACAGTCTTAAGAAGCCATACTAGTGACTTGAAATAGAGTGGAATTTTTTGTAGTTATTCTTGATCAGAATTCAGGTTGCATGTAGACAATATTAGAGTCCATGGCAAACTCACAAGGTTAAAACCAGGTAGGAGAGATTTTTAATCTGTTCCAAAGAATGTGAAAAGGCTTCTGTCTATGCAATCGTATTCAGCTGAAGAGAAGTGTATTTTGAATACTCCCCTAGCCAAACAAATGCACATCTGCATCAGAGTCCAGCCCCGTACAGCTACTGTTAACTTCTGAATGCCCTACACACCTAACTGTCGACGAGGGACCTGAGACCCGGGGAGAAGCTGTCCACACCTGCATTCTCTCCTTGCTTCCCATCCATTCTTCAACTTTCCTGCAACTGCCTTCAACAGGGAGAGCAGTTTTTGTTTTTCCTAAAGCTGATGGATGTTTCTATGTCACTCTTGGGTGACTTTCTGGTTAGCAACCATTTCTGTGGCTCTACAGACTTCCCTCTCTCCTGGTTTCCTCGCTCTCTCCAAGGCTGCGTGTTCTCATTTCTCACGAAGGTTTCTATTGCTCAGCCTTTGTTAATGTATTTGAATTCCTCAGGGTTACATCTGATAGCCACTCCCCTCTAGGCAAACTTATCTATATCCTTGGTTTCAATCATTATCAGTTTATTAAACATTTGTGAATCTTTATCTCTAGCCCAGACTTCTCTACTAAGCCCAGACAACTATCTAGCTGCCTAATGGGCACTTCAAACTGCTTGCATTTAAAGCCGACCCTGGCATCCAACAACATACCTGCCAGTGGTCCCGCATTTCAACCACAAGGACTCATACGACTCTTCATTCAACCACCAGGCCAAACACTTAGAGCTGTCCACGTGCCCAGCTCACTCCCGCCCCTGACATTCCTCACCAGTCCCTGACTGTCAGGCCTCTCTTTCTTCAGCGAATTCCTTCATCTCTACTACCACCCCCAACACGGATGAACACAGCAGCCGTGTCTCTGGTCTCCCTCCCTCCAACTCTGCTTCCTTCCATCTATTGGCACATGAGAGGAAGGGCAACCTACATAAAAGGCGATACAAACTGCAGCCAGGGATAAAGACTCTTCAGTGTTTTCACATGCTCTTAGGTTACATTTCAAATTACTTAAGTTGGCTCAAGAAGCCCGCCAGGACCTGACCCCAGCCTACCTTTCCAGCCTCGTCTCCTTACTGCTCACCTCCTTGCCTTTTGCTAGGACCTCTCTCTGTTCATTGGGTCAGCCTTCCTTTCCCTCACCTTTGGGATACCTTATATGCAGCTCCCACTTCCGCATCCACCTATTCCACTTCTGCCAAAACGAAATGGTGCTACTTTTAGGTGCTTTTTCAGATACCAACTAGACAGTCTGGCATCCTGGATGTTATCACTATCAGATGATGTAACTCGGAAAGCAGTCTTCGCTGCATTAAGGATGCATTTCACCGTCTACATGAAATCTGGCCAGATTTCAGGAATGTTGAGAAATGCTTAAAACCTAAGCCTCGCATACCCTCTACGCTTTAAGAATTTATATATAATTTTCCTTCTTCTTGAATGTTAAATGAATCCTAAACAATTCTTAAAACCCTGATCAGGAGTCAATTCCACTGTGAAAATTTCCCTGACCCTCCCACTAACAGAACTGTACCTCCTTATTGCAGGTACTATGTTGTACTATGCCATAACTCTAACTGTGCTCTTATTTTCAAAGTAACAAGTACACACAGTTTTTAAAAAATAAAAAGAATTTTTCTTATAGTAATGGCAGAGTAACTTATTGCAGATGAACCCTCCCTGAGAAAAACCACTGGAAACCCAGGGAAAAATTTACAGGAAACTGTCAGTTTGAGGGCGCTGTGAGTGCCAAGGCAGCGAGCTTCACACCCTGACAGTAAAAAAGGCGCAGAGAAGCAAGTCCAGCGCCGCAGTTCCCCTCAGGGCATTTTCGAGTTTGTAAACTGGTGCCCAGGAGCTGAGCGGAGCTTCCAGAAATCTCACGGGTCTGGGAAGATACAAAAGCATGGTTCTGAGCCCAAGAAATGGACTGGTCCTGGCAAACAACATAGATGTTTAGATGGGAGTCACAAAGGACTACACCCTAAAAGGTAAACTGGAAATAGACGGCACAATTTCCAGTCAGTTCAATCCCTGCTCATCTTATGGTGCTGTCCCTGTCTTAGCCACCTGCTGGAAGCAAAGAATAATTGTCTGAGAGAAGGAAACACAAGCTGGAGCCTCAAATTATCTCTACAATATAGAAACACAAGGAGCTAAGACCAATGTGTGAAAATGAAGAGGAGAAAATAAACAGACAATACAAACAGGCCCATATGTGATTCTGATGCTGGGAGTTATTGGACCCGAACAGTAAATAACTGTGATAAATACACTGAAGAAATTAGGTAAGAGACGTTCAGCAGAAAAATGGAAACTATAAGAAAATAATCAAATGGCTATTCAAGTACTGAAAAATATAACAGTTAAAATTGAAAACTCCACAAAAGGTCATGAAAGCAGAAAAACAACTAAAGAGAGACATCATGAGCTGCAGATAAATCACAAGAAAAAATGAGATTGAAGCACAAAGAAGAAACATTATGGCAAATATAGAAAAGAGCCTAGGAAACACACAAAAAAGTAAAAATGTCTAACATGTGGTAGCTGATGCCTATAAAGAGAAAGAGAAAAAAATGTGGCAGAAGTAATATTTGAAGATACAATGGTTGAAAGTTTTCCCCCTCCAAAATAAATAAATAAAACAAAAAACAAATAAAAAAATCTTTGGTAAGACAACGGATCCCATTTTAAAGGGGCACTACAACCCAAAGCAGGAGAAACATGCAAGAAAACTCCTCTAGGCACTTTACTTGGAAACGAATGGCTGAGAAAATTCAAACAGCAAGTAGAGGGGTATAATAAATCCACGTTACCTGCAGAAGAGTAAACTGACGCCGAATTCACAATAGAAATAAAGGAAGCCAGAAGACAATGGAATAACATCTTCAAAGACTGGAAGAAAAGAACTGCCAACCTAAAATTTTATAATAAGTGAAATTATCCACCCAAACAAACAATAAGGGCTGAACAAAAACATTTTTAGAGAAACAGAAACTGAAGGGATAGGTCGCTGTAGACCCAACACTAAAGGAAGTGATGAAGGGAGGTCTTCGGGTAGAAAGCACATAATCCCAGGTGGACACCCAGAAATGCAGAAAAGAATGAAGAGCGATGGAGGTAAACATGGGGGTAAGTCAACCAACACCGACTGTGTGAAGCAACACTGAGACTGTATGGAGGAGACTAAAATATACGTAGAATTAAAACAAAAGTAGTAAATGAGTTGAAAAGATGTAAAAAAAGTTAAAGTGTGCCAAGATTCTTGCACTGTCCAGAAAGAGGTAAATATAGACTTATATTAGACTTTAAAGAATGTAAAAGCATAGGAAATAAATGTACAACTAACAAGCTAATCAAAAGCAGACAAATAGAATTTAACAAATATACATACTTCTAAAAGAAGACAAGGAAGAAGAGAAAAAGGAATGTAGAACAGGTAGGATATAAAGAAAAAAGAGTAAGATAATAGAATCAAACATCGATATTACCAGTAATCACATTATATGTAAATAGACCAAATATCCCAAATGAAAGAAAAAGATGGTCACACTCACAACTCCTCTGTCCACAACAGCACAACTACACAATACTCACAGGATAGACATTAAATACAAACACACAGAAAAGTTTAAAAGGATGGGAAAAGCTGTATCATGTATACTGTAATGAAAACAAAGTCTTCTAAGCAGAAAACTATATATCAGTATTGAGAGAAAAAAATCTAAATAAATGGAGGGACATACCTATTCACAGATTAGAAGACTGTGATAAAATTCAATAATGTAAAGATATCAATTACCCCAAAATCGATTCACGTAACATAAGCAAAAAAAAAAAAAAAAAAAAGAATCTTTTCTGGGGGTGGTGGGTAGAAACTGAGAGGCTGATTCTAGAATTATGTGGAACTGCAAAGGGCCAAGAACAGTCAACACTAATCTGAGGAAGAACATCAGTGAGGAGGACTCGTATTATCGGATACTGACACTGAGTATACATACAACTGCAGAAATGAGGGAAGTGTGGTAGTAAGGTAATGACAAGCAATTAAAACAATGGGAAAGAATACAAGATCAGAACCCGACTCGCACATACGTTGTTCATTTAATTTACGATGAAGTGGTTCTAAGACCACTGGGAAAAACAACGGTCATTCAAAAAGTGGTGCTAGGTCAAATGCATGTCCGTACGGAAAAGAACTAAACTAGGTTTCTATATGCACATACCAAACTCGTCTCCAGAATGACTGTACTTCTAAATGTGAAAAGTAAAACAATAAAACTTCTAGAATGTAACAGAGAATAGCGTCATGATCTTGGAGAGGCAAAATTTTAAAATAGGAAATAAAAAGTACTAACCATGAAGGAAAATAAGTGTGAACTGGACTATATTAAAATTTAAATTTTGTTCACCAACAAACACCTTTAAGAGAGTCAAAAGGTAAGCCACAAGATACAAGAAACACATATAAGCCACAAAGCATACGTACAAATAAATAAGGACAGAAAACTCAAGTTTTAAAAAATGGGCAAAGGACATGAACAGGTATTTCACAGAAGAAGATATCCAACTGACCAAGGAACACACAAAAAGGTCCTCGACTGCACTTTCCATCAGGGAAACACAAATTCAAACCATAATGTGACACTACTGTGTACCCAACAGAATGGCCATCACTGACAGTGCAAAGTGGTGACGAGCATACAAACAACTGGACCTTTCATTACTGATGGAAGGAGAGTGGCTGACGAGCTGCACGGCCCATGATCGAGCAGTTCTGCTGAGGTGCTGGAAATGTGCCATTATTGGGTCGTGGTGGTGGTTTTTGGGTGCACTGTACTTGTGATAACCCATGAAGGTATTCATTTAGGATGCATGTTCTCTTCTGGATGTATATTATACTTTAATAGTAATGTATATTTCAAACACACCAACAAAAATTCAAGCGATACCGTTGTACAGCAAAAGTAAAACTCCACACCCATTTCTCCCCACCTGCTTCCTACTCCCAGAGCCTCTCAGTTCTTTATGTGTTCTTCTCATTGTTATATTTTCAAGCAATGGGCTTATACTGCAACTTCTCGATACTTTCATTTCAGATAGCCACAGAATCCCTCCTGGGTCTACTTCCTACAACGGCAGCATTTTCTTTCTTACAGAGAAAAGCACCTGGTGTTTTTCCTAGAGTTGATAATTACACAATCTGTTCCTTACAGTGTACTCCTGTTCAGGGGGACCTGGTGTCTCCAGCACTCCAATGATCCATCTCTCTGCAGACTTTTAAGTTTTTACTTATTTGGTTCTTTCAGTTCCTACTTATTTGTCTCCTTCCATCTTGGAAAATTTCATTGATATCTTATTTGCTGTCATCTCCTCTCTGATTCTCTTTGACGTTTTGTTCCTCTTTACTTTAGGAGGATTTCAAGAGTCATCCACAGATAATGCCAGAAGTTTATGATTATTAGGACCATTAATACAATTATTGGGACCAATAATACTCCATTATTACAAGTTGGCTTATAGGCTAATAGGGGTGAGACCCACTAACAGTTTTGGGGAGTCATAAATTATTCAGTCTCTGTATGCAGATATCATCAAGCCCAGTAGCAAGCATGTGGAAAGTGCCTCACAATTATGTGTTGAACTGCTTTAAAAAAGAGTCAGATTTATTGTCGCCTCAACGAACTCCCACCCCCAAGGCCCGCGCCTGGCCGCATGCATCACAAGAGTGCGAACCTCACCTGTGTAGTGCTCGTTGCCTTGAGCCGCACAGGTCAGCAGCTGCGCCATGGAGGAGCCCACCGCTTTGGAGGTGCTTCCCAGGTCCTGAGCACATTTTTCCAGCTGTAAAATATTCAAGGGGGGAGAGAACTTAGGAGAAAGGAAATTCACTGAGTCAGCATAAACATAATGTAGATCATGCCTCGGGCCTTAGCTCTTTTCCAACTTATCACCAATGGCACCAAGAAGGAGTGAGGTGATAGACGGGAAACAACCCAAGCTTTAGGATGAACAAATGTAGGTTCAAACCCTTACCCTCTGGTCCCTTCCCCCAAGTGTGAACTTATAAGAAATTGGGTAAATTACTGAACCTCTCTAAGCTTTGGCTTCTTGAGAGTATAATACCTAGCTCAGAAGGCTTTCAGAGAATTAAGGCATATCATCCACAAATGGTAGCTATTAGTATTATGCCTTCAGAGCTAATTTAGAAAGTCTGCAACAAATCCTTAGTGAGAATTAATAATGCCTTGGCAGGAAGTGGGCAGACATCCAGCTGTACCACCTTCCTGGCCTGTGGGACCATTACGTTGTTCAATTTGATCATTATACTTTGAGGAGCTCTAACCAGAAGGAAATGTAACAGAAATAGAGGTTTGGAGTGGTACAGAAGATTTTGAAAGTAGGCAAAGTGCTTGCCTTCCCATGAACAGCCCATCATCTTGCTTTGTAAACTGAATAAATAATTCAGAGAACAAAGGCAGTGAAGGCCTAGAGTATGGGTAATTACTTGATTACTAGACGAGGGCAACACTCTGGACGAGAACTTCTAGACACACTGAGGGAGTGCAGAGAGGCAGCGGAGAACCTGTGCATTTTTTATTCCAAGGCATGCTTTGTAAGAGAGGCAGTGCTTTCGGATAAAAAATAGAGGCTCAGCCATTATAGACAACAACATGTTGTAACACAGTACACACACTCTTTAAGGGCAAACAATTTCTTTAAAACTTACATGGTGTTCCTTGTATTCTAACTGACTAGTTGTTCTGTGTAAAGGCAGGATTTAGGTCAGGCAAACCTCTCCTGGTCTCCCTTGAGTGCAGAGGTTTGCAAAGGGTTGAACCTGGACCACATCGCAACACCACTGGTCCCAGAGCCGAGCTTGACTTTATCACTAGCTTGGTGACTTTGGTCAAGTGACTTAACCTCTCTGAGTCTGAGTTTCCTCTTCCTTACAATTAGAGGTAGCCTGATTTAACAAATATTTTCTGAGTGCTTCTTACATACTAGACATCATTCTATAGTAAATAAGGTGTCCTGAAGCACCATATATTCTAGTCTTTAGATCATCCATAGAGCAGCAGTAGTTAAGAGATTACTTTCAACATGAGCGATGGAAAGCTTGGGATTTGGAGTCCCTGTGGATTTGGACTCAATCCTTTGTTCTTCCACTACCTGGCAGGTAAACATTGGACGAAACAGTGAAAACATCTACACCTGTTTTCTCGGCTGTTAAAATGGGATTAACAAAACTTTGTCATTAAGTTACCATCAGGACAAACTGTATCTGTGTGTACACAGCGCTTTATAAATGGTGGTGTTTTATTAGTGATGCTCAGTCCTGTGTGAAGAAGGTGTGTATAAGTGAGGAGTGTTGCTAAACTACAGCCAAGAAAACCTCGACGTGAGCATCAGGAGGTATTGCACCATGAAGACTGTTCTTCCCAGGGCTTTGTGCTAAGTGAATGGTGTTTTTGGTGGTTTCCTTATTTTTTAAAAAACCTTGGCAGTATCTCCAGTACTTATCTTTATAACCACCCTGCCACTCGTTTTCTAGATAAAATGCCTGAGAGGAGAGATGGGACTTGTGCAAGGCTGGGTGATGACACAAGGTGGATCCAGAGAGCCAGAGCTCCTAGTTCCAAACCTAGCCTGTTGGCTGCATTGACCTTCTTCTCAGAAAAGCCCGCAGGGTTAGGACACTGGCTGCAAACACTGGCATGTGTCTTGTTTATATAGTCAGAGGGATGAGCATTAATAGCCAATCCCAGGAAAGCACAAGGAACGAGCACCAGGGGTGCCCTCAGGGCAGTTCTAAAAAAAATGTGATGATTCCAAGGGTTTGCATTCAAAATGTTTGAAGTTCAGGAAGCCTAACTGATGGTAACAAAGGCAGTGCCCTGCCCCACACTCTTACCGTTTCCCCTGGAAGTGGTTTCAGCTGACTCTCCACAGCGGCCATCTTTGCATCCTGCAGTTCATTCTTAAGTGTCTGCACCGTGCTCAGAGCTGAATCGATTTCCATAGGACCACAGGCTTCATGGGCCTGTCAATAGAGTTGGGAACGTGAATACACAGTCCGCTTGGAAGTGCTCCAGGATTCTGCAACACGGGCAGTTTCTTTCTGGACGCACCCCCAGTGAATCTCAAACTCTGGCGACAGGATGCGAGGGTGGTGTGCATTTCCCAAGGTGACAAAAACCATCCTCAGTCAGAACCTTAGTCCTAACTTCCCTGAATAATAAATTATGTATTCTTCATAATTGGATATACGTGAGAGTCTCCTTGAAGCTATTTCTCTCTGAAATGCATTTGCCTCTTAGACCAAGAGGATTCTTATTTACTGTGTCTGTGTTCTCGAGACAGGGCACCCACTTATTTACTGTGTCTGGGTTCTCGAGACCGGGCACCCAGCAGCGCATGTGCCCACAGAGAGGCCTGAGAAGCCACGGTATGTACATAAATAAAGGAAGAAAGGAGGAAATGAATGAAGGAATCCATGACTCTGGAACCAAGTCTTTACTGACCTACTGATTCTCTTTACAAATTTCTGGATTATAAACCATTATTCTTTCATACTGAAGACTATGAAAAATTTTATTCCTTAGGAATCTAACAAAATGTCATTCTCTTGACCTTATACAATATTGATCTCCAATTGTTTTCATAATCTCCCAATACATATATGTTAATAAATTATGTACATGTATAATTATGGATCAGTGTATTAAATACTGATAAATCTGAATTTCTTTCCTTCTTTAAGTTATAGTAACAACAGCGGCAATAAATACTAATTGACTTATTTCTATGTGTTGGTATTACCCAGTGAGGAAACTGGGGCACAGAGAGATTAATTAACTTGCCTAAGTCAGAAAATCAGCCAACTGCAAGGCCAGAATTTAAGCTCAACAGCCTGATTCCAGAGCTGATATTCTTCACCCTTACACTGTGTAAACATCATCTGAACGCTCTCAGCATCTTCCTGTGCACAGTGGACCATCCTTGCTTGAGTCCCACTTTGAGGCTCACTGCTCCAGAGCAGTTGCTTGAGGTCGGTGTGTGTCTACAACTCACTGAAGTAATCTGTTAAAACTCAGATGCTCTATGTCCCGAGATTCTGATTCGGTTGCACAGAGAAAGGCCCAGGGAGGGGCACCCTAACCGCCCCCAGCTGGCCCTGATACAGATGGTCTTTGGACCTCTCTCTGAGACACAACCGCTCAGAGTACTTTTTATTGGATATAATCTAAAGCTCTGGATATTTTTCTTTGGTGATATAGGGCACCGCTCATGTTAAGAATGCAAATCACCTTCTATCCTTCTTCCCTTGTTCATGGATGAGGCTGTCTGTTCCTATAAAGGGATTGTTACAGGGGAAAAATGAATTCATGCCAGAACGTCTTGCTAATGCCACATCAAACAGTGTGGTAATGAGGCCTTGTGGTAATTAATAAGTTCCAGAGACAGAAACTCATTAATCCCTAATTCTGTGTGATTGAGGACTTTGTTAAGGTGAATGCTTCCACTTAAGATATGAAAAAATTTCAGGGCAAGAACTATAATATACACAGCCCCCCAAATAGAGTTGATTCCTAAATAATTTGTTATTAAGTTCACAAGATGATGGCTGGAAGATACAATCACTCTGGCCCGCAATTTACCTGGCACCAAGAAACTGATGACTATTAGTCTCCCCTCTGATTCTGGGGGGTGGGGTGGGGGAGACCACTGCTTGTCCCAGGGTACGGGAGGAGGGGGAGTGTGCAACCTGAACTAGTTTAACGAAAGTCATCTGTAACCAGAGGTGATAAATAAGTCGAAGAGACTGTGGCTAAAAGTGCTAAAAGCCAATGTACCTGCAGGGCATCTTTAATGGTCATGCCAATGAAATGGACAAGAAATATGCCCAGCGGTGCCCAGGTCCTGGGTAGCACCCAGGTTACACATGCAGGAAGGAATTAAAAGCCCCTTTCCCAACAGGCTAACTTGTGTGACAAGGGTCCACTTGCCTTCTGCGAGGCGGTACGCAGCTCCGCCAAGCTGGTGGCAAGATTCTTGGCACACTGGCTCAGCTGCATGGCGGCAGCCTGGTCACTCACAGTGGGCACTGCGGCTTTGGCAGAAGACACCATCTTGCTTCCAGGCTGTAGAGAGATGGGCAGAAAGTAAGGCAGCTCTTGGGCAGTAAGGAGAAAGCTGACCCAGGCAGCAAGGCCACTACATCAGCTAGAACTGACCCTAAAACAAGGGGTATGAAAACCATCTACATTCTCCCCGAAAATTCCCACCCTGGATCAGACACTGGAGGGCAGGACATTCAAAGAGTGTTGAAACATAATCAAATAAAAGGCCGTGTCAATGGGGAAGGGGCAAAATTGGGATAGTGGCTTGAAATTCTCATTTAAAACAGATTTAAAGAGAGTTTTGTATTAAATATGGTTCTTTGTGTTTCCTAGAATAGCTCTTTAACTATGTCTGAAATATATCCCAAACATTATTTTTTAAAAATATAGGCAGACAAAAATGAAACAAATAAAATAACCTATTATATTTCTCACTGCCCAGAATAATTTCACCATGCATGAAATGTCTGTGCTCATGCCTATATATAATACAATTTATTCTATTTTCAAATTCCCTGTTTTACATATTCTATCTTTTAAATAGCTATACAGTATTACATTTTACATGTTAATATTTTGGTAGTCCTGTAATGTTGAGCATGTTTTCATTTTTCCAATATAAGAAATAATGGTATGATAAACACCTTTGTAGCTAAAATTTTGTACATGTTCCTAATTTTTTCTATAAGTTTTTAAAGGCAGAATTTCTGGAGCAAAAATACGCATATTTTTAAGGGTTTGCATATGCAGGCTGTACAACTATTCTTAGTAAACATTAATCCAAGTGCCAGATCATAGATACTAAGAATAAAAATTAATGTTTTTAATATTTAAGAATTCACGAGAACTTAAGAAAACCAGCATGAGTGTTCAAAAAGCAAGCAAAGAACCTAAACAAGAAATTGTGAAAAACAAGGAAATGCAAAATCAAACAATAAGAACTTTACCAAGTAAACTGGTAAAAGATGATTATTTATTTTTTAAATTATATTTTATTGGCTATAAAATATAATTTAAATTATATTTTAAATATAATTAAATATATTTTAAATGTAGCTCAGCACCCCCACTCCCTCAGGCAATCCACACACAATTATTCATGTCCATGGGTCACGTGTATAAGTTCTTAGGCTATTCCATTTCCTATATGTACTTTACATCCCCATGTAAAGTACATATAGGAAATATGTACTTTCAGTAGTTACATCTGTAACTACTTGCTTGTACTTCTTAATCCCCTCGCCTCTTCACCAATTCTCTCCATACCCCTTTCTCATCTGGCAACCATCAAAACGCTCTCCATATCCATGATTCTGGTTTATTTAGCTCATTTTTTAGATTTGATTGTTGATAGAAATGTATTTTTGCCATTTTGTTGTTCATAGCTTTGATCTTTTTCATAAATAAATAAGTCCCTTTAACATTTCATATAATAGTAGTTTGGTGATGATGAACTCCTTTAGTTTTTTCTTGTCTGGGAAGCTCTTTATTTGCTCTTCGATTTTAAATGATAGCTTTGCTGGGTAGAGCAATCTTGGCTGTAGGTCCCTACTTTTCATGCCTTTGAATATTTCTTGCCAATTCCTTCTAGCCTGCAAAGTTTCTTTTGAGAAATCAGCTGACAGTGTCATGAGAACTCCCTGGTAGGAAACTATCTACTTTTCTCTTGCCACTTTTAAGATTCTCTCTTTATCTTTAACCTTTGGCATTTTAATTATGATGTGCCTTAGAGTGGGCCTCTTTGCATCCATCTTGTTTGGAACTCTCTGTGCTTCCTGGAATTGCATGTTTATTTCCTTCACCAAATTAGGAAATTTTTCTTTCATTACTTTTTCAAATATATTTCCAATTTCTTGCTCTTTCTCTCCTGTTTCTGGCACCCTTATTATGTGAATGTTGGACCACTTGAAGTTGTCCCAGAGGCATCTAATAGATTGCTCATCTCAATTTTCTTAAGTTCTTTTCCTGGAGTTTTTATCTACTTTTTTTATTTGGACCATGTCTCTTTATCTTCTCCTTTTGGCAGCCTCCCTGTGTCTGTTTCTATGTAGTAGGTAGAGCTGCTATACTTCCTGTCTTGGTAGTGTGTCCCGATATAGTAGGTGTCCTGTAGGGTCCAGTGACACCACCTTCCCTAGCACCCAAGCTGGGTACTTTATGTGGGGTGAGTACAACTTCCTCTTGTAGCTGAGCCTTGATGGTTGTTGGCAGGTCAATGGGAGGGATTACCCAGGCCAGTCAGCTGCAAGGACTGGCTGTGACCACTGACCACCAACTTCTGCCCTCCATGAAGGATCTGCTATTCAGGAGCAGGATGGTGGTACTCTGGTGTGGTCTGTAGCTGAAGCCTAAAAATCTACTTTTTTAAATGCTTGATTCCCCAACTTGGAAAAGATGTATTAAAACACATGCTCCACACATGGCTAGTTGTAAATTTAGATTCATTCAGCCTTCTGGAAAGGCATTTTACAACATGTACGAAGAGAGTTTTTGATCTGCCAATACCATTTCTATTTATTTCTCACTCTGCCGTATTCTTGTAAAAATCTGATGGGTCGATCATCACAGAATTAAACAACAAAATAAAAAGGAAAAATGAGGGCAGGGACGGCGTGGACCCAGGAACATGTCCACACTGCCCTATCCCAGGCCCCACAGTCCTAGTCAGCAATGTGGACAACATTGCTGGCTCCAGGCCCTCCAATACCCAAAGGAAAAAAGAAACAGCTCGTCTAAGCCACAATTCCCAAAGATAAAAACAAGCTGCTTGCAGTCCCATTTCTAGAAATCTACCCTCAGGAAGTAATTCAAGAGGGGCAAAAGGCAGGTCGAAAGACTTCCATCCTATCACAGGTTGTTTTGATGGCAAGTCATTAAAAACAACCTATGTGTACAATGATGGAAAAATAGCTAAACACTGAGTATAGCCAGATGATAAAATATTACTCAAAATCATAAATGCTCATAATATAATAGTTAACATGAAAAACAGTCTATATACAATGAAGTTGAAGTAAAAATATACACACATATGTGTGTTTGTGTGTACATAGTCAAAATGAGTGGAACTGCATCCAACTTTTCACCTCCTATCTTCGTATGTGGGGTCTATGGCACTTGAAAAATTAACCAGATGAATGTAACAATGGGTCCTGTGACTGCAGGTTCAACTAGACAGGCACAAGGAAGAGAACTGCCTAATCCCATAAACTGCGTGTGAGACACAGGCGGACAGAAAGGGCTGAGAGATTTGAATACAAGAAATATGCATAAAGGGAGTTTTCCCACAACTGTCTCTTTTTATTTAATTTTCCTTGAAATAAATCCACCCCTCACCTACAAGACTGACAATACTTATTCATTGCACAATTGCCACAAGAAACCATCATGCCTTTGAAGAAGATGTACCCACCATTTCTTGTTTTCTGGGCTATGAAGAAGAGCATTAGACTCGAAACTAGAAAACCTAAAGCAATACCCAGGGCTAGGTTCTTCATCAGACTTGCAGCCTGTTACATGTTTTCCCTCATAGAAGAGAAAAAAAGATGACGCTCCCAAGAAAAATAGATTACGTGCCTTCTCCTGGGGCAATTTCCCTCCATATAAGCATTTTGCTTTGCCCCGCTGGATCTACCCCTCCTGAAACTACAAATATAAAGAGGAGGCTTTAAGGTCTGCTTACTGCAAAGACTTTGCTATGGCTGTGGAATTCCTGAATTTCTCTCCTTAAGGATACAGGGCACACTCTGCCCAGTAGTGGGGGGAAGAAGGGGTGGGCTCTGGGTACAACCAAGGTGAATGCTTCTGTGTTACCTGGAGGAAGTTCTGGCTGGAGATGATGAGAGCCAGCTGGGCACTGAGGTCTTCTGCTTGGGCTTGGCTCCCTCTCACCCCCTGGACCAGCTGAGGGATGTGATCAGCCACCGCCTACAGGAAGCAGGAAAGTTAAAACTGAGCACATCTAGCATGATGAATTACTAAAACAGGGTGGAAAATGACCCAAGTGATCAATGTTTTTGGATGTGCTATCACTCCACGGGATGCCTGTCCCAGACCTTGGATTTACACAGCACCTTTACCCAGCTGGGGCCTTACCAGCCCTGAGTCTAACACAGAACCCCTGGGTGCCCTTTTCCCACACATGTCTGCCTACCCTGGGGTCCCAAGGGTCCCAACGCACTCAGCCATAATGAGGCCTTAACAGAATGTCCCCAGTTCCACTTCATACCACCCTGACATGTTATGGTTGAAAACTTAGAATCGAAGAATCTACACAGTTCACTGGTGGGTCAACTCAAGTCACACGGCCCCATGGTCAGAAGAAAGTGAGAGCAGCAACAAACTACCAGCACGTGTCAGCGCTCCCATGCCTTACTTCACAGGGACATTCTGTCCATCAGCTTCCACATCTCCATGGCTCCTCTTCCCCTGTTCTAAGTAGCCTGTCTCATTCTCAAACTGGAACGCCCAGTACCCAGGGTAGAGGATGGAGGAGCAGCAGCCCTGAGGTGAGTCCACTTTAAAGTGACCATCTCCCACCGTGACCTAGGAGGCCGAGTGGTCCCCTCAGAAGTAAAGCCATTTCTGAAGTAGAAGCGGCAACAGCCCTTACACGTGAGTGATTTCCCAGAGGAGATGTGAACCAAGGAGGAGGGCAGCGAGCTCCCAGTCCCCGAGGCACAGCCACGTATGTCTCTCCAGCCAGCTCCCACCGCTAACGGCAGACAGTTCCGGGGACTTCAGTCAGACACACTGCCAACACGTGGGCAATGGCTACACAATTAGGTTTTGTGTCTGGCACCATTCAGGGGTCTCCTTGGAGGGTGAATGCCCCAGGCCCTCAGAGAAGGCAACCAACCAAGGTATTTACTGTGCCCTTCGGAGCACCTTGGCCTCACATGCCATCCAGGCCCAGGTGTCAGAAAGACGGAGAGGCAACTACAGAAAGCACCAAAGCACACTGCCAGGGAGGCCAGACAAGATAAAATAAACTCCTGAGGTGCAATCAGCCCTCAGCCGGCTCTGATGAGGAGCAACCGTCTACGAAGGCCCACCCCTCAAAGGGAGAAAGGCCCTCTCGAAATTCAATGCTTTGTTACTATTTCAGGGCACGAAAATGGCCTTGTCATTGATCCTCCTTGATTGGTGTCTTGAAAAGAAAGAAAAGAATCTAGACAAAGGAAAGACAATGCTGGAAAAAACATACACTCCTTCTCACGGGCTGTCCACTTAATAGACAAAAACCAGACCTGTGTATGTGTGTGCGTGTGTGTGCATGTGAGAACACCTGGAACCGGGAGCCTGAACAAACTGGATTAGGGGCCTCGGCAATCAGATTTAACCGAGTCAGCAGGGTACTTGGCGTTCTAACGCGATAAGGGTTATCAACAGCAGACCTGGCTCTCTGGCAGCCGAAACCTCACCTTGCAGCTCTGGACCAGCTGCTGCTGGGCCGCAGGGTTCTTGTTGGACACGGCTGCATTCTGGGAGGCAGCGATGGTCTGCGTGGCTGCGGCAGCAGCCTGCTTTGCTGCAACCTGGAGAGGACAGGGAGAGGAGGTGAGCCAACATACACACAGGCACGTTTATGTATGTCCCTTCCCTTAAAGGGTTGGCATCGGACAGCTGCTCATGTAAGAAAGGGACCCCAGGCACAGACCCTGCCTTTCAAATACCACTGATGATCCTGACCTAACAGTGCCCTGAGTATGGGTACCCTCCAATGCCAGAAAAAAACTGGGGGCCCTCCTGAAAAATATTTTTCGAATTTCATTCAAGAATGCTAAACTTGGAAAAGACTTTGGCTCTCTGAAATCATGAAGCAGTTTTTCAAATTGTGTCAATGTGCCTAAACCATTGAGCTAAAATGTGTAATGTGCCTAAACCAACTTTGCAAATTGTTCTTAATACCTAAACCATGAAACTCTATCAACCAATCTTGATTTAGCCTCCTTTGTGTGAGCTTTGCCTTGTTAATCTGATTACTCTTCCAAATAGCTCTTTGCCACCTAAAATGAACATCCAGAAATTCAGCCTCTGTACTGACCTCCAGTCGGTTGACAATTTTTTTTTTAATAGCGTTCTGGGCCGCAGCGTTGGTGGCCACGCGGAGACCTTCTGCGGCCTCTCTCAGCCTCTGCTGCTGGTCCTCGTTCTCGGGGTTGGCTGCAGCCCCCTGGGGGAGTAAAAACAAACATTTCACGCCACAGACACTGAATTCATACCTTCAGTTTTGCTTCTTCCTAGTAATACAAAGTAACTGGAGGAGAGAGCCACATGCTTCAAGCAGTATCTTCATGATAAAGATGTTTCCTTTCAACATCAACAACAAAAACCTACCACTAGAAACCCAATAGGATTTCCCAATAATTGGGTTTCCCAATAGGAAACCCAATAATTAAACACATGAGAGAATACTTGGTCATCCATATATATTAACATGTGGTCCAAACATCCATGATTTAAAAGCTGTTAAGATAAATCTCCCTCTGCCGTATCTCTCAGAGAGAATTTTATTTTAATTGGCATGACAGACACATGTCGCCGCTGAAAGCTTCCCCTCTCCTGTGGCATTGCTAAATGTGACCGGGCTAAGATTACGGTGTAACGCAGGGATGGCGGGGTGGGGCAGGGGGACAGGACTGCCATCAAAAATGCTGCAGGGAAATACTGCTCATCACAGACCATGTCTCAACACCGCATTTCTAGAGAGCAAGTTGGAACGTATAGTGAAGTAGAACAGGCGAATCAAAGGAAGAAATCTGACGGCCCTCCCCTGGTGGATTTGAATTAGATGGGCGGGGTTTTGAAGTAGGGAAAGGCTAAAGGTAGTATAGGGAGGGGAAATAATTTCACTGGACGGTAATTCAACAAAGGCTTAAAGCACATCCAGCCTTCTACTGCCACCTGCAATAAAAGCAGCAGTCGAGGTTTCTCTCACAGGGCCCAGATGCTGTACGACCAGTGACTGACACACAGGTGAACAAGCCTCCACTAACGCTTTAAGATAATAATATTTGCTCACCAGACAGAGGTGACAGCGGAAATAAATATGCTGATTCTCAAATATCTATGTTCTGAACATCTACATTTCCCAAATGGCCAGTTGTCCAAATGTACCAATTTATATGAACAAATTTCTTTAAACTATTTATAAAAGTCACTGGAGTTCAGACTGGGTGGGACAGTTTTAACATCTGTGACAGAACTGTGTTTGCAATTCTCTCGATTATAATCTTTTATTCTTTAAAAACCTTAACTATGTCTAGTAGTCTTGATTTTGTGTTTCCCGCAACTAAAAAACCATGCTTTTGCATTTCCTGTGTGAAAGGATTGTTTGGGCTACTTTTATAATTTTTTGCAAGCTTATGAAAGTCATTTTGCTTTCCTGGTTATCAGCTTTGTTTGTTCATTTGGGGGGAAATCACAACCCCTTTATTTGTTGAATGAGTCGACAGACAACCTATATCATGGGTTTTTTTTAAGCTGCTCCTTTATCTATGTCCTGAGGGGCACCCCAGCCTTCACTTTGTGTTTTGAGGAGCGTTGAACATTAGTAGGAAGCGCAGAAATGCAGAAATGCTGTACTTGTGCAGATGTGGGTGTTTGGGTCCTTCCTTAGCAGTGTCTTTTTTTGGTCATGATAGCATGCTAGATACCTAACTGAAATATCTAACTGAAATCTTAGTTACTAGTTATAAAATATATTTTTCCTGCTCCTTAAACACAATCTTTGTTAGTCTAACCCATAATATGTCCTTTAGCTTGCAAGAAAATTCAGCAAATTAAAATACTGCCATGAAGACAAAGTGACTTCTAAAAGTTAAAATAATTTACAATTACACTTAGTATTGCTCTATATTATATAAACAATCAGAAATAACTGAAAAGTTTTTAGTAAGTCATGCATTTGGTGACTGAGTCTGGGGAGCGCTGTGAACCTAGAAACTGGTGTGTGCACCAGCCCTGGCTCGGTCCCGGTTTGTGACCGTGGACTTATTCTTTGAGCTTAATTTTCCGATTTGTCGAATAAGGGCTGATTAGATTTTTCAGGAAGGTTCTTTCCAGGCCAGCAAGTAATTTTTGTGAACATGAGGGTTTGCTTAAAATAGCTTTGTGGAGCCTCAGAAGGGGAAAAAAAGAAACGAAACCAGTAAAAACCATTAAGACATGCACTACTATACAAAATGCCAATGTGCATTTTTGCTAAAAAGGGCAGAGTCAAGAAGAGAGCTTCTCAGCTGAGACAGTGACCAGGAGACAGGAAGGAAGCTCAGACCCTGGCCTCCTTGGGTTTCTCCTCAGTCCTGTTCCGGCCACATGCCAAAGAATGCTCAGCCCCTGGCGGAATACGGCGGTGAGTCTAAAGGGCTCACCCATGCCATGATACATTTTTAAAAAATATTTTATTTATTTATTTTTAGAGAAAGGGGAAGAGAAGGAGAAAGTGAGGGAGAGAAACATCAATCTGTGGTTGCCTCTCATGTGTCCACTACTGGAGACCTGCCCTGCAACCCAGGCATGTGCCCTGGCTGGGAATGGAACCGGTGACCCTTTGCTTCCCAGGCCCATGCTCAATCCACTGAGCTATGCTAGCCAGGGCCCATGATACATTTTAAGGGAAGTAATTCACATCCTGGCTGAGATACACTCCTATTCCGTTGGAGGCCAGGGAGACAGGATAAGATATGGGGATGTTTAATGAATTTTAAATGCATAGAAATATATTAAACATGTTATTTGGGGGGTATGAAGTTCAAGGTGATTTTTATTTTCTTATTTACACTTATCTGCATTTTTTACTGATTCCACAAGAAACATGTGCTAGTTGCATAATAAAAACAAAACAGAAAAACATAACCTTATCTATTTTAAACAGTTCTTACCTAGAGGCAGGCATCAGAATCTTCTGTGGAACGAACACACACACACACACACACACACACACACACACACACACACACCAGTGTCCTCATGAATCAGGACCTTGGGGGTGGAACTGAGGTGGGTGTCCTTTAGTATATTTCATAGGGGGCTGTGAAACAGACCCCCAGGTTAAGAATTACTGGCTTTTAGAAGCATCATGATACAGCGCTGCTGCCAAAAAGCACAGAGCTGACTCTGAATTCTTCAAACTCCTCTATGATATGTTAAATTGCTACTGCAATTTGAAGAAGAGTAAGGCAGGCCGCACTCTGCTACACAAAGTGATGATGGGGTGTAGTTGAGAAGTCAAATGGAGGGCAAAGTAACAGAAGGGTTGCAGGAAGAAAGCAGAATGGAGGTGAATTTACTGCGGAAAGTCTCAACTTTAAATGAATCACCACTTTCAGTAAAGCCAATGGCGATGACCCAGTGGAAAAATAGTGCTCACTGAGCAGGGACTCTGCTGCCTATGGCTGTCAACACCTCTCCCTGAAGAGCTTCGTTCATATGTTCCAAGACCTTCTTCTTTCACACTTGAACAAGGTTAAACATAACAAAGCCATCATAGGTTTTAAACAAACAAAAACGTGCACTTGCCTGACCATTCTCTATCTTGAAGATACCTTCTAAATCCTAACTTTTAGTAACGGTCACTTGTCAGTTGGAACAAACCCGATGGAACAATACCTTTGCTGCCTCCACCATTCGAGCAGTGGAGTCGGCCAAGAGCTTTGCTGCTGCCAGGAGCTTCTTTGAATTCTCCATGTCGATTTCCGCCTCTGCATCGGACCGCATGGCGTTGACGAGGTCCGAGGTGGCCTGGGCCAGGACCCGGGCCTGGCGCACCATTTCACCTAGAGGGTGGGAGTGAGCATGTGGGCTGTTTGTCTGCTTTCTAAACCTTGGGGTAAAACTTCAGGAGTCAGCAATTTTGTCTCTGTTCCGCTGGTAAGAGGGATGGAGAGAAGTCAGTCCCACGCTCTATTCTTAAGGGTTGCAACCGATTTAGACCCAGAGTCAAAAATAGTCCTGGTGGCTACAGGACTATATGCCCCAAACACAGCCGAGTTCAGTCTTTAATTATGAGAAATAAATGTGCCATAAGCAACCAAAAAGGAGCTCTTGATAAAGAGAAGGCAGGAAACACAACTATGTGGATTTATTACGTGCATTGACATGTAGAACAAACATATATGGAAAATAATACTTACCTCATGTCAAGAACTGCTTACATGAAAGCCCCTATAATGAATTCTTGGAGTCATGGGCACAGAAAACATTTTCAGATTTTGAATTTATGTGCATGCTACTCAACACCAGGTACATAATACCGCATAACCCAAGCCTGTCATTTGGTTCTCGCTACCCAGAAACACAGACCCCAGTTTTACGCCCAAATGCTGAGATTTGCCTTGGCCCAATTTTCCCTGTTTGTTTTCCCTTTGCAAACCCCTCCTTCCCCATACTGGTTTTGATCTTGTTATGAGTAATTGTTTGATTTTATTGAAATCCACTTCAACTCCTTTTCAGAAGTGGGAGGGATATAGAGTCAACATTAAAAATAAAACTATTGAATTGTAAGGGGTCTCTTCCCCTCTCAAAGGTCTTTTGAGAAGAATGCTGAAGTACTGCAACATTAAACATAAAAAAATCTCTCAGGAAAATAAAAATGTGCTGAATTCAAGGTATCTTGGATGCATTCTGGAACAACAATAAGAAGACATCACTGTGGGAAAAACTGGTGAAATCCAAATAATGTCTGTAGTTGAGTTAACAGTGATGTGCCAGTGCCAAACTCCCAGTGCTGACGCATGCGCTGCTCTTAGGAAGATGCTAAAAATGTGGGAAACCGGGAAGGGTAGATGAGACCTCTGTATTACCTCTGCAACTTTTCTGTAAATCTAAGAGTATTCCAAAACAAAAAGTTTATTAAACAAACAACCCCAAATTCTAAACATGTGGAGCACTGCTATCTTCTAAAATCATTTAAGAAGAATACAGAGAAGCACAAGGTAATTTTCTTTTAAAAAATACTTGTTATAAAATATTGATCTGCATTACTGCAGAAGTAGGGAAATAGACCCCTTACAAACTACTGGCAGAGTTAAAAACTGTGGGTCCTTAGTAAACACATTTAAGATAAAAAATGCACCACAGCTGGTGTGGCTCGGTGGATTGAGCACTGGCCTGCAAACCACTCCCAGTCAGGGCACATGTCTGGGTTGCAGGCCAGGTCCCCAGTAGGGGGCGTGTGAGAGGCAACCACACACTGATGTCTCCTTCTCTTTCTCCCTCTCTTCCCCTCTCTCAAAAAATAAATAAAATCTTAAAAAAATAAAATAATAAATGCATTTAGTAATTGACCCAGCAATTTCACTGAGAGGAATTTACCCTACATATACTCCCCAAAGTAAATGAAAATACTAAAAAGAAAGAAGGTATTACACATGTATATATATATGACTGTAGGAAGACTGAACATTTCTGGGCAGATGAGAATGAACTGGTTTAGTGGTCAATTCTGAGGATTTACAGGGGATAGTGATGGGCTAAGTCTGAGGAGACTTACTTTTGAACTAATACTGTAGATTGCAAAGGTGCTTTGTATTATATATTTTTAAATTTTCTGTATATGATGATGTTTGACATCTGAAGACACACCTTTCTAGATGGAGAGAGACTGCCCCTCCTGGGCTGGCCAGTTCTTAGAGACAGCAAAGGCCCCAGCCCGGAGCATGCCTTTGCAGTGCAAAGCAATCCTGAGCCAGACCTCCTGTAAATGGCCAGGAGGCAACATTCCTCGGCCTCAATCATCCAGAGCCAAGTAGCAGGCTGCCAGGGTCAGCCCCTCTAACATAGTGCCTGCTGAAATTACTCACACTAGCCAATCACCCTGCCTTGCACTGCAAACCCCCATGAAGGTCTTCACCCAAATTCTCCCCTCAATCCTGTCTGCTTGTGTGTGACCGACACCTGACACTTCCCCTGTGACCTTGTGTGGTATGTGGTGACTCCCTCTCTGAGACCTGTGAGTACAGTAAACTTCTAGCAAGACTGATTCTTGCCTCCACCTGTGGCTGTGCTGACTTGCCATACCATGTGCAACATGGACATTCTTAGAACAAAGATTTACTGTGAATCTAAAAAATTAAAAAAAAAACCCTGGTTAACTGTAAATCTTTACGTACCCCTATGGGTGGGGCCAGTAGGAATCTTCCACCTTTCTCCCAGCCCCAGAGAGGAGGTCTCTGACCAAGGATGACGAGAACTTGCCCTCGCCAGGCTCCCTTGCAACCACTGGCCCTACCAGGGAACCCAAACTGACCCCCCCACCCCTGGCCCAGCAGCTCACCAGCATCTCCCATGGAACTGAAGATGCTCTCGGTGACACACATGATGGTGTCGGTGGCCTGGTCGTAGCGGCCGATGGGCTCACCGCGGCTGGCAAACTGTCGCACGTGCTGCAGGAGGTCGTGCAGGGCCTGGCTGACCACACTGGCTGCTGCGCTGACCTGCTTCAGGAGCTCGCTGTCATCGGTGGCCGCCTGGCAGGCGCGGACGCAGTTCTCAACCGAGCGGTCCACGAGCTTCCCCGCTTCAATCAGCTGCTCCTGGCACACGGGGGAGCTGATGGTGGGGCTCACCACCTGAAGCGAGACAAGGGTGGGTCTGGGGCACTGCGGGTCAATTCTCGGTCCCCAGTGTGCACGAGCATTTCCACCGTGTCCCTTCCTGCTCTGGGCCTTGGTTCTATCATTATCGGACCAGAAATTAAACTAAACCATCACTGTGGTTTCCCCTATTTCACTACTTTACTTTACCTTTGTGAATTTAGATGCCTGCTAATTTTTATCTTGGTGATATAACAATCTGACCACTGACTACTTTGACAGAAATTTCCAGTATTTACCAATTATGCCCCCTCCTTTAAGGAACCTCTGAACTGAGTCTTCTGAGCTAAGATAGCAAGACAACTAAAAGAACTGTAATTCTTTTTCTGGAGACATCTGGCATTCTGCTTCATGGTGCTTTACAGCATGGGGTACTCTGTCAGTATCTGTGGAAATGACGGGGCTGAACAAGGAAAAGCAGGAGGGAGGCCATCAAGGCACTTCCAGCTGATGCTGCAAATCCTCCCATCACACAGGGAAAGCCAGGCTGAGCCAGGTCGCAGATCTGTGCAATGTGTGATGTCATCTGCTGAGAAATGGATGACTCTCATCTTTTGATGTTTCATCATGGTGAAGACAAACGTGTAGAGTAGAAAAGGTAACTGAAGTCAGGCCCGAGTTAAAAAAGCTCGGTTCTGCCACTTACTACTTCTGTGTAGTAACATCTAAGGTCCTCAATCTCCTCTTCAGTAAATTGGGGTGATGACACTTATCAGGGTTAAGCACACAGAGTGTGCACATCCCAACTGACGCCAAGGACCTAAATCCTCATGGCCCTCACTCTAACACTGCGCCAAGGAGCGAGGGCCCCCTGCACTCTGCAGTGACTTCTGAGCCCATGTCTAACACTGAACGGCAGGCACTAGACCTCTGTGTGGGCTGGCGTAAAGAAGGCACACTGCCAAGTCCAAACGGAGACATGGCAATTTGCACGTAGAGGCGGCGATCAGACCCGGGAAAGTGCCACCACCAGAGGACTCGGGCAAAGACCAATGATCAAAGCAGAGTTGGGCAGTTTATGTAAAACCCCCATCACATCTCCTAAAACAGACACCTGGAGCAAACTCTTAGTCTCAGACAATTTTAATGAATTTTGCTCATCTTCCCTCAACGACTGGAGGCAGATGAGGGTATGTGACACTTTGTAGGAAGGGCTGGGGGTGCCAGCTGGCTTACCTTGGCACAGGCCACAAGCTGGGAGGTGGAGAGGGCACACTGCGTGGCGGCAGCGATCACCCTGTTCTGTAAGACCGTGTCTTCGGCCACCTGGGCCACATTCTTTGCCTTTAGTACCAACATGGCAGCAGCATTGGCAACAGCCTTGGCCAAACTCATTAAAACATCCTAAGAAAAAGAAATTAAAAAAACCCCCCAAAAACGAGTCATTCATTTTTCTTCCTAACAACCCTTCAGAAAAATAAAATGTAGTGTCCACTTAACTATTTTATTAGAATTCCATTTGACCTTCTTCCTTCGGTACTGCAGAATATATTTTTCCATGTATTTTTCTGAAATGTGAACTTATCTTTAGAGTTAATTAAGGAAGGAGACTTTCATCCTAATAACATGTTCTCCTATACATTCATTAAGTAGCACAGGTTTAAATCTAAAATAGGTTACTTTGAGGAACGGTATTTATTTTAACCACTGTTAACATTCACACCCTTGCTCAACACCGAGAGCCACGTCTCTTGAATGAGGTCCACGCGGTGGATCGGAAGACACTGAAGATGTAGCCAGATGCTGCAAACACTATGTGCTGCAGGAAAAATAGAATACATGGCCTCCAAGTCATGAGGCCCCTCTGTAACTTGAAATTTTATTTTTTGGATTTTTACTTTGCACAAGGGTCCAAGTGATGGCCACAAATTCAGCCACATGGTTGCCTCCAGAGGGCAACACTGGACACACACAGACAACACGGAGCCAAGGAATGCTCCGAATGTAGGCTGTTCTCTGCACTGTGCAGCCTCCCGCACAGGGATTAAATTATAATGAAAAGTGGGGAGGAAGCCCACATAAATAAATTCCCTACGAGCTACGCAGATACAAGCTGTGACCTCACTGAAGATGCCCTTGTATCTCTGAGCCTTTAAAGATCAGTTCGTGCGTCAGCCCAATAAAAAGGCATTCTGCCTGAAGGATGAAAAATCCCTTGGTTTCGCCCAGCAGCTTTGTCACCTGTCTGTGTGACCTGAAGAATAACCACTGTTACACTTAATTTTCTTCTTTGCTTTGAATGTTGAAAGTAATTTATCTGGTTTGGAAATGCCTTTCCATACATATCGCAAACATACAAGCCATTTTTATTTTGCACAAACATGTGAAGACTTTCCTCCAGAGGAAATGTGGTCAGAAGTCTTTACTAATTCATCAGATGATAATAAAAAGCAGTTTTGATTCTGAATGCAAAGGGCACCCACAGAGTCTTTACGACAGGATTTCTTAGGAGGAGACAAATTGGAAAGTCTGGTCAGCTGGTGCAAGTGGACAGAGCCCAGGCTATCTGCCATCCAGGCAAATTAGAAACCACCAAGGAAGTGGATTTTAAAATGGACAGAGCCAGGCGTTCTTAAAGGAACAGCTCGTTCTGTCGTTTTTCGGTCTGATGTTTCCTGGATCCCAGGGAAAAACCAAAGCCTATGGCAGCAGAGGTTGAAGATGCCTTTGGTGTGACTGGCACACGACTTTCAGAATTGCTCCCAACACGGCCTGCAAAGTTACACTGCTTGGACACCTAAATCTCAATGTTCAGTGAAATCACAACTTGAATGTCACATATTATTAAGAAGATTTAGGAAAATAACTTCCCAAAGGGTACCAGTACTCCTTCACTTGATATAAATCCACTTTTGCACGTGAGGACCAAGATTTGGTCATGTAGACTCATGATTGTTCTAAAGGCCTTTGTTCGACTCATTTATAGAAATCCTGTTCTTCCCATTAATTTTGTCCAAAAAAATACAGTTAGAAAAAATGTGATACTACTGCGATAGTTGCTGACAAGGCCTTTGTCAAACTTTTCAACAAGACCCCTATTATGTAGCCCATGAAAAATAAATCTTTGTTAAGTCTGGGAACATGCAGTACATTGAGGACCCAAAGAAAAGTTCTGAGATAGGATCTCAAGAATCTGAAAAATAGAGAGTAAGAAATCCAGGGTGCGTAGGCCAAGGGCTACTCCTAACGGCAGAGGGGCAGGATCCCCTTACCGCACCGGTGTTTACCTAGAGACCCTACAGAAACAGAAAACATTCAAGCCAGGCCTTTCCTGGTACGAAGCCTCCACAGGACCAGACCCCAAACCCAAACCTGCAGCCCTAGCACACCTGACCAGAAACAAACACGAGGAAGCGGTCTGCATTTATATGTGATGAAAACAATCCGTCGAAGGGGAAAAAAAGGCCATCTCCAAAAACATAAGGATGCATGAGAAATGTGTCTTTCCTTTTGACCTTCCCAAACACTTTGGGGAAAGCACTATTTTTACAGAAAGTAAGTTAACCACGTCAAGATAATCAAGCCTAGTTAAACAACAGTTCCTATGTAACTATCTCCTTACAAAGAATTATCTGCTCTAATACAAAAAGCAAAGGGCTTTTGGGGATCTAAGGAGAAGTCCGGACTAGCTTGGGTTTGGTGGGACATATTCCAGGAATACTGGGTTATGGGTCTCACCCTCCATCGTGACCTGGACGCTCGGGCACTGGTGGGTTACCGCCCTGCAGGACACGACTGAGTCCCACGGCTCCAGCGCTGCGGTGAGTGGGAGCGGAGGAGAAACAAAAACATTCGCCGATGAAGCTGATGTTTCACGTATTACGAGGTAGGTGCTCATTTGGTGGTTCTCAGTAAAATGACGTGCAAAATGGCCACCCATGGAGCAAGAAACTTAAATGCAAGAGTAAAGCTGAATGATCCTTATGGTATGGATTCCACAGAATTTCCAGACATTGACCTTGATGTAGAATATGGAGAAGGGCATTTTCCAGAGGACCTGGGCTCGACCTAAAACAAACAATTTAACTAAAATGTATTGATATATGACTTGCAAAATTAAGACAAGAGGAAGAGAAAAAGGAATGAAGGGCCTCTGCTCCCGAATATGTGAAAAGAGCAGCTCATCTTGGCCCGAAGCTCCCAACGGCAGGCCTCGGCCCCTCATCTGGGGTGGCTGGCGACAGAGGCAGACAAACTGAGACCATGTCTGACCTGGCAGTGCTTCTAACCAGCTACACACAGTGGCCACAGCTGTTCACCAGGGGACAAACAGCACATGTCCTTGGTATTGAAAAAGAAGGGTGACAAAAAAAAAAGATTTCTTCACCACACTTGTGGTTTTGGATGACACAGACAGACGGCACAAACAGTAGACTCACCTCTGAATATGAGGGAAATCTAGGGTGTGTGTGTGTGCAGTGTGCAAGGGACCATGTTTTCACTCTTACAGGAGGAGTCCACAGTGGTACAATTAAAAACTGAATCAAACAGGTAAAACAAGATTGGCCACGAGTTGGTAACTGTAGAGGTTGGGCAGTAGATACAAGGGAATTCGTGACATTATTCCCTTCACGTTTGTGCTTAAAGAACGTCTAGCATATTGACCAGTGAGAACAGTTAAATAAGTGCTGTGCAATGATGACTATATGGGAAATCAGTTTCTCGATTAAAAAAATGTTTAAATTAACACACAAAGACCTCACCCACAAGATAATCCACCTCAATCTTATTCCTGACAGCACAAGGAAGATCTGGTTTTACGTTACATTTTGTTGTTTGGGTCTACACCATCCCTGAGGCTTCTTTCCCAGATTATGGGCGGCAAATATCTTACTTGGAATCGCTCGTCAGTCTCATTCTCTCCGATCTGTCTCAGAAGATCCCCACTGGCCTGTCCAATGCTTCCAGCAGCAGTCAAAACCGTCTGTCGGGGCTACGAACAAAGAACACACATTGGATGGAAGGGACATGCACGTCCTCCGCAGTGCCAAAAGGCACACAGTGCAGGGACGGGAACCCTGCGGACTGGCTCCTCCTGCATCAATCTCCGACTCCCTGCCAGACAGGGAGACGTAAGCATCCTGGTGAAATCTGGGCAAGGAAATGCCTGATGTCTCACAAACCAGCAATAGGTGGACAGATTGGAAATGTTCTACTAAGGAGTCTCGTTCAGATGGTAGAAAGTTGATTCCCACTTCATGGACCTTAGGATGCAAAACTTGTATCCCCATTAAATGTGTATTTGTCATATGTCTGTTCATTTCTGAGGTTGTATCTCATCAAGTACCTTGGGGGCAGGGGTGGGATAAGGGAGGCTTCCTACTAAGAGTTCAACCAGTCCTTGATGTTGAACCGTAGATTCTGCACCCAGTTTGAAATCTACAAACCCTGCAGTGTGGTAACAACACGCTCCTCAGGATGGATGGAATGGCTCAGGAAGGAGGAGCCCCATCCATGATACCCAAAGGCTGCATCTGTCTCATCAGAACCTGAGTGATGGCTGGTCCCAAGAGCTCACCTCTCCAGAAGTAGGCTGCACAGCTTTCAGCAAGTCCGACACGGCCCCAGCGAGGGTCCTGGCAGCTCGGAGCAAGTCCTCCCCACTGCCCACCTCATCGTCCATGAGAGCTGCCAAAAGCTTCACACCCTTGGACATCTCCGTCAGGTTGGAAGAAATGGTGGTGATTGCACATCCCACAGCGGTGTAGTCCGTGTCTGCAGGGTCACCTGGCACAGAGAAGGACCGTCTCCATCAGAGGAGGGTAGTGGAGAGTGCGGAGAGCCCAGGCCAGCGGGAGGTGAGTGGCCACCGTGCAGCAGCTCATCACCCATCACTCTGCAGGAGGCAGACATGAAGCACCACGTGTGCCCACTGAGAGGCATGGCTCTCTGTCTCCAAGGTGCTCCTCTCCACAGGGACCTTTAAAACTTCTAAAGGAAGGCTGAGCGTCTCACTGCATTTTCCATTTCACTGCTGTCAGCAACTTGGCGGGGGGGGGGGGGGGGGGGTCAGCCCTGCTCCTGAAACACGTAATGCTGCACAGTGAAGCCAAGGTATTTCCTGGCCCTCACTTGACAGTGAGAGGTGGAGAGTTGCGCAGCGCCGCGCCAGAGAAGACCAGCGCTGGACGGGGCCAGAAGGCAGCACATACGACAGGTCTCGTCATTCGGACTGGAAGCTCCCAGAAGGGAGAAACTGACCTCAGCAAACTTTGAAGTATGTCCAGCACACTGACAAACAGTGAGAAGAGCTGCACAAGTGCTTTTTAATGATGATACATGACACAGACACAAAGGAATGAGATGTTCCCCACATTTCTCCTGGGTCAGTGGGAGAAAATGCCTGAAGCACTTAGGGTGCCTAAAAATAGACTGTTGTCTCATAGTATGAAAATCTGTTTCAATCAGTGAACTTGCTTTTCTTTTCTTTTTTTTAATAAACAAAGCCACAACACACCAAACCTCTCCAGGTCTTACCGGCAGTGAGGTTAACGACTGAAGCTGTTCCAGCTGTGATGGCATCCACTTGAGAGTGGATTTCGTGTTTGGATTCGTCGACTTTATTCTGAACCCATACCCTGGACGCCTGCAAAACCAGACAAGTGCATGACACAATCACTGCAGAGAATTACCCGGGAAACCAGAGAAGTCGTGCCATAAAATGAGACCAGTTTTGGCTACGCTCCGCCAGGGCCGGCACCAAGGGGGCCCTTCAGTCATCTTAAACTGTGTCTACACTTGCTCATTCGCCGAGGCTAAATCAATGGCATGTAAATGCTCATTGCTTCTTACACTGGTTACTTTTTTCTTTTTTACTTTTAAGATCTTATGAAAATCCTATGTGTCTTTATTCAGGTAAATTCAATTAAAAAACGAGAATATCTGATGTCTCATGATAATGTCGCATGCTAGCACCGACTGTTGCTAGTTTTTACCTTGTTTTTTAGAGAACAGGTTTAGACTTCAGCTGTTTCAGCATCCTCCCCCCCCCCCAGCTCAAGCATGGGGCTGTCTTTTGTTTTGCACATCAATGCTTTGTACATGTGGCCCCTTTCCTGGTAGGATTTCGGGGGAAGAGTGGGTCAAGAACCCTGTTCTGGATCTAGCTGTACCACTCACAAGTGATAGAACCTTGGCTGGGCAAATTACATCCAGGTCTTGTACCTGGCATTTCTTGTTGTGTAGGGATTCAATGGTCTTTAACAACCTACCTGGCTCTCAGGACTTGGCCAACAAGTGACCATTAACTTCAGTAAGAGCAACCCTATGGGAATAGAAGGTGCTGATCTGCTCCCTAAAACATTCCAAAAATATTAATCTAGGTTCAGGATCTGTCTAGCACTAATAGCATTTTTTTGTATACTAATTCTTTGAAAATTGGTAAAGCAGGAATGTTAAATCCAAATATATTAAAACTCTCTTATAATTGTGCTGAACTTGGGAGTCTGCCATGTGTTTAACTCTGAAGTTCCCCAGAGCAAAATGTTTCATGATTTCGGGTCCTTGGGAGAAACAGCACCGAGGACAGCGGTGCCCTACACGTACACAAGTTCACAAACGGACAACATGGTGTTCAGGGAGGACTTGGAGGCAGCTCATCCTAGCTGGACAAGATGAGCTACCAACCGTGTCTTGGTTCTGGCCCCAGTGATAGCCCTGTCGTCAGTCCTGGAAACAATGGCTTTCAACCCTGGCTGCCCATTAGAATCACCTGGGGACGTGGGGACCCACTGACACCCAGGTCCACCCCCACGACACAGACTTGTCTGGCTGGAGACTTAGGCTTGGGCCTTAAAGCTTGTCAGGTAATTCTAATGTGCAAAGTAGGGTTGAGAATAACACTGCTAGCCAGAGCTTCATAAACTTGAATGTGCACATGATATAGTGGGGAACTTCCCTAAAATGTAGATTCTGATTCAGAAGTTTGGGTTAAGGCCTAAGATTCTGCACTCATGAAATCCCAGGCGCTGCCAGTGCTGGACCAAGATTTGCATAGCAGGGGGCTACATGATTTCACACAGCAACAGCTACAGGAAGGCAGCTAAATGCCCCACCCTTGGTGGCCCCCAGAAAGGGGCAGCAGCATTACCAGAGCACTTGCTGGAAATGCAAATTCTCAGGCCCCACCCCAGACCAACTGAGTCAGAAAAAAATGGGGGAGAGTCCCAGTGACCTGGTTTTTTAATAAGCCCTCCAGGTGATTGCAATGCAGGCTAGAGTTTCAGAACCACTAGTAATAACAAAAACAGCTAATGCATGTTTGAGCTCTCACAGGTGTTAGGTACTATGCTAAGAACTCTGCACATGATTATATCATTGAGTCCTCACGAACACACTACTTGTGGAGGACAAAACAGAGGCTTAGAGCAGTTGCCCAGATTAGTGCAGCTGCTGAGCAGTGCAGCTGGGATTTGAGCCCACATGACGTGACTCTAAGGTCCAGGTTGTTAGCCCTTCCCAGGTACTGCTGACAGCCAGCAGTGCCCTATGATTCCTTCCTCCTGTGGGCACGTACAACCTAGAGACCACTCATTATCTTGGAAAAGACATGGGTTTCCACTTCCACCTAGCTGAAGATAGAGATTCACCTGGCTGAATACACACAGAGTGCATAACTCTGTTTTCTGCCAGGGCAGAGGCCTCAAATGAAAGTCATGAACATTATTTGCCCTGGCTGGCATGGGTCAGTTGGCTGGTGGGTTGTCTCACAAACCAAAAGGTCAAGGGTTCAATCCCAGGTCAGGGCACATATCTAGGTCATGGTTCGGTCCACATTCGGGGCGCATGTAATAGGCAACGGACTGACGTTTTTCTCTCTCTGGAATCAATGAATATATCCTCAGGTGAGGATTTAAAAATAAAAACAAAAAAAGCCACGAACAGTATTTACCATATCCTGGCCAAGAGGTGGCAGTGAGTCGAGCTCGCTGAGGTCATCCTGGGCCTGCTGGACGGCGTGCATGCTCGTGTTGATGGTCCCCATGAGGGCCTGCTGGGCTGAGGTCTGCAAAGACAGATGGACACAAGGTGGTCACGCTCCTGGCACAGACACAGCCCTGTACACAAAACCAGGTGACAGTGAACTCTGGCTGGAGACAAAGTGGCTCAGGAACGGCTCAGCAAGTGCCTGCACCACCTCCCACTGGAACTTAATTAGCTGGAAAGGAGCCTCAGAAAGAGTCCCTGCAGGGGGGCCAAGGGGAGCCAGTCCCTGAGCACTGAGGACCAAGGGTCTCAGGCATAGGAAACGAGGGTTACACCAGAACTCTCCCTGGTAAACGAGTAAGGACTCCACCTAAACCTACAGCCAACGTACTTCTTCAGAGTCAAATTACATCTGAAATTTCAGGCTCTTCAGCTTTCAAACAGTTCTCACCCAATAGCACAGGATCCCTGAGCAGACCAGAGACACTGTAGCAGGTCGATGGTCCCAATGGAAGAAACCTATGACCCACTCAGGGGAAACTGTGGCTCACTACAGACCCGGTCTATTTCTAAGACTCTCCGAGGGATACCTGGGCTAATTAGCAGCTTAATGCTGCTAAGGCAGAAAAGCCTGTTTCAACCTCTGAGTCATCAGGCACATGGAGAGGTCACTGTTTCTCTTCCAGCCCCAGGGGACAATCGTGATCCTAGACTGGAACTACCAGAGCCACCCAGTTAAAAGAAAACCTGCTGAGTTAGGCATCAGGATGGCACAGGGAGGAGCGGTGATCCAGACAGGAACTAGCGGGAGTGTGGATGACACACGACCTATCTGCAGGCTGGTATCCTTCCATGCACACCAGGTGGCACGCTGGTGTGCGGGGTGAGTGCCTGGGAAGCCTCACCAGTGGGGGCATGTGGCCTCGGTGCATCTGCCCCACCAGGATCTGCTGCTGTGGCGATGGCATGCTGCCAACGTTGAAGGTCTCGGGCCCGCTGGAGCCCGAGCGCATCACGGCCGGCAGCGCCACCGAGCCATGCTCCACCTTCCCGGTCCGGTTGAACTGCTGCTGCAAGATGGTAGACCTGCAGGGGACAGGCAGTTTGGTCACTATGAGGGGGCTGCGCATGTGCAACATCGTGAAAGACACCACAGGTGTCATGAATGCTTGTTGTGCCACACTGCGGAGGCCAACCCAAAAGAGGCATGTATAAACAGAATTGTGAATGCAGAAGCAGACTAAAATGCTCCGCAGAAGAACCCTGAGATGACGCATTTCAAATAGTAATATAAATAACCACGTCCAATGTATTTAATAGTTTCATGGCATATGCAATCCATCAGAAGAAAATTACAAATAGTCCAACAAAGTGGATGTTCCAGGCATAAGTGAGTTTGGATTCATTCAACAAACACCACCTACTGTGTGCCAGGTTCTATTTAGGCACTGGAGACACAGATCGTTTATCCCTAGCTTGAAGGGAGAGAAATGGAAATAAAGAAAATCTCCTTCAGCTGAGATTCCCTACCACAGGTCCAATGCTATTAACGGGGGAGGGTATTCAAACACCTTTGGAGCCTGATGATGGGACAGACTTAGCTCCCCTTCCAGGTGATTTCAAGTCTGGGAAGACTCCCAGGGCACCTGGTAAAAAAATTACATGTCGATTTTTTTACTTCTTCATATTTTGTTCAAATGAATGATAAATGCAAAGGCCTTCATATGCAGTTAAGAAGTCTGAGGATGGCGTATCTGCCTCAGTCGCCTAGTGGACAACCCATGGGGAATTCTGCACGTGTGTGTGTGTGTGTGTGTGAGGGGGCAGGGTTGATGGCACCTGCATTTGGGGGCAGAAGCCTCTGGCCCAGGGTATTCGAGTCATCAAGGATCACTCCCCATTGTCCAGAGCAAAGTGAGGGAGCCATGCTAGCACACCAAGCAACAGGCGTCCATGGAGAAACATCAATGGCTACCAAGGGAGTGACCCAGGGCGGGTGGGTCTCTGGCCTCTGAGAAGGTGATCTGCAGGCTGAGAGCTCACCAACGTCTAGTACAGAGAGAAGTGGAAGGTCTGGTGATGGAGCCACCCTGGACCCCTCTTCCTGTCTGCCTTGATCAGACCCCATCTGATCCCGTAGGCAGTGGGAGGGGGCCGCAGTGGGAGGGGGCTGTGGTGGCCCCAGGCAGGGGGAAGGGGTCCCAGCAGTCTGGGCTCAGATACCTACTTAGCTCTTCCTAGGTCAAGTACAAGTGTAAGCAGAGTCCTCTGAGGTGAATGCCTCACCCTGTCGGGAAGCACTAGCTTACTAATTTTCATCTAATGGTCATTAATAACTCTAAGAGCTCAAGGTGTTTTGCCAGAGGGAGCAAATACATCAAGTTTGGTTCCAACCTGTGTACTAATAGGACAAATGTAACACCACCTTTGAGAGGTGATTATGTCAGAGAAATAGCTACTATGACTATACAAGTTCAAGTGCTGGGCTTTCTGGAACCTTCTGGCAGTGCACAATAGGAAATATCACAAGACTGAATCTGAGTCCTGAATCTGCCATGTGAATGCATCTCAGTGGACTTTGCTGAGCTTCCGGCTCATCGATGAATTTCGGATGGTAACATCTGGGTACCTCTTCCATAGGGTGTTGTCGAGACAAAATAGAGTCACCATGGGGGACACGCACAGTGAAGCAAACACAAAAAAGCTAATGCTCTATTTAACACAAAGGAGCTGGCTGCTCTGGTTTCCAGTCAAGTGTCGCTTACTGCCTGTTACCTAATTTTTTAAAATCTATTTTCTCATCTATAAAATGGGGCTAAATTGAGATAGTTCTGAATTTAAAATGATGATGATGATGACAATAGCAAACATTTATTCTGTGCCAGGCATGGTTTTATGTGCTTCATTAGTAAGTCAATCATCAAAATAAAGCTTATAAGGAGATATTATCATTATTCCCATTGTATGGATGAAATCAAGGGGGGAGGCAGAAAAAATGTCATCATGTCTGCAAGACCACAAATCAAAAACCAGCCCCCAGATTTGAACCCAAAGTCTGGCTCTCAAGTCCACGTTCTTCACCACTTCCCTCTGTAGCATCACAGTATGTGTATCAAGTGCAGCAGGCGGCAAGTGGTCCATAAATAATAACTGTCCCCTGGCTGGATCCTTCCCCACAGAGGGACAGAATCAAACAGAAGCTCGCTCTCCAGCTTTTCGATGAAAATGATGCCATTTATGAGATTTCTATCAGAAATGCAGAATAGGACTCATGAAGGTTCACTGCCTCTAAGGCTGGAGTTAAATCTTATTCAGTGTTTCCTTTAAATCTTTAACCCCCATTTTCCCAGACGCCCTTAACATGGATGCTGATGGTCTGGGACCACAATGCATGAAGCACGACTCCTCCCCATCAGACACTGTCATCTCCCACGTGTGAGGCACTTAGGAGCAACAGGCCCCAGACCAGTCGGAGGGGTCCTGCCAGGCAGTGGGAAGGCAGCTCTCTCGTGCTCTTTAAAATACTTACTTTTTTGGGGAGACAGACTCTTCTAACATAGTTGACTCCTCATCACCCTCTAGTCCAAATCGGTCTTTACTTTGTTTCTGGAGGTAAAACAAGATACAGAATCAGAAGGTCTTTACACAAGAACCATTTAAAAGGTGCCACACACTCAGAAATGTTGAGTTGCACATCCAGTTCCTTAGACTGGATACTTAGTAAGTTATGGGTGATAAAATCAATCATAACAATAAAAAGGGAATACACTATTTAATATATAAATATAATGTCTTCTGCATTAGTGTTATTGCACAAACCTAATTTTATATAGTAAAAAGCAAGATGCAAATTTAGTATTCTAGTAGAACATGGTTCTTTCAATGGGCTGTATGTAGAAGCTCTAGAAAATTTGTCTGCATGCCGCTATGGTATATAACCCTATTATATTTGGGGAAACAAAATGATAACGTGAAAAACACAAAGAACATTTCAGGCTCTCAATCTGGGTTTCTACAGAGGCTAGAAAGTGTACATAACTACCTAGAGAGGAAGATGCCAAAGAGTTACTTAGGTTCATTCATTAGCTAAGAGAGGCACTGTTGCTAATTACCTAGCAGTCAGTGATACAAATGAGCTGCAGCAAAATCAGAAATTGTCACAGGATGTTGTGGTCAAAGATCATACATTCAAACAATCTCAACATTAAAGATTAAATGAAAGTATCGAGTACTTCAGATAAGCCCCTCCCCACCCAGTAGCTACATCATCTAAACTGAATCGTACGTAATAAAGCAGCCTTGCTTTTCCCATTTGCATCAGTATGAAATACCTTTTTGAGAATGATATCAATGTAGCCTGCAATCAGCTGGGATATTTGCTCTCCCTCGGTGGTTTGTACTGAATAGTAACTTTCCTGATACTCCCCAAAATCCTGGAGGGGGAAAACAGTATTAGAAGAAATATAACTACATCAAATACATCAGTTTCAAAGGTGAGGAGGTTCAGGTTCAGGATGGCATAGACTCACATGCCCCTGCTCTTCCCCTCTAAGTACAACTAAACACCCTAAAACTTATCTAACAAACAATGTTAAAAGGGTTCTGAAAGCTAAAAAGGTGAACTAGCCAGGGGACCTCAGGACTTGAGAAACCACATTTGGTGAGTATCTGGGTTTTGTTTTGTATCCCTTTACCAACAACGTTTGGTCCCGTAACGTTTGATAGGCCCGACGCTTGGAGCCTTGAACAAGCAGTTTTTGACAAGTCCGTTCACTCTGGCCAAAGGACCAGAAGAGAGGAAGCCCAGCTGGGAGTCCCAGCCCAGGTCCACAGTCTGGGCTGGTGTTCACTGGCAGCTACAGAGAGCGGTTAAGCCTGGGCCATCCCGATCCCTGCTCCACAGCCCAAGCAGGCGGGGGGCCCCGATCCCTTTGAAACAGCAGTGGCCACCATAAGTCTCCCTGCCCTCCACCCAAGGCATAACAAGACTCAGGCCCAGTGGCTTCTGTGTCCCCCGTGAAAGGTCACCAAGCAATAACAGGCGGCCCACAGAAGCACTTTCTTCCCTCACAGACAGCAGCAGCATCAAAGTCTGAGCAAGAATCTCAGCAGTGTCGAAAGGATGAATGGTCCAGGATAGCGGTGCAAGGGTTCAGAAAATGAACTGTCATTGCAACTAAAGCCCACAGAGGCAGGCTGGACACTGCACACTAACTCTAAATGAGGTGACCGGTAAAACAAAATTTACCTAAGATCAAGGGTCTCCTAATATATAGTCAAAATATCTGGGATAAACATGAAAATCACTATTTATGTTAAGAACTGGGACAACTACAATATGAATAAGGAAAGATAATCAACTGATGCCAATACTGAGATGAATCAGATATTGGAATTATCTGATAGGGGTTTTAAAGTAGCAATCATAAAAAATATTTCAACTGAGAATTTCAGTTAGAAATTCTCCCCAAACAAGTAAAAAAAATTTAGAAAGTTTCCAAAAAGAAACAATAAATCATTAAAAAGAACTAAAGTAAAAATTATAGAACTGAAAAAGGCAACAACCAAAATAAAAAATTCACAGGACAGACTAAATAGTAGAGTGGAGGCGAGAGGATGGAATCAGCAAACATGAATTTAGTCAATCAGAACCACAGAGAGAAAACTGGCAAAACAAACAGAGTTTCAGGAATCTCTGGGAAGATAACAAAAGATCTAACACCCACATCGTCATCAGAATCCCAGAACTGCTGTTGGAAATTGATAGAATAACGAGACGGAAACTAACAAGGACACAGAGCACTAGAACACCACCATGAACTACAGCGTCTGATGCACATTGGTACACACTTCGCTCGGCAGCAGAATTCACATTCTTCTCAATCACCCAGAGAACATTCTCCAAGAATGATCATATCCTGGGATATAAACAAATCTAAAAATGCTACAAAGGCAAAGTCACATATAATATGTGCTTTGACTGTAATACAATCGAAGTAAAAATCAATAAGAGACAACAGGAAAATCTCCAAATATTTAGAAATTGAATTAAGGCTAGGAGTAGGAAGAAGAAAATATTACATGTTACAAGCCTAAATTCACTATTTTACTTTAATAAAAGTAATGATAATTCAGTATTTGTTTTTTTTTTTTGCTTGAGGTAATAACTGAGATTCATAACTGTTTCTTATTTTTAGGTAAATTTTTGTTTGTAACAATGCAGTACTTACTTGAACCCAGTTTAAAAAGACCAATATTAATAAAAGTTATGTAATAAAACCTAGCTGTCTCCTACCCTATGCATTCCCGCCTTCACTTCTATCCCCGCCACACACATAGGCGACTCCTTTCAACCCTGTGAAGCAGTGTTTTCTCATATAAGCCCTGGCTTCGCCCATCCACAGGTTCTGTGACTTTATGGGAAACTGTAATGAAACAAGTTCTGACAAAGGCTGATGGATGTAAATGAGAGTTAAGTTCCTACGGCACCTTCTCCATGTTATAATCAAATGACGTTCCTTGAGGACTTGCTGTATTTCTAAATAACGTGTATATTAATGTCTTGATTTTTCTGTTTTATTTCCTACAATGAAAAATGAGAATACAGCATGGCCATGCAGATTCAGCTGTTACTGACTAGAAGGAGAGAAAGCACATTTTCTGGAGATTTCTTCCAACTGGCATGAGTCTATCAACTGATGATCAAATTAGGGAACAATTATTCCACGGTCACCCCCTTACACCCTTTTTTCTGATGCCCTATTATGAGGCCCTTGCCTCAGTGCCAGCTGATGATACTAAGAGGGTTCCACACGACTGGAGAATAGTACAAGTCAGGAGTTGTGAAGAAGCTGACAAATTTGAATGCTTTTTTAAAAATTTTGTCTTACTGTTCAACTTGCCCTAATAATTCTCACATGTAAGTGTGACTAGTACTTGCCCTGTTAATTCTCACATGTGAGTGTGACTGTTAGTTAAGGCTACACAGTAACCCTGCTAAGAGCAAATATTGAGGTTAGGAGGAGGAGTTCGGAGGTCTGAAAGCCTAAAACTAACATGCTTTGTTCATACAAACAAATGTATTTCACATTGAGCATTATATCATCATCATCATCATCATCATCATCATCATCATCTCATTTGATTGCAGCAACTCTGTGAAATGTGTTTCGCCCTCCCCATTTTACAGCTGAGAAAATTAAGGCTCAGAGAGAACAGGTCACTTGAGCAAGGTCATAGAGCTTGGAAATGACAAGGTGGTTGTGAGTACTGGCCCGGAGTGTACACTACTTCCACTACACAGCCACCTCTGTTTCCAGGCAGGTGGGAAAACATGCCTCAGCAAGATGTCACAGTTCCCAGGAACTTTTAAAACTAGAGACAAAGAAGGGGCCTTTGTGTGGGCCTTGGTGCTTAGAGAGCTTCCTTTTCGGGTGTCCTAGGCATGGCGTCAGGAGCATAGAAAGCAGAGCATAATCCTGTGAATGTCTCCAGTTAAGGAGCTTAGATAGTCTTACTTACCACCACCAGAGAGGAAGGGGTGGCCAAGGGGACCCGGCTTTTGCACATCTCTATGAGCTCTAGACCAGTGCCCACCCCTGCCCTGTGGTCTCCCCCCAACTGTCCCTCACCACACTGCTCACTAAGGCCAGGGAAACCCAGTGGGCTTGTCCTCTTTCTCCCGCCCACAATATTGCCCAAGGCCTTGTGGGCCCCTGCATTGCCCTCTGCTGGTCCCTACCAACGTGAAGCTCTTGGGTGAGGCTGCCCAGCGCTTGACCGTGGTCAGCGGCCACTCCTGCAGCACTTCCTTGGTCTTCTCATCCACGCGCATCACGGAGTCCTTGGTGATCCCCAGCAGGCGGGGCACCAGCTTGTTCTTGCCCTTCATCTTTTCCTGAAACGGGGGACACCGAGGGTCAGTGCTCTTCCTCTGAACACATCGGATTTTGCCAAATAATCAGTGATTCTGCAATGTGTTACCTGTGGTCAAGTTACACACACTATGTTTCAAAACAGGCAGGACTACTGACTCTTAAAAATCTTTATGATTATTAGTTTTAATAATTTTTTTAAGAAAGAGTAATCAAGAGAATAATGAATTCCTCTCTATCACTCACGCCCTAAATTCAAGACAGGTTCATAATTTAGGAGAAACATATACGTAAATATTTTTGTCACCACTGGGTGAGAAATGACATTTTAGCACAAACACCAAAAGAAAAAAACTGTAAAGGAAAAAATTAATAGCTTTAAGTACAAAATATATGAAATTTAATACATCTACAAAATGAGAGAGGTAGGCGAAAAAGAGACCTCACCATAAACAAAATGAAAAAGCAAATAGCTGGGGAATAAATATTTACATCAAATACAAAGATAAAAATTTTCAAATGCTATGTATGTGAAAGGTTACCATACATCAATGACAATAATCAACAAAAAACATAAATAGGAACTGTTAAAGTAATAATTAGACAATAAGTATTAATAAGCAATTAGATACATTTTCATACATATAAAGTGGCAGATTTTTAGAAAAATTAATACTCAGAACTGAAGAAGGTGTAAAGGAGAACCGCTCCTGATGGGAGTTTAAAGTGGCAACGCCTTTACGGAAGAAAATGTGTCAATAATGATCCAAAACTTCAGAAATGTTTCTACTTTTGACACATCTTGCTTTTAGACACTTATTCAAAAACAAGTTATAAATGGGTGTGAAGATCATGCTGCAAGAAGGAGCAGCTAGAGTTCATCATATTGAAAAACTAGAAATAACCAAATTTTCAATTACAGGGGATTTGACAAATTATGATACTTACAAATAACAGATACTCTACAACTATTAAAAATCATATTATAAGAGAACAACTGAAATCATGGCAATATATTATAAAGACAAAACAGTTTTATAGCACAATCCAAAGGAAATAAAATTGAAGCATAAATTTTATTCAGATATTAAAAGAGAATAAAACTTCATTGTGTGACAAAATGGTGGTGATGATCATCTTAAGTGATTTGTATTATTTTCCTTATTCCCAAATTTCACTTAAGACACATCTTTTTGTTGTCAGGGAAAACCCCAAACTTTTCCAGGAATATTTGCTGAAACCTTGCAATGCCTCCACCACGATCCTGCAAGGAGTACACACTCAAACCAGCACACACAAGGTGTGTGTGTGTGTGTGTGTGTGAGTGGGTGTCAGTACAAGGGGACAAGCACTCGAAACAGGGGAGGAGTGTGCTATATGCTAGAAAACATTTTCCATAAATTTTCAAATCACCCCCTAAACGTTGACAGCGGCAGCAGCAGCAGCATCATCATCATCATCATCATCCCTGTTCTGAAATGAAGGGACCAGCAACTCGCCATAGTAGTGAGTGGTAAAGCCATGATTAGAACACCATTTTAAGCTCTGATTTGAAAAGCAGACTGTCTATCACAGTGGACCTCTTCCGGTGGAAACAATTAGGAAAAAGAGAACAGTACCCCCGAGCAGCCCCCATGGGCAGTCCATAAACTCTGTCAGATGATGAAGGTCGCAGCACACCCCCAGCTTCCCCCCAGGAGGAGATAACAGCATCAGGAGCCTGCTGGGGTGGCTGGGGAAGGACAAATGGCATTCTAAGTCCTTCCCGATCCTTATAAAAACAGAGAAGAATCTTTGTGAAGAGAGGCTGGGTCCACGAGAGGTGACATCGGTGCAGGTGGTGGCATTTTTTCCCCGCCAGTTAGTCTACGTTGGCTTCAGGACCCACACAGGGACTTGGGTGGAGAGGCCCCAGGCAGCTAGTTCAGTAACACAGGGTTGACACCAGCCCAGTTGCTGAGACCAGAAAGGGAATCGGAGACCAGATGTGGTCTGCAGCCTCTGCCTTCCTCCTTGCCCGGCTGCACCTCTCCGGTCAGGGGCTTCGGGCTGAGGGAACGCAGGATCGTGCAGGACGGTCCCGACTCTCGTGGAGACCGCGCTGGCCTGGGAGAAGCCACAGTGAACAAGGTAACAACTCACAGTGGGCATTCCATCACAATGTCACAACTGGGGTAAAAATTTCAGAAAAGACCGTAACACAGCAGCAAGAATACCATCAATAGACAAAATTATTCCAGTGCCTACCCACAAAAAACTGCACATTGCTGGAGAAAGTTCAAACAGCGAGTGGCTCCACTCTGTGCTATGCTAGTGCAGACCTGCCTTCTGCCCTCAGCGGCAAAGCCTGCCTGTTTGGAGAGGGTTCCCAGGCAATGAGGCTCCCAGTTCTTCCCTGCATCTCACCTCTCAAACCACTCCATATCTCTCCTTTCCAGCCTTCAACCACAGAGCAGCATCCTTTTACCTCTGGGAGACCTGTATTTCATGCACAGACACACAGAGACTGCAGCTGTGACTCTGCCTGCTACACAGCGGCCTGTCTCTCCAGGTAATAAATACTTGTTAGGTTGGTTTTGCTTTGAAGATGTCTGGAGCTTGCCTAACTTCAAGGCAGGAGAATGCATGCACTCTATAAGGAGAAGCAGCATCCATTACACCCCTCCTCTTTCAAGCACATCTCAACCACTGCTGTGGGTTCAGCCTTGGGGGCTGGCTGTGATCAAGCCTGCTCTGCCAGGGGCTCTTCTCACAGGTGTGGGGAGTGGCGTGCCTTACATCTGAGATTCAGAATGCAGAGCGGGGGTGGGGGTGAGAAAGAGACAAGTGCTTTGGCATACTGTGGTTCTGGGCCCCTGACTTCAATGCCGCCTGAGCCTCTGGCCCCGCTGTGCTCACCACAGCTCTACACTGGCCTCCTGCCAAAGTGCTGGCCTGTGTGCTTTGCTGTACCACCAGGTTTTTCTGAGGCATGAAAGAAAGAGATGGCTGCTTAAGAGCAAAACTAGGTGTTAAAGACCCTGTTTGTAAGCCATTACTCTCTAAAAACAATTGGCAATACATTTGGACTTAACGTGTGATTCCGAAATGCTCTGAAGACCCTCTGTGATGCTTCTGCATTTCAGGGGAGAAGGGGAATGGCTCCCCAGGCACCTCACCTCAAGGCTCTGGTTGCAACGGCAGGCAAAATTCAAAGAAAATTTGGAAGTGAAACGGTTTACACAAGGATTTGGAGGATTGAAACAGGATCCTTTGCAGGTCGCAGGAACTGCTTTCCCATCACTTAGAGGTTTTGATTAGATCACAATACAGTGCAAAAGAAGTCAGTGAAAGAGGAAACCCATAGACGTTTATGGCTCCCATTTATTGAGACCTTATATGCAATAGCTCCCTTTTCTATATTATCTCATTTAAACCTCATAAAAAGCCACAGTTTTATAGGTGAGCAAAGCGACAAAGGCAGAATCCAAACCCAGGCCTATCTTTTCAAAGTACATGCTCCTCCCCACTGAGAATACTGCCACATTACGCTGTTTTCTGTGGGATCATTACAGGCTTACAGACATTCTCTGTATCTGAGTCAGTGCACTATGGCCTGTGTTAAAGCCAGAGTTTTGCCTATTTTTTTTTTATTGCCTGAAAGCTAAGAGTGAAGTTTCTATTTTTTTTAAAGATTTTATTTATTTATCTTTAGAGGGGAAGGGAAGGAGAGAGGGAGAGAAACATCCATGAATGGTTGCCTTTTGTGCGTCCCCTGCTGGGAACTGGCCTGCAGAGAACCGGCCTGCAACCCAGGCATGTGCCCTGACTGGGAATCGAACCGCGATTTGTCTGGTTCGCAGGCCTGTGCTCAATCCACTGAGCTACACCAGCCTGGGCTTGAAGTTTCTATTTTTACATGGTTGAAAAAAATCAAAAAAAGAATATTTTGTGACATGACAATCATATGAAATTTAAGTTTCAGAGTCCATGAATAACGTTTTACAGCAATGGAACCGTGCTCACTCATTTAAATATCGCCTCTGGCTGCCGTCACACCACAAGGCGGTGCTGAGTGGTACGGCTGGCAGAGCCGAACACAGTTACTACCTGGCCCTTTGCTGAAAAGGTCTGTCAACCGCTGCTCTACACGGTGGACACTCAAAGCCAATTAAAAGCTGGCAGGATTCAGGGTGGGGATTGTGGGGATGTGGGAAGAGTGAAGGGTCTAGGCCAACAAAATTTTGAGCATCCTCACATCCAGGTACTATACTTGTTTACACACACTAGTCCACTTAATCTTCATTATAACTACCGTTTTTCAGATTAAGAAACTGAGGTTTAGGAAGTCAGGTACACCTTTCCAGATCACAGGCACTTCTATTTGCTATTTCTCACGTAGGTGTATGTTGCCAGCTTGGATTAGAGGCCAATCTTCCTGATTCCAATACCTGAGCACTTTCTGTTAGAACAACAAAGAGCAATACTCAATATTAGGGCAAAATCTACATAGATTTTGAAGAAAATATGATGACAGTATCTATAAATATATCAAACTAATTCTCTGAGCCATGCTGTTTGTGGTAAATATCAATATTCAAATGCATAGCAAATTATTTCATCAATTAATTTAAAATGTCTGATTGGAGCCAATAAAAGTAGTCAATGAGAAGCTGGGATCACTCACTTTTGTCCCCAAATTATGCTAATGCACCTCCTTCCCAACTCAGTGTCCAGGTTGGGGGTATGAGAAATCTGTTACTGACTAAGCCTTTATTTTTAAAAAGATTTTATTTATTTATTTTTTAGAGAGGGGAAGAGAGGGAGCAAGAGAGGGAAAGAAACATCAATGTGTGGTTGCCTCTCATGTCTCTCCTGCTGAGGAACTGCCCAGAAACCCAGGCAGGTGCCCTGACTGGGAATCGGACAAGCGACCCTTCAATTTGCAGGTTGGCACTTAACCACTGAGCTGCACCAGCCAGTGCTACTTAAGCCTTTAAAACACTTAGTATCCCTTTGGCATATAATTTGTGTGTGTGCATGT